AGCAGAGCACTGCTCGTGTATATAGAGGTGCAGTGTAGAGTTCAGGGGAAGTTCTGCTGCGAGTTACAAGATGAATGCTGCACGTATGCTTGTCCCTCCTGCTGTAATAAAGATCATATGGATAAAGTTACTGTCTGTCAGATTTCTACCAGCTAGAAAACATAACAGTTTAAAAGTCATGAAGAATGATTTGTCCTGATCCATTTAATTGGGGTTTTAGTTTTGTTTGGGTCACATAAAATAGGTCTTTTAGATCAAGCTCTGCAGTCTTGTAAGAGGTGCCGCTTGATGATATTTACTGATTTGTAGGGCATAAACTGTGATGCTAAAATTTTGAAGCCCCTTCTTGGGGGATGCACGGGTTCAAAGGTTTAAATATGTAAGTTGTTATTTTTTTCTGATCAATTAATCACAATTAATGCATTAAATTCCCTCTCTACATGTATATTGTGTATAAAGGCGGAAGTAAAACAGGAAGTATGAGAACTGGGGCCAAGTCTAAGTCCTGCAGCTGGGCATTCTCATGCACATAAGGCAATATCCTGTGGCACATGGAGGAAACAACACCTATGAGTCATGAAAAAATACACACTCCTTATTCACATTCACTGAAGCTGGTACCCTGGGGGTGCACCTCCTGCATATTTGTCTCCTTGGTGTCAGGGCCACAGGCTTCCCCACACTCAGCATAACCTCAGGTCCAAGCAAGATGCTCCAGCAATAAAACGAAAGAACCAGCAGACTGGGCAAGGCCACGGCAAAGGCACTGCTGACAACAAAATTTCTTAATGATTTGCAGTTATTCTGCTATGAAAAACAGGGATTCTCTGCAGACTGCAAATGCTGTGCAGTACTAAAGCATGTGAAAATGCTGCAGACCACAATGATGACTTGGAATTGAGATCAAATAATCTTTAATTTAAAACTAAACTTCAATTTATTTCATAAATACTTCTTCACAAATTGTTATACACTCATTCACTTATTCCCACGTTAAGCATGCAGCACGAAAAGCTGAATGACTTGCTCTCACGTCATTAGCAGGTTATTCCGAATCTAAAATCAGATGCATCTGTATGGCCAACATGTAAACCGATATTTCCCAATGCAGAGAGAGAAAATGTCAAGCGGATAAACACCATAATGAAACCAATGAGCACCCCGGTGTAGCAATCAATGGCTGCATCTACCAGTGTGTGTGGTGAGCAGCTCTCTGTGTACGTTTGCCATGCAGAATCACAGCGATGCTGCTTTAGGGGATGTTTGAGTGTGATGCAGTAGTTTTCAGGTGACATGTTGGAGTCTCTTGTTTTTAAAAAGCACCTAAACGCTCTCTACAGCAGATGAATGATCGGAGGACTGTGAAAGTTTTGTTCAGGTGAAGATCTGATCCTTCTGGGTGGGTTGTTCTGTTAATGGGCTCCAGTTGACCGTTAAACTCTTGTGTGCATCGTTTCACAACCATCACTTCAGTCTTTGATCTCAAAAGAACAAAAGAAATTCTATTTTACAGATTTTAGGACGGTTAATCAGATTTAGTTTCTATAAATAGGCATGGATGTAGTTTTTTTTTGGGGGGGGGGGGACATGCCCCCCCACCCCCACCCCCCACTTAGTCAATTTCTGACCCCTGCACTTTTTCCATTCAAAAACAATATTACACTGTATCAAAAAGACACTGGTTGAGCACTAGGACCAAGTGGAAAACAACCGTTTGTGTTTAAACCCGTTTCCCATTACAACTTACTGTAAAGACCCCCCCACCCCCCAGTCCTCACGCCGGTTGTTTGTGTCCCCACTTCTAAAATCAGAACTACGTCCATGTAAATTGTACACAATGTTGAGTTACTAATTTAGGGAAAAAGCGTAGTTTTTTCACGCTTCTCTTGAAGAAGTACGTATTAGTTACACTCACTGCCTGGCCACTTTATTGGGTGCACCTGTGACTGCTCGTCAACACAACTTACTAATCAGCCAATCACATGGTGGCAACTCAATGCATTTAGGCATGTTGATGTGGTCAAGACGATCTGCTGCAGTTCAAACCGAGCTTCAGAACGAGGAAGAAAGGTGATTTAAGTGACTGTGAACATGGCATAGTTGTTGGTGCCAGACGGGCTGGTCTGAGTATTTTAGAAAGATCTTCTGGGATTGTCACGTAAAACCATCTCAGGGGTTTACAGAGAATGGTCTGAAAAAGGGAAGACGTCCAGTGAGTGGCGTTCTGTGGGCGAAACTGTCTTGTTGATGCCAGAGGTCAGAGGAGAATGGCCAGACTGTCGAAAGAGAGGGAGACCACAAGCTTGTGATTGGTCAGGATGCTGCTTCCTGTAAATCCATCAACAGCATCGCCTTCGCCCCCTCAAAAAGATTAAAAGATATTAAGTGGCAAGACACGGAATAGATTGAATAATGCATCGTGGGAAAAGTCTGAAATTATGAACGTTTATTCACCCGTGACTGAAGGAGTACAAAGATGTGAGGCAAGCGTTTTATTCGTGGACAGAAAAGACGAGAAACGTGAGTTTAGAGGTTTAGAGTGGATGGAGACAAATTTGCCTGTGTTCAAAAGCCTCTGAAATACATTAAAACAATGTAACCACAATAGTAAATATACTATTGTGGACCGGATACACGACTAATGGTGGCAGGATACCTCTGAACAGAGCTATGCCCTCTGTTGTCCTGGCGGGGAATTGTTTTACAACAATCCTCAGCTGACGGAGAAGCCTGAAAGCACAACGTCTCTGTCGATGTGTGTGTGTCTCCCTCGCGGCGCTGATGGAAAGTATTAATTAGGTTTATGTCCGTTCCATTTTCCAAGTTCAACAGAGCAAACTGCCAGACTGAAGTGGTGATGGGGCTGGCGGCCTTTCATTAACCCTGTAAAGGGTCATTTTAGCACATAGGCTACTGGCTCAAGAAGAGGATTTAAATGATAAAATTGCATCGTGTCTCTTTAATATCCAGGAGGACTTTAAGTCATGCTTGTTTTCTTCTTCTAGATTTGTACATTTTTGTATGTAAATAGCAGGGCATGATAAAAAGCTCACTACACCGTTGTTAGAAAAGCTGCCCTATCAGACATAATCTGTGTTGTAGACCGATCAGGAACACCTCCTGTTTCTGGCTGATCTAAATATGTATTTATTTATTTATGACTTGTGTTTTTTTCTCTAAATATTAGAACCAAATGGTTGTGAGATGACATGAGGCGACGTGCTGCAGCTAACACTCTGACTCGTCCTCATTAGCTGCAAACAGAGCAGCTTTTTAATTGTAGATGCTGGTTTGCCGTTGTCACGAACCATCAGCGGACACAAAACTGTCACTTCTTAGATTTGATCTCTGTCACATCCCTGCTGGATTCAAATCAAAGATGTTAGTTTCGAAATGCATTTAACTTAATGGAAAACAAACTAGAACTCCATTTTTTTACAGATAACTTCAGCATTTCTGACTCATACTGTTGGTTAGAGGTTGGAATCACCAACAAGTGTCCTCTTTGCTGGGCTGATCATCAAATCAAATCAAACTTTATTTATAAAGCACTTTTCATGCAAAGCAAGCAACACAAAGTGCTTAACGGACCCATATAACCCACATTCCCTCCCTTTCCCACACTTAAAACAATTATGAGTTTCACCCTCCAATCCACAAACCATTCCTAGGCACACACACACACACACACACTCGTACACATAACACATTAAAAGTCCACCGTAAACACAAGGCTGAGCTCAGATTGGACAGGTAATGAAAGACACGCCATCAAGGGAGCCATCTGCCTCGACAGCAGCAGATCCACGGCAGCAACCAAGACACCAATCCAGGGCGCCTTGGGAGGGAGGGTGGCAACACCCACCACTACCTGGGCACTGCCCAAGGAGCGTCCCAACCGCCACCGCCGACCCCGAGGCAGAGGGCTCCACAGAGGAAACAGTGGAAGGATTAAAATACGTAACATGTAAAATCGCAAGAGCTAATACGGATAGTAAAATATCCAATAAAATGTGATTAAATAAATAAAACAAATGTGTAACACAACCATAATTAAAATAAAGTTAACTCAACAGAGTAATGAAATGAAATTAAATAAATCCAGGGGTAAATCTCTACAACTTTGGTTCAATTGGATCGTCTCAGAAGGTTTTAATACCCTGAATCTGCGTTGGTGTTTGGACCGTTACAGCAGCGATGGTCTGCGGTGTGTGGTTAGAGCTCAGTAGGATGAGCTGTTGTCTGACAGTTGGGGGGTCATCGAGCTGAAACCCATCTGCTTAGAAACAGTGTTTTTGTAAAGAGAGAGAAGACAGCTTGCTCCATTCAGACTGCTGGTGATGTGCGCACGTCCTCCAGAAGCAGCTAAGATTTCCAGTCAGGTTTGAAAACACAGCATTAACTCAGGTACATTATGTGTCACTGAAAGGATTTCTGGCTCGAATTTTACTCTTGGGATTAAATTGAGCAGATTCCTACACTGAAAAATGTTCTCAAATAGGAGTGAATTTAACTCCAATAGACACTTAAAATTAAGTCTTTCATTAGTTTGAATCACAAATGGCATAATTCTCCTGTGATTTTGTGACGTCATGGATTCAGCTGTGTGGAAGACTTTCGCATCAGAACTGCTCCTGGTTGGGAACGAGACGTTACGTTACGATGGTAGATTCAGTCCTGAAGCAGTAGTAATGAACAGATGTAAAGACCGACTCAGACGTGTTTCAGAGCTGTGCTAGAAAGCAGGCTCGCCTATGGATTCACTCCTAAGCTCCACATAAACTGAAGGTGGTCAGACAGGTCGACTCTGTACCTTTAAAGATGGCCGACTCAAAAAGTAAACTTTTATTATTACAGGTCTAAACCATCTCAACACACCACCACATGCAGTTGTGTAGAATGTAAATCGTCTGCTTCCCAGCAAGGACTTTTTTCCATTATTGGTTACAATTTTCATATCAAGCATTTTAATACCAGAGTCCCAAATATCAGACACAAACTTAACTTTATAACAAGAAGCTTTATTTTTACAGCCATCACAGAAACAGAATTACAAGAGTCAGGAAACAAGATTTCTGTCCACATTTTTTTATTTAGAAAAAATTACATTTTACACCAGGTCTGCACTGCTGGGGAGGATGCTGCAGTCAGAGCCAAGAAAGAAAAGGGTACATGTTCTTATCAGGGATGTGCAGGTCCAGCCCAGGCGCTTTAAGAGCTGGTCAGAGGGTGGAAGAGTGCTCGTGACTGTCCCCCCCCCGCCTACCCACCCACACGCACGCATGCACGCACACACCGCCTCCCGGAGACCACAGGATATGCACCAAACACTAGCCGACTTAAAACTCTTTGATGACGTTTTCTGCCTTATTGACCTGCTCTCTGCTCTGATTCACCCAAATAACAAACATAAAGGACACAAAGGAAAAGAAACAACAAAACACGTCAGTATTTAAAAGAAAACAGCCCCTCCAAAGGTTCATCTGGAAGAAAGGGAAATAAAGAACTAAAATACATGTCATCCGTTTAGGGCGGTTTTTTAGATGTACAAAAATCTAAAGCAACAGTTTCTACTTGACAGCCATGCTTCGTATGTTTATGATCAGCCTCTTGCTGTAATCTCTGTGATCGACGGGCTTCACATCGAACACTGTGGCTTTTACTCTGGACTCATCCTGCCAAACACACACAAAAGAAAAAAATAAACAACTTTTTTACAAAAGTTATTTTTGATATTAGAAAAAGTCACATCTTCCCATTTAAGGTGCATTTCTGTGCATTAGCCAGAGCATTCAGGGTGTGGTATTTACCAAACACAATATGCTCCATTACCCTTTATTACGCAGCAATACGAAATGTTCACATAGAATTTATAAGCAGCGGTGGACAAACGCGAGCATCCTCCCGTGCAGCGCGCTTGGATGCGGTATGTGAAGTGTGATGGCATTTAGCTTCCACAGCTGTCTAGACATGAGGTGGTGATTTCTCTCAGGGCCATTTACCCCTGCATTTAAACAGAGGTTACGCTCAATTTTTCTCCATTAAATCTCTGTTGCTGAAGTGGCTAAAACGTAACCCGCCATCGCTTGGACTGATGCCTACTTTCCTTACGAAGCGTCTTATTGCTCGTTTGTTTCGGATGAAGAAAAATGGAGAAGCATTTTATGCTAAATATATATATATATATACATATATATATAAATATATTGATGGTTTTCGATTCATCTGTAACCTAAAAACTCATTTAAGGCCTGGGTAACCCTGCCCAGTCCTAACCATAATGAATGTTTGCCAGAATTAAAAAAAATAATAAAAAAGATAAATACCAGTTTCTAAAAGTAAAACACGGTACTTATCCCAAATTACTTTAAATAGTTGTAATTACAACTCACAAAAGCTCTGAACTAACAACATCACATGTTTACAAATGCAAAAACTATTCTAGTGAATTAAAAATGAAAACAAAAAGTTCTACAAAAGCCATGTTTCCACTATCAGAACTCTCTTTGGAAAAAGCCCGGAAGAGTCGCCGGCGCCAGTTGTGGTCAAATCTTGCTGATTGGTTGTAACTCAGTAGGAAATCACATCGACAAGAGGTTGCCAATCAACCCTTATGCTGGTGGAGCAGAATCGTAGGAAAGAAAAATGAGCAGCGTTTATGCTGCATTAAAAATCACCAATTCTAAATTCCTAAAACTAAAAAATGTGGCAGAAATCCTCCACAACACCCTCATTTTTGCCACCTAATGGTCCGCTACAGAGCACCATAAAAAAATGGCACTCAAGTCTGGTCATTGACCGTCCGGGGGCATATTCTAGTCCAGGTAGGGGTGTCACGGTGTGGAAACATTACCTCACGGTTATCGTGACCAAAATGATCACGGTTTTCGGTATTATCGCGGTATTTTTTTAAACGTGTTACATTTTCAGACAACTACATAAACCCTGTATGTCAGGAAAATATTGTCCTCAGTTTGTGTCCAAATTTAGCCTAAAATGTGTTATTTTGTAATTATGTTGTTTATTTGTTTACATTTTTTACTTTTGGTCTTTAAAATACCAATATTTGCCCATAACTTCTTATTTTGTCTGTTTGATGTCATCTTTTTAAAAATATTAGATCAGATGATACTCAGTACTCAAGTAGCCTTCTAATCAGATACTTTTTTTTTACCCTTACTTGAGTAATAAACCCTATATCAGGAAATATTGTCCTCAGTTTGTGTTCTTCCAGTGAGCTTTGCAGATGTGGGGAAATGTCATCAGGCAGTAATCATTGTTAAATTCATAATTATTCTGGGAGAGAGACCAACTCTTATCTGCCCCTGGGAGCCCCGTAATGCATAGCGTCATTTCAACATGGGGGTGTCCGCGACACGGTTTATATGCAGGTAGCGGCGCTGCGGCTGCTTTATATAGCGACTCGTTGCATTCTCCCTCAACCCAAATCCTCGGATCACGCATTTTAGCTAAAACGCTAACGTTAGCTTGCCTTGCGTTGACTGTAGCGTTGTGGGTGATGGTCACGCAGATGTGTCATGAGATTTGAAGCGTTGCTGCCTTCCACAGACACTTTTTCTGCACGTGCTGCAAACAGGATAGCCGTCTTCTATCAACTGTCCCTCGGCATTCTTCAAATATCCAAAAAATGCCCGTACTTCCCACTTTGTCTTCCTTGAGGGATAATAAATGTCCTGAGCGCTGCCGTCTCCTCCTTTGGCCATTATTTCAGCTTTAGCTTCAAGAAAGTTTTGGTTGTAAACAACAAAGTGCGCATGTGCCGCCGGCAACTTCAGCAGATGATACGGTGGCTGGTAAGGGTCACTGCGCCTACACCGCAGCCACGGTAAACCCAACAAGATTTTTTTTTTTAAACAAGACAGTTATTATTGTCAACTTTTTTTACCGGGGTTTACTGCTACACCGGTTACCGTGACAACCCTAAGTCCAGGTACTCAGTCTGTCACTGAAACGGCCCGGTAAAATAAAAACACGCTGAGAAGGTCTGGTTCAATTACCCAGAGACTCCTAGAGTGTAAACAGACCATAAACATGGAGGACAAGGCTCACACGACCTAGGTAGTGGCTTTGAATGAGTAAATGAACCGAAAGACGTGTCACAGGTGTCTGCTGGAGTAAACTGGTGTCTGGAGCACGGGCTAATACACGCTTGTTAGCAGCGCCCTTGGCAGTTAGGATGCTGGCTGACTGAGATGCACACAGTGGCCTCTTCTGTGTGTTGAAGGCGGATGCTGCCTCTGGCCCGGACCCAAACTTCCTGCTCAGAGTCCCAGCCCAATCAATTCTTTTATGTTTCCTTCCAAACAAGGCTTCATCTGTGTGGCCTACAGGAAACAGTGACCGCAGCTAGGCTGTGTGTGTGTGTGTGTGTGTGTGTGTGTGTGTGTGTGTGTGTGCGTGCGTGCGTGTTTGAGAGAGACCACCAGTATTCTGGGACAATCAGCTTTTACAAGACAGCCGTGCTAATAAAACCCAGGTTGTTTTTTACTCACGTTGTACGTTTCCAGTTTCACTCGGTTACGAAAGACAAACGTGTTGAAATTTGATTGCTGGAAGACTTCGTCCAACGCAGCTTCACTCTGACATCAGGACAAATACAAATGCTTTAATACACTCAAAGCAAATCATGTCCAATAGATAAAAACTTGAGCACATTTGAATTCCGTTGAATATTGTGGAAGAGTCTCACCGAGTCCCTGAGCTGGCCCAGGTAAGCTGCATTCTGGCCCAGAATGGCCTCTGCGCTCTCCTGGAAGCAAGTCACCCACTGGTTGTCGGTGTAATCTGCAATGTTAGCCTGACAGAGAAAAAACAACCAGAAAGATGACAATCAGGCAACCCTGAGGTGAATTTATCATGATACTTTTCATTTTTAAGTGTGATTTCTTTTGGGGTGAGGGTAGCTGCTGCTGGGAAGCCTTGTGAAGCACGGTTGCCCCACACACACACACACACACACACACACACACACACACACACACACACACACACACACACACACACACACACACACACGCACACACACACACGCACACACACAGTGGAAGCAGCTTCACAGCTTATTTTTCAGCTTGTAAGGAACAATATGTCACATGGTGAGAGGCACTAAACAAAAGCTACTGGCTTTTATGGTTTTGCTACTGAGATTGTTGTTAATAAAAGGTTATTTGAGTGGAGGTTTCTGGAAACGGCTTTGTGTTCTTCTGCGCTCTTTAACCCAACAATGCCTTAAAGCAATCTTAAAGAGCAAGTCACCCCCAAATCAACTTTTTTTTTTGCTGATAAACTATATAAATGTGTGTCTAATTGTGCTGCAGACATGTGTGGTCAATAATTTGGTACTTCAGTGCATTTTAGTTAAAATTTAAATATTCTGCCTAAAACTGTCAGTGTTGCACCGTCGTCGGGTAAAAACTCTGCACTGCATTGGAATTTAAATCTGCCACCGCTGTTGGCTAAGAGGTATGCTATGATGGAAACTGATACATTTTGATGTCACAATGCCGTTGTGAGCCTGTGTGTGTGTGTATTTGTTAGCGGCTCCGCCCTCTCTGTCTGCTAGGCAACAGCATTTGTTGCATTTTTCAAACAGGAAGTGAGAGTTGATTAAGAATCTGGTTGGGGTGACTTGCTCTTTAAGTTTGTCCTTATTTACAAAGTGTCAGACATGAAATCCACATTTCAATCTGGTTTTAAAACAAAGAGCACCATATTGGGGGGTCTCAGCTTGAAGGACAAAGTCCTGGGGGAGACAACACAGCCTCCCTAAAGCACATGGAGAACGCGGGGAAAAGACTGCTAAGTCACTTACAGACAGGATGAGGCGGTACTTGAAGTTGGGGAAGTCTTTATCGCACTTCTCACAGCGGAACATGCCGTTGTGCTGGTCGACCACTTTTTTGTTGCAGTCTTGGGTCGGGCAGGCCTGATAAAGGCAGTTCTCCTTCCGCAGAAACACCACGGTGGCTATGCAGGTGTAGTAGTCGGCCTGGATGAAAACAACATCAGCAGATGTTCAAGACGGTCTTCATGACCTTTATGTTGTGTGGGGAACATGTCGACAAAACTGCACCAACATTATATTAAGAAAAGGAGAATTCAGAAAGAAAATAAATAAATAAAACGTTCCGATTACGGTTAAACTACCAACAAGAGTCTGCCGACTAGCGGGCAGGACGCGAGCTTCGCATTCTAGATCATCAACCAGGAATAAGCAACAGCAAAGCAGGCAGCGTGAACAGGACTGAAACCGTCGGCTACAGAAAGGTTTTAACGCACTTTAATAGAAAGATGTAAGCAAACCCGTCGCATCACAACAAATCCATGTTGCACCCTGACATCTGCATGACTTTGTCCTACGTTTTGCAAATCCCTGGAGAAATCCTCCAACAGAAGGGAATCTGGGCCAGTGCACACTTTGATAAAAGATAAAAGGCACTTGTTCCAGCTTACACCGCGGGCACGCCACCTTAGTGCCTCCCGTCGTAAAACGCCTGCGGTGATTAGATAAATAACTTGAGCGCACACGACAAAAACGCCCATCCAGATGTCACCCGTCACTGCCTTTTCAGTAAATGTCTAATTAGTGCGACGCTGACCGGTGAGAGGAGGAAGGAGAGGAAAACTCTGTTCTTCATGTCGTGACCGACTCTTACAAGTGGTGTCAGGAGAAGGTTCCTGCTTACTCTCAGAAAAGGACACGGCGTCGTGGACACACAAAGACAGATCTAGCTGGCGGGGTCTTAAGAAGGCTGACCCTCTCTTCTACTCCTGCTCACACCATTTGTGTGAGGCATTTGAGGAGAGCCCCTTTGCCACAATCAGGTCTCATCACATCACACTGAGAAAGAACGAAGGTCTTTGTGTAACCCCCAACAATTGTTGATCCGTCCAAATTTTATGTAAGCAACACTGAAGAGTTTGACACTTTAAGCTATTGCTTTCAAAATGGTTTTAGTGGTTCTTCAGCCAGAAACGTGAGCAGATTCCCACTGGACAGCACTCAGCAGCCCTCTGCTAACCAGAAACGGCACTAAACTACTTTAGTGGTCCGGGTAAGCAGCCTGCCTGCTTTGTTGTGCCGGTAGCTCAAATAAAGGCTGGCGGTTTGATGACCATCAATAAAAAGCCCCAAAACTTTTTGTTGGCATCATGGCCAGACCTTAAAGTAAAAAGTTGCTTTTGGATGGATGAAGAAAAACTTGAGAAGTAATAGATTACAAAAAAAGCTCACGTAAATTCAATAAGTCAAATACTGTGTGTGTGTGTGTGTGTGTGTGTGTGTAAATTTGTTCATCAAAACAAATATTTTGTGTTTTTCTTTTCTTAAATTCATGCACTTTATTTCTAATATTTTCTATGTCATGAGGACATTAATATGAAGTCCATGGTTAATTACTAGAAACTTTGCAAAGGTCACATTTGAACAAGAAACTTTCTACAAACCTGTAAGAACATCTTTTTAAAAGGGAAATGAAGGGAAATGTATTGCTTTACTTGTTTCATTGCAGAAAGCAGGAATGGACCCAATGTAATCTTCATAATCAATAGCAGAGATAAATGTGACTTTCAGCGTGAACATCCACCGCAGTGCGAGGACACCAACGATGCAGAGGGATTAATGAGCGGAGGGAGATAAATGTTACTCAAATCAGATTTTTAAGCACATCTACCAGGCGGTGCAGTAAAAATTATATGGTATCGATTATAAAGATTCATCACGCCGACACGGAGCTAAAAACCTTTCTTCTGAAGTGAAGAAAAAACCAAAGCTGCAGCGTTAAACACCCGTACGACCCTCACACGGTCAGAACAGATCCTGCTCGAGTCGCTCGATTCATTAAGAATCTTTCAGTTTGTTCTTAAAACTCTTCAGTCGTGCTTGAATAGCATCATGTCTGGAGTCACTATGATGTTGATATTTCATGGCGAGGAGACACACGTCTACCTTTTCTCCGTGTCCCAGATGCTCGTTCTTCACGTCGGACAAAGTCTTCCAGTTGGTGCTTCCTCCTCCGCTGCCCTTCGTCTCCGTCAGAGACTGTCCATCCATGGCGTGGCCTTCTTTGTCAAACCTGCAGAAATCCAAGTCAGTCGGTGACTGCTGACAGGAGCTCAGTTTAAGTAGAACAATTACACGGTTCAGGCTGATAAGTAACCGGTTAGGCGTTGCACTGGTTGATACCTGGAATGTTAGGAAACTAGTTTATCCTTTTGCTGGTTTAACTAAGCAGAGGGATTTCATTAGCAGAGCATAAAAGAAAACAAGATCAGATAAAAAGACTTTCTGCTTCAGTTCTTGGGCAGTTCTGTTCAACTTGACATTTCAAAGCAATCATAGTGGGTGAAGTAACAAGTCAAGTTTTAAATGTGTGAAAGAACCTCAAGCGCCAACGCTAAAAGGAGGTTTGTTCACTTTGTGCAGCTTCTTCACCTTACCGTGAACAAAACTGACGCACAAACACCTCAACACGAGGAACAAAGGTTGCCAGATCCACTTCAGGAAGTTAGACGGGCGTATGATGAAAATTTGTAAACTGAAATCTGGACTCACATTTGATTGGTTTAACAATGAGTCGGCATGTTAAAGTGACAGTGTGCATTTTCCCTGGCGACAGGGGGCAGTTAGGGCTGGGTGATTAATAGAAAATGCATCGTTATCTAAAATTCTAACTAACCGATATAATTTCTTCTAATGACAATAAATTCAATTATTAAAAAAATTAAAAGATGTGTGGCAGTTGGTGACGTTCACGTCCCTTTAAGAAGCCGTACCACCTGGAGTCACATGAAAATGGTAAATGGCCTGTATTTGATATAGCACCTTTGAGAGTCTTGGAACCCCCCAAGGTGCTTTACAACACAATCAGTCATTCACCCATTCAAACACACATTCACACACTGGTGGGGATGAGCTACGATGTAGCCACAGCTGTCCTGGGGCGCACTGACAGAGGCGAGGCTGCCGAGCACTGGCGCCACCGGTCCCTCCGACCACCACCAGCAGGCAACGTGGGTTAAGTGTCTTGCCCAAGGACACAACGACAGCGACAGACTGAGCGGGGCTCGAACCTGCAACTTTCCAATTATGGGGCGAACACTTAACTCCCCACAAGAAGCACAAGAGAACAAGAGAAGTAAATCTTGTGGCCCCATAAACATAAAACATAATACACGACTGCCCCATCTAGTGGATAACTAGTTTTGCACATGCATGTAGTTATCGCCCAGGCTTCCCAGAGGTGAACTCAATATTTTATGATTGATTTTAGGCCAATGACCCGGCTCCAGGGGCATTACATACCCGAATCATTGAAAGCAAGCTGTATTTTTGTTTTAAGACCTTACCAACGGAGGGCCATTGGGGTCAAAAATCCCTGGGAGACCAATTTTTGAACGCTTACTTCGTCAGATTGTTCAGCCTCCAGCAAAATGACAAACACATAAAAAGTAAATGTGTAAAACGTTTGTAACTGCTTGTTACAAACCAGAAAATGTGTTTTGTCTTTACGGGCTCCTGTAGAAGGAAACGTGGCCTCTAATACGGCGTCCCCTTTCTCCCACGTATTTTAGAGCTGATTTTTATTGTTATATGTTACGAAGCGGACAATATTAACAACTGGGCATCGTTTTTATCATTTTCAACTACATTTTAATGAATGTTTCCAGAGTTTTATGGTTAAAATACACATTGTCACTTTAATAACCAGACTTGCGTCAGAATAGCCCGACACATTTCACCTTAAACATGTCAAATATTCAAGCTTTTCACTTTTAAATAGAGAAAAATTAAAGCTTTATTTTATTCATTGAGTTCAAACTGAAGTTGGCACTTTAACACAATGTATAAAGTCCAAAAGCATTCAAATTTACAAAAATATTTAAATAAATAAACATGTTTGATTAGACTGCAGAATGAGCCATTTTAACTCTCTGAACAAAAGCATAAGGAACTATCGACTGGTTCACAGAAGGCGGCTTGGTGAAATAATAAATAAATAAAACACAAAAACAAGAGAAATGCTTGTTCCAAGTAGAGAATCTGTTTGTGTTTGTCAAAGTCGAGATGGATCATCTGAGAGGCTTTTTGAGATGAATCAACAGCAGAGAGGTGGTTGAGCTGGGCAAGAAAAAGAGGCCAGACGAGGCATGAGAACAAAGATGAGTATAAAGCAGTTCTTAAAGGGGGGGGGGGGGACCTGTTTAAAAATGGTCAAAGATCAGCTAAGCTTACTAATCTGCCAACAGGCAGAGTGCCACGCAAAAGGGAGGTCGGGTTGTAAATATGGGGTGAGCATGCCTTGCTCCTGGAGGCATGACCAATTGAAAATATCCCACATTAACTATTCCAACTGCAGCCTGCGCCACACACAAGCCTGCAGATTTCCAGTGTGAGCTATTCTATCTGGTGGATCCTGTTTATTTACCATTATAGCTGCTCAGATTTGCTTTAATTGCACCTGGACTCACTATGTTCAAGAAAAAGAAGCATGTAGCGACGCAGCAGTTAATTAAAAACGGATCATGATTCACGATTTGACATGGCTGCTCTGGATTCTTCTGTGTGAAAGACTCAGCCACACAGTCCCGTTGATGTTTGTAGTTTTAATGAATTCAAACCATCAAGAAGCACAAGAGAAGTAAATCCTGTGGACAAGGTCATTGCAGAAACAGAAGGACTAGAAAGCGGGCTGATTTCAGCTCAAACTACCTGCAGAAAGAGACATGTTTACCCCATAAACGTGTCACAAGAGTGGGTGTGTCGATGCACCGGGACAAGAGCAGGGACATGTCTGAGGAAACGGCATGAAGGGATGAGGGGAACACTCTCACCAAGATTTTCTCAGCTCCAGGCTAACACTCATGTCACGATTTGACATGGCTGCTGAGAAGCAAACACCTCTGTTCCACATTTTTCTTTAAACATCTTTGGTATGTTCTTATCGTCTTGTTTCTAACTTTTTTTTTTGGTTCTTTTTAAAACACAGAAAAATATGCACCATTGCTCCATATTGTGACATTTTGTTTGTTCTTTCATCTGTAGGAAATGGTGTGCTATCAAACAGACTTGATGCCACGAGGGGAAGCTTAAAAATATGTGAACAAAGACTTATGATCTCCAATCAGCTACAGCCTCATGCAGTCAAAACTCACAGATCTAACAGGTTCTGCAGGAATCTGAACGCTTGATTATAAAATTGTGTCTCACTACTGATTTTCTATCTGCCAGTTTGTTGTCTGATGCTCCAGAATCACTCTGCATTCAACAGGAAGTCTGAACATTGAATCATCTCTAATGAAAAAGTGAATAAATTAAATAAATGTAGGTCAAGTTCACCTGATGAGTATTTTACACGTCATTCATAATTACCTAATCAAGATTAATGACCTCAACAAATAACCACAATGGCTGCATGTGGCTGAAAATTAAGGCTTAAACTGAATTAGTGGCGACCTAAAGCTTCCACCAACCTTCACCAATTGAACAGCTCGTGGTTTAAAGTATTCAGTGGGACAGTCACTAATTACGTTCAGTTCATTAAAAAGTCATTTAACCAAACGGTCCTCGCTTGTTAAAACAATACAGCATTGTTTAAAAACTGCTGATGTATAATGAGGCATCACATCCACTGGACTACCGGTGAAACCTTGTTTATTTGCTTTCAGGCAGCTGCAATTACTGCCCCCAACGTTCTGTTGTGTTTAAGTGGAGATACTCGAGTCACGATGTGGAAGAAGGAACAACTAAATGAGATAATGATGAATGTCTGAGGTTGACTGCATCAAGGACTGGGAATAAACCTGCTAAAGGGAGAAGTGACACAGCAAGGAAGCATGGGGCTCCTTAAATGTGATGATGCCACCTAGTGGACAACTCCGTCTCCACAAGTGATGGTTAGAAACCTTAAAAGAAATCTCTAAAAGACACAGCAGACACGATTAGATTATTATCCTATAGAAAACGCTCATACTCGTTTCCTGTAAGATAAATTAGCGAGTCATTAAATAGCTACAACTCAGCTTTTCAAATGAGCACAGGAGCGAGTGCAGAGCGGCATCACGGACACCTCGGCACGGGTTTAAAACAAGAGCTCGCCAAGGACAGACGATTCATTTGAACAAATCCCAAAGGTCTGCACCAAAAACGGTGAAATTAAAATGCCTCTGCAGCAATCAAGCAAAGATGTTTCAGCAGCCTCGGCTCTAAAGCTGAGGGAGAATGGCTTTAGGCTTCTGAGTGCAAGAATAAAAATATGTTTATAGACTCGCTTCACCTGATTCTGATGTTTCAGAGCTTGTGACCAAATAAAAATAGAATGAGTCCTTTTCCATGGCACGGCACTTATTAATAGCCAAATAATTTTCTTTCTCTGTGGAAAACCCCTCAAAGTAACAACAAATAATTAAGAGTATTCTGTCCACAGCTGGGTGACGGCTCTCAGAAGATCTAAATAATGAGCTCGTCCTGGCCACAGGTCTCGCACAGATCGACCTGGATTGAGTAATGAGTCAGGTCTTGTCGCCTCCCATCTGGGACTTTAAACGGTTCATTAGTGCATTCCTGCAAAGCTGCAGGAACCAAGCACCCGTCTGCAATGGGATAAACCAACGTCAGGATTCAAGGTTCACTATCTCTGACTGTCCAAACCAGAGGAAACTAAATTGGACAACAAATGTTTATCATTAAACCCACGAGAAGAGTATAAAATGTTAATGGTGCGCAGGTAAACAAACTCATAAACCCCTGGAGTGATCTTAATTAAGCTCTGAGCAAAAGTAAAACACTCCCACAACAAAAAATAATCAGTCTACAATGGTCGTCTTTGGCAGAAACGTCATCTAAACTAATTAAATTAATTACATTTTATTACGAGCATTTCCTGTTAAACGTCCACATTTGAGTCTTTTAGGACTTGTGGTCATCACCACAGATTTAAATAAGGATATAAACAACTTGACTTGTAGAATCATGACAGCGAGCACCGACTGGCACAAAAAGACAAAAAGACCATTTGGATTGGATTGATTTAATCTCTACTCAAAATATTTACTTAAAACAAAAATAAGGAGCAGAAAATGGCTTCGCAGGAACTTCTAAAGATGACTGATCGGCTTGCTTATCAGGCAAAGGTTACGTTTGTCCTGCCAGCCCAAACAAGCAGAAATAAAACACCACAATGAACTTTTCTGGTATTTATGAGCAAGACTGGACAGTTGGACAAATTTACCGTAAATCCTCTAATACAGGCCCGGGCCTGTATTTGACTCAAGCTCATCAAGCTCCAGGCCTTTATTGGAAGGAGGGCCAGAATTAGAGGCAGGCCTCTATTTCTATTTGAGCAAAAATGAACTAATGGTTTGCTGGAGTTTTTGACAATTAAAATTGCGCCCACATTTTCAAAGTTAAACACATCTCTTTTAACAACGGTAGTTCCTGCTTCAGCCATCTCTCCCCTCCCCCCGCGCAGCGGCGCAAACTCACTGATGCGCCTGCAGCCTCTCAGAGTTCCTGCTGCTCTAAACATTAAAATAATTATTTCATTTTCTGTTCCTCACTTCTGATTACCTTCAATGGTGTCTGTTTGTTGCAACCACCAGGTACAAAAACTAACTTGTTTTTATTTGACTATTTTTCTGTCCTGTCTGTTTATTATCTTCCTGCATCTCCTCTCAATCTTAAAGAAAAACTGCTACCTGGGTTCATTTATATTCACCTTATGAGTCACCTTTGAACTGCAGTTCTAAAAGATCCACCGACTGCAAAAACAGCGGAGTGCTCGCTGCTTGGCGGCAGCATCAGTGATCGGTGCGTCACCGGAGGACAAGGTGATGCGCCCGCTCCACAGCAGCGAAATGCATCAGGCGCAAATAAAAGACAGAAAACATTAAAGGAAATGAACCGACATGAACGATCGCGTGTCAGTACCGACGCTCTGGCACAGCGCGCTGCCCCCCCCCCGAGCGCAGGAGCTTGTCACCTGCTGACAGCAGGCTGCTGTCTTTTCCGAGGGCTGCATCTTGCCGGTAATTATCACGTGACAGCGACTAGTCAATGACAGGCATAAAAAGTCACTATAGTAAAGTCGACTAGTTCATACAACCCCTACTACTGCTCCCCAGTGTTCTGCAGCATAATCAGCTCATTCTCTTTGAACTTGATATCAAATTTTCGCCTCCTCTTCATCTCCGCACGGTTAAAGTTACCCTCGCGGTCTATCACTGGCAAATCAAAAGTGAGACGATGACACAACCACTCCCCGTACTTGCTTGTTACCACATTCCACCCGGCCACAATAAGAGACCGGCCATTATTCACCTCCGCCGACACCGGCCAAAATATGAGACCCGGCCGTTAAACTGAATACAGAATTTACGGTATGTATGGACAATCGATGAAGGTCGAGTCATTCGCCCACTGGTTTTTTTTTCCTTTACAAGCCACATTTTGTTTTACCTAGGAATTAGTCTGGATGGGACATCACAACCTTTTATATCAAATCAGCATCTTTGTTGCCATTCAATGTTCATATACCCGTGTTTCCCCTACATAGGCTCAGGCACGATTAAAATGCCCATTGTCACTTTTTGGACCGCTGAATATCGCTTAGGAAAAATCTATTTTGTTGCCTAAACTTATTTGGAAGAAGAAAAATTTTGGAAATAAAAAATTAAATATCTAAGAAGGTAAACAAAAAAAGTGGCGAGTTAAAGCATTCAGCTGCACCTGTGTGTTTCAGGTGTCCGTCTGCTTTTGATGACCGACACTTGCGTTGAATTTGAGACAATCGTGCACGTTGAAAACAAACTCAACACTGAACCCGTCCTGGGAGACCAGAACAATCACACAGACTAGTCTGCGTTTCATTTCATATAGAAATGTGATTAGAGGAGTAAAATAAAAGCTGCACGTTCACAGATAAGGTGTGATTTCCATTTAATAATGTAATGTACTCAAGTACTCCCACACTTTGGCCGAACATTGGGGAACGTTAATCCTGATGAGAATCTGAGCGTGCAATCTACAGGGTATCTGCAGGTTTAAGGGAGCCAAATTTAAGACTTTTAAGACCTTTTTTAAGGCCAATTTGACCAAATTTAAGCTACTTTTTAAATTTAAATTTAAAATATAATTTCCAGCTATTACGAATGTGGGATTAGCCATCCAGTTACCATAAAAGTTGCACGTCCCCATGGTGCAATCTCCCACTAGCTTAACCAGCTAATGTGCTCATCTAAAGAAAGCCCCCTTTCACAACCAACTGAATGAGTACGGTTCCGCTTATGCCAATATCATACACAAAAAATGCTGAACACTAACTAGAAATTCATGAAAATTGAAATAAAATAATCTTGTTTATTGGGTCTTTGGTAATTTAAGACCTTTGGAAACTGTATTTAAGGATTATTTGTCATTTTTAAGGATTTTTAAGGCCTTCAGGGGCAGCAGTAGCTCAGGTGGTAGAGCGGGATGCCTCATGATCGGAGGGTCATGGGTTCGATTCCAGCTCCCGCCAGGGGTATCCTGCTGTTGTGTCCTTGGGCATGACACTTCACCCAAGTTGCCTGTGTTAGTGGTGGTCAGAGGGGCCGACGGCGCCAAATGGCAGCCTCGCCTCTGTCAGACCTCCCCAGGGCGGCTGTGGCTACAAGTAGCTTACCATCACTAGCAGTGTGTGAATGTGAGAGTGTGAAAAGCGTCTTTGGGTGTCTAGAAAAGCGCTATATAAGTTCAATGCATTGTTATTATTATTAAATTTGGAAAAGCAAATTTAAGACTTTAAGACTTTTTAAGAACCCGCGGATACCCTGAATCTAGCAACTAGAAAATGGAAACCTGATGTTTAATCCATAAGAGCGTTTTGATTTGAACAGTTTTACCAGAACAGAACAAGTGACCATATAGTGTTATGCCCAACAGCTGCTCTGTAAGGAACTTTTCATACAAGGTCTTTAGTTGTATTAGCGGTTTTCCCCACCAGTATCATCTGTGGTTAGCAGGCTCACTTACCAGCCTCGGAGTTTATACGCCTCGGGGATGTCCGGGTTGACCATCAGGGTGCTGCTGAAGGACGCAGAAAGCGAGCGGCCTCCAAAGTCTGAGAGCTTTGCGGCCTTAATGGCAACGATAGGCTGCCCAGAGCCGTCAAACTTCTCTGCCTAGTTTGGCAAAACAAAAACAAAAGTGAAATGTTAACTAGATCTTATCGTGCGTCGTCTCCACTGTAATCTGCGCTCTAACTTGGGTCTTCTCCTTCAGCTCTAAACTGTAATTCCATTTGTATGCATTTTGTGTTTCTAGGCGTTTTAATATCATGTCCTGATAATTGTAAAGCACACAGAATTGCCTCGGTTTTAAATGTGCTCTATAAATAAAGCTACCTTACCTAGATTCAGAGTCACCATTTAAAGTGTGATAGCTTTTTTTTTTAACAATTGGAAGTGGTTCTGAGCAAGTAGAAAGACCGGTTGTCCCCACCCACTCGGCCAGGACATGACATGAATATTAAATGAGCAAAGACGACAAGCTCTGGATCCAGCCGACATTCATTCAAAGTCAGGATTTTCCCAGGAAATCCTGGAAGAAGACTGTAGCTTCTACCCCCCCCCCCCCCCCCCCGTTGTTTTCTTCTCATCAAGGACGTTAGCGCTAGCTCAGGTTAGTGTTAGCAGTGGCTCGGGCTAGCACAGTTCTGTGCTTAGTATTACTGTGACCTGTTAAAGAACAAGCCACCCCCTACCAGAGTCTAACTCCACTCCCACTTCATGTTTGAAAAATGCAACAAATGCCGTTGCGTGGCAGACCGAGAGGGCAGAGCCGCTAACAAATACGCGCACACACACAGACTCACAACAGCATTGTGACATCATAATGTACCAGTTTACATCATAGCATACCTCTTAGCCAATAGCGATGACAGATTTAAATTCAAATACAGTGCATAGTTTTTACCTGACAACGGCACAACACTGACAGTTTTAGGCAGAATGTTTAAATTTTAACTAAGATGCACTGAAATGCCAAATTACTGACGACGCGTGTCTGCAGCATGATTAGACACTCGTTTATTTAGTTTATCAGCAAAAAAAAGTAGATTTGGGGGTGACTTGCTCTTTAATATATTGCTAATGTTGAAGTAGGCTGGGCCATACAAAGTTAAGAGTGGGTGTTTGTGCCAATAACCAGCTTTTCTCAGCGGCCATCAAAAAATGACTCATTTACAGACTTGTGGGTGCATTAGACACCCAAAAATGTCTATTAAACAATGTAAATGTGGTTTTAAATTCTAGGACTGCTTCAACACTTCATTACAGAACACAAAGTGCTGCTGAGAAACGTCACAGACTGTCTCAACAGTTACACAATCTGTAAATACTTCCAAGAGGAGCACCACTGGGCGTGTTTTGCTGATGGGGGCATACAACAGTCATACAAAATGGAAACCATAACACTTCCCATCTGACACTCCCACTGTTCTTTCATCAACTATACATCTTGCGTATTTATCAGCCCCCACTGGAAACGGGCTACCTGTCAAACCCAAAAAGGGAACGCTGGAGGAAAAAAGGTAGTGAACTCAGGAAAAGTTAAAACAACTAGGGAGTACACTTCATTATTTAAATCCCCACATTTAAATGCAGCTTTTTTCTCCTCCAGAAAGCAATTTGTTTATATTCACTTCAGCTCTCCAGCTTTATGTTGGTTTGACAAACTTTCAGCTTCACTCGAGTCCTCCCTCACCTCCTCTCCCCACAGAGTGACAGTCACCAGCTTCCCAGACATGTCCATCAGACTCAGCGTCCTCTTGGACACTTCGCGGTTATTCTTGGTGGTGAGGCGGGTCATCTCGTCCACGCTCTTGCACACTCCAATCACGTCTGTGATCAAAAACAAAATCTGTGTTGATTTTCTCATTAAAACATGATTAAAATACCCTTTTCATCATAAACGTTCAGTCACTGGGGGTGGAACCATTACTGTGTTGTAGGGCTGCTCAATTAATCGAATTTTGATCACGATTACAATCTGAGTTTAGAACGATTATAAAAACAAAACAAGCCGATTATTTGCTCCTCCCGCTTGCGCTGCCCCGAGTTGCAAATGAAGCGCTCCTCCCACAGCGTAGCCAACTTGGCGACTTTGACGCTATTTCCAACAGCTTTTCAGACCCCCTTCTTGACTTTTTAAATCTTAAAAGTACCTAGCGAACAGCTTTTACGTCCCTCGGCTTCGCTAGGAGCACGATGTGGTTAAGGGAGTAAAGAAGATTTTGTACTGTAATGAAACAAACACTTTTATAGTTCTCTATAAGATATTTATTAAACAAAAACGAAGCTCTTGGCTGAAAAGGGAACAAAAGGGTCATCCAAGACTGGGTATCAATAAACAAAAGGATTTCCCAATAAAGAAAAACGATATCTAATAATAAACTAAAGACGCAGCACATAGGCTGGAATAAGGCTAAACGGTAAACGCAAAACTGCACCAAAAGGGTGAGCAAAGTCTCTCTATAACGAGGACACACAAACTACTATTAATATTACCAAACACAAAATTACCACTAAGGTTTCAAACAAACGAAAATACCACTCAGGTAGCGAACGAAGACTTTAACGTCTGTAATGCGAGGAGAGCTAGAGAGGAGAGCAAACACCTCCGTGCCAACACCCATCTGCACATCTCTCCCAGAATGGCAGGAAGCTCTCCCTTTTAACAGGGAGGCATAAACGAACTAACTGCCTGCAGCTGTGCAGGCAGCGGATAGAGGGCCTCTTGTGGCCAAAAGGAGACGGTGCACGTCACAACAGCTCAGAAACATCTCTGGTAACCCTTAGCTACTTTCTGGATAACTGTCGTTGACATTTCCTGCAGGTTAGCTAAACACTCCGCCTGCGCTCCGGACCGTTCTTCACAACATTAGGAAAGGGAATGATGTAGTGATGTGTCAGTCGCTAAAGAAACAGCTCTCAGAGCCGGCTCCCTGTTGGAGTAACCAGAGTGAGTGACACACACACCGCACCTGCGAACTCCTGAGCCACTAAAAACGGCTAAATGTGCGCGTGCGGCACGCTAAACACACGTGCAGCTTGTCCTGATTGCAGAGACCGGGTTGGGTGGTGCAGCTGCGGTTGGGACAATTATTACATTAACTGATGGACTTGTAAATAAATAGTTTATAAATAAGGTAGAATTAAGTTCCTCACGCTGATAACTAATAACTAATCTCTCTTGAGGACACGGTGCTAGTGCACTCTCCTACAGCACCTTGACACGACTAAATAAATGTTATGCAACATTTTGTGAACATCAATTTATTTGCATTTATTTGTTAAAAATGCCACTGTATAATTCTTGCTGTCAGTATTTGCAAGATATTGGTATTTGGGTCTGTACTGGTTAGACTTAAATGAGTTAAACCAAGGTCTATAGCCCTTGGGTCATAAACTATGAGCTATAAGAATATTGGTCTTTTTATCCTGGGAATCAGGAGTTCTTTTAGTGATCATCTTGTTTCTTATTTCTTTTTGTCCTGATTGTGCCCTGAGCAATTTTATGACTGAATAAAAACAAATAAAAACAAATTGAAAAATCGTCCTAAATAATTGAGATCTCAATTTCAGTCACCATAATCGTGATTATTTTTGCCATAATCGAGCAGCCCTACTGTGTTGTACGTTTCTGTTTATGCCAGGATAATTCAAAGACTGACTACTCCTGTTGACTAATATGGCCAAATATAAGATGGGAAGCTTTTATTTCTAAAAGCTGAGCTTGACTTAATCATCATTACTCATATTTTCACTGGAATCGCCAGTTCATTTATCCATTTATGGATAAATGAACTGAATAAAGCTGATGCTGGTATGCATCAGAGGAATTGCTCACAAATGTAATTTAAGATGCAGTCTTCTCTAAAAAGAATAAACATAATCCTTATGACATCATTTAGTGACAGCAGGCTCTCCCCTTCTATAATCCCACCATAGCTGCACAATCAGGGCATTACAATCAGCAATATTATTACCCCAGTCCATTAGCATCAGCAGCAGCAACCTCCATGACAAGCTACATAGAATAGCTAATTATAGGAAGCTTAGGAACACCTCCGCAGGAACTGAGCTGAGCATTAGTTGGTTGGTGCTTCTGCAACACAGCGGTTATGATAATTCATGTGTTTAAAAGACAAAAACGTCTCCTTGTGCATCAGGAATTCAAACATCTACTATGAGGCACCTGTGGCTCGGTTCAGCGTGCTCGTTATTTAAGACAGCAGAGTTATGGCACGTCTTGCTGCACGGCTCCCACATCCCATATCCTTGCATCAACACCCTTTCTCTGCTTCCATAAATTCTGTACATTAACATGAGAAGTTTCATCATAAACTCTCATTCATTCATTCATTTAACTACCAACTTTTTAATATTTTGCTTTATTTGGGGATGACAGAAAATGTTGATGCTGACTCTTTTAGACAAATCAGAACATGTGGGCGGTGGACCACAATGTTATGTAGTTCAGAGCAACACTCAGACCACTTGTAATTAAGGATAAGGTTGGCTAAAATCTGAGTGCAGTAGCAACTAATAAAGAACTAAACGGATGTCACACCTAGGCCCACGAGCAGACCTAAATTAACCAGAAACTTGACCGGGTTTACGTGGAACGGCACCCTGTCGCCATCTTCTGGTCAGAAAGAGCGCTAAACTTTAGTGGTTTGGTTTTTGTTTGCGTCATGGCGGAGCCTAGAGGCTGACCCTAGAAAAAGAGCTATAACCAGAATGAACATCAGCTGGCTGGTTGTTTATGATAGTCATAATTCTGCTTTCAACCAGTAGGAGAGGAGCGTTCATTAAAAGTCAACAGAGAAAAGTCCCAATTACAGAAGTTCAGATGCATGACAGGTTGGATTCTTACCAACAATGGCATCTTTGTCCCTGTTCTCCAGCTCAGCAATGGAGACAAAGTCACACTGCACCGTGGGAACGTCACAGCTGTCCTCACAGGGGACGATGCTCGTTTCCCCATTGAGCGTCATCTCGTAGTCATTCTTCACCGATGTGTACTGCTTGTTGGCAATCTTCAGGGAGCCCTTGGAGATGTAGTAGACCTGGATCATGTAGATGGATGAACCACAAGTTAATCAGAGATCTGGGGAGCGTCTCACCTAACTGCATCATGCAAACGAGATAGGACTTCAGACAGCAGGGGAGGTGGGAAGGCACCAACAAAGCCTGGCTGATGATCATAAGCTTCTTATAGTATGGGTACGGCACTGCCAGATGACTCACTCACAGTCTCTGTGGTTTTAACACAAAGTACTGGCAGCTGTTGATGGAGCCAAGTGCTGCCAAATCTGTCTTTAACCACAAAGTGAACGGCAGCTCTGGCAGATCATTTTGACATCCTGAATCATCATCTGGAGGGAAGAATCTCACCTTGCCAACCTCGATCAAAGGGAAGAATTTGTCCACTTCTTGGGTAAAAGCTGTCACTCGGATTTCTCCCTGTAGAAGCGGTTCAAATTAGACATAACCGGCACAGCCACATTAATAAATAAGTGCTGCAGTAAAACTTACGCTCTCATCTACAATCTCCATGGAGAAGAGTTTGCCTTCGCCACGAGAGTTGCTCCATGTGCGAATGCTGCTCTTGTTGGTGACACGGGCGCGGATGGTCCACCTGTTGGAGGGTATTGGGTCATTTATAAACTGTCCATATAGCGGGTTATCTGGCCCTTGGTGGTGTTTTGGAATACACAGGTTAATCTTAAACTTGCATCACCTAGTGTAGTCATTAGATATGTTGTCAGAAATACCCGATGGGGCAAGTATTTTTCTCCAAAAGGGCAAACAGTACCAAGATGTTGCAAGCATCTTACATGATTATGCACAATGACTTAGATAAACATTGAAACCGAACCCTACCGTATGTGTCAAAACAACCGTTTCATGAGCATCCTCCTCAAGCTCTAAATCTCAACTGAACATCACATTTCTTGTAAAACGCAGCACCCTACACCAGACTAAAAACACCATGATGTTTAGTGGGTCCGTTGATAAATTCCAAGAAAAATCCCAGAAGAACTGAAAACTGGACTTTTATGTTTATTCTGATGTTTTAATTTGGTGCAAATTTAAATGTATGGCTTGTAACAATATACCATCTAGACCAGGTCCCTACACATGTTGAGCATTGAAAGGACCCCATTTGGATGCTACTTTGAAGAGCTGCATTAAGACTAAGCTAATACATTGCCCTTGTCTGAAAATAGGAAGTAGCTATCCTCACTTGGACTGGTAGGGGTTGAGGCTGGCGATGGGTACAACTTTGGAGCTCCCCCCTGGAGTATCGGGCATTACAGATGGAGCCTTTTTGGCAAAATCTCTGCTGAAACCTATGTTCACTGTTAAGAGAAACAAGGAGAAGAACACATTATCCATGAAGAGTAACAACAACGAGATCGTGTACACACACACACACACACACACACACACACACACACACACACACACACACACACACACACAGTTCATCTGAGACAAAATAACCAAAATACAATTTCTCTGGATTGCAACTGCTCGATCACAGCAAGTATCCCACTTCATCAAAGGAGAAAAAATAAAACACATCGTCTTAAATTCATCACTGTTGACTTCCGCCTTGAACAGGAAGCAAAAACGAGATGTGATCGAGCGTTTCCGTGAGAGATGATTCACGTTTCCCAGAGCAGGAGTAGAGCGTGAAGTGCTGCAACAAACTAGCGCTGCTCGTCCCCTGGAGAGCGTTGCTGCCTTACTTTGAGATTTTCCATTTGAACAAGCTCTGCACATTCGATTTGTGTGCATCTCACGTGGAGGATTAGAGTTCAAAGTGTTCACTCGAGTCCACACACTTTGGCAACCGCTGCACTTCAGGTAATTAAACTCTGAGATCAAGCAGCACACACAGAGAAATGAACAATCCCTCCTGTTGATGAGGAAGATGGCTGCTGCAAGCCTTCACTCCCACATGGCAGATTCCAGGGATGAATGTCTGCTTCGTCACTCGCAGACACAACATAGATGTGGGAGTCTGCAGCTCTGCTACTGGTCTCAGAAATCTGAACGTAAAATTTGTATTTTATTGATCTAATCAACACTCTGACAGTTGGTTGAGTGATTGTCTTTCACAGGGAAAGAACAGGAAACTCCTCCCGATGCACCAACAGGAAGCATAGTTATGGAAACAAAGCACAGATTTTTGTTTCATAAGAGGATAAAAATAAGATTTCTGTACGCAAATGTCAAAATGTCATATAAACCTTAAGATTGCCTAAACCATCAGAAAGCTGCTGCCATCTAGTGGACATTTTGTTTTTTGTCTATGGTCAGCTTTTTCAGCAGAAAAATTAAATAAATATAAAAGACAAAAGCTTGAACTTACCGTCGTTCTTGTTTTGTGCCTGCAGTGGAGGTCTGACTTCGGGGCCTGGAGCTGCAGGGACGGGGCCAGACTGCTGGCCTTTATTCTGACCTACAAACAGAACATCAAGTTACCACAAGCCTATGGCAACACGATGACTCAATAATGAGTCACCTCTGTTTCTCTCACTGCCATTGAGTTTTACCATCAAAGTAAGGAGTAGGGTCTCCAATTTTACCACTGACTTCTTCAGCAGGTTTGATCAATTCGGTTTCCAAAATGATGACCACTCGGCTGCAATCAGATTTTACATCAATTCTTGTTCATTTTTGCTTTTTAAATAGCAAATTTTTATATTTGCTACGAAATCTGCATACCGTCCATCCTTCAGAATATTGGTCACATGCTTCTTCAGAATGCACACACAGTTTGGGGCGAGGATGTTTTCCTCAGCCAAGTAGTTCAACTGAGTGGAAAGCATAAAGGCTGCAAATGATGAGGGAAAATGTTTGGTTAGCTTTACGTTAACAAAAAAAAAAAAACTCACAATGTGCACCTAAACCCTAGCCTAGAGAACTAGAAAAACTGTAGGAGTATCTGAAGATTTATGCTCTGCGGGTTGGTCTAGCAAGAGTTGAGGAGTTTAGAACCACAGCGGTGACAAAGCAAAACAAAGATGGCATCGGCTCAGGAACGGCACTCTTTTTAAAAGGTGTTGGTATCAAATTTGGGCGACTTAGACTTGTGCAGCAGGTGGAGGTACCTCTTCGATAATGTATGGCAGACTGCCCTGTCGAGCGATTTCCGTTGCTGTCAATACGTCACGTTGTTTGTTGCTCTGATTGGTGCTAGCACTGTAGTATTGCAAGCAGAGACCGTTTAAAAAACAAAATGTAGATTCTGCCCCAAGACCGAGCTCAGTCTATGGGTTGTAGCCAGACTATATATCAACATAGCTTGCCAGGCTACCTAAAACCTTTAATGATTGCAAAATAAAACCACAAAACAAATATGCATTCCAGATGTCATTTAAATGTTAATCATGTTGTCGTTTAAAACGCAAATAGATGTGCTGCTCATCACACGATTCGTACACCAACAGTGCTTCAGGGTAAAATTTTCCCTGACAAAGTAAACAAAGGAGATAGTGCCAATTTTTTCCACTAACGAACAAATGTCAAGGTCACAGCTGCCCTGACCTTCTAATTATTTATTTACCAAGAACTATCATGCAGGAAAAATGAGATTTGAGTCTATGAAACTAGACAAATTAAAATTGCAAACGGAGTAGCTTCTCTCTAAAGATGCAGTCTCACTAACACTTTCCATTCAAAAATGATTAAATGCCAAACCCAGGGTCAGAGACTGGTTTGATCCAAATGTATATCATACTTACATGACAGTGTGTGGCGTCCATCACTCATCATCACCCGAAAGCGAGGTATCCCACTTCCTCCCTCTATTTTGCGAATGTTCTAAAAGTTAAAGAAAAAAATAATAAACTCTTGCAATTTAATCAAGAAATCTGCAAAAGCATTTAACTAATGCCTGAGTTACTGATTTGTTGGAATTTGCTGAAGCAGCGTTCTGAAAAAGAGTGTGGCGTTTAATGCCTCTTCTAAAATATATAACGCACAAAAAGCAGCTTCACAAGTTTACACAGCTTTCAATACGTCATGACGGTTAAACAAAGAGGCCGCATGTGATGCGGGCCTTAACCGTGTCAGAACTAAAAACGAAGCCCAAAAGTAAACATGCGTTTAAGAGCATGATACGTTTAAATGGTATTTCACGTTTTCGTTATTTACCACCAGCTGAAGAACTGCGTCATTCCAACCGGAGCCATTAGCTAAAGCCTGCAAACAAAAACAATTAACTTAATGTAACACAGCTGTTTTGTTTTAACAGTAGAAGCATTCATTTTTTACAAAAGATTTCTAAACACATGTACGCTACTTCAAATTATGTTTCAATTTACACCAGCTTCAGTCAATATTAGTTTTTAAGTTTCCATTAACCTCAATGTAAAAAATGTCGCGCGAATGCAAACACATAGTAGGAAAATGCCTACAAAAACACGTTAGCATTTTAGTTGAACTGACATTAACTTTACCTCAATCGCGCCTTCTGAAAGTTTAGGCATGTCTGACGATTTTGCGTTGAAACTGAAGATTACTTTAGCAACTGCTAGACAGACGGTTTTCTACAACTATCACTGCAAACAGCTTGAAGTTTATGCCTGTGGCGCCAACGGCTCAGGCATCGCGCGCTCAATTTGTCGAGTTCCGTGTTGTCGGGTTCCGTTTCCGGTAACAGATCTGACTTCAGTTTCCAAAATCTGTCAGAACAGCAAGGCTTAGAGGTAAATTCTCACTAAACTGACCGCAGACCAGCACTGAATTTCTCAGCGCAAAACTGAGTGACGTTTGTTGCGATGCGTTCAATGACATTTGAAAACAGGAAACACCCGATTTTGTGTTTTCAGCGATTTTTAAAAAACACGGAATGTTAGTATTATGCACAGTTTTACTCGTCGCATAATAACTATATTTGGAGGGGGAAAATTATATTCTAAGAAATTAACTAATTTTACCGTAAGTCATATTACAATAATATTGTAACTCCTAAAATGTGTCACATGGCAAGATTTGAAAAGTATTTTTAAATAACCATTTGATTTAAATGTCTCAGCAAATTAATTCATATCAATACTGATTTAGATAAATTGAATTGATTTAAGTACACAAGAAAACAAATTAAAATATTTTAAGAAAATGCTCAGTCATGCAGTAATGCTCAAACATATGATATTTTAGACTTTACATGTTGACACATTCCACATGTGGTGGAAAATTAAACCATCAAGTAACATGACAGGGACTTTTTTGTGAATTTAATGTTATCGTTTAATTTCTTGACCATCACATCTTATACAATACAGTCATGTAAAATGAATATTCCTCTTAAAATGACTATTGGGCTTTAAAGCATAATTATTTCCTTATGAAACAAACAAAACGTTTTTATTTTCACACATATTTTGATCCAGACTAGTCTGTACAACTGCTAACTCCTAGCTTTCTCTCAAGAAATGGACAGATTTGTATTTCCTATTTAGGACCCCCAAATGAGCTCATGTGATCTTTGTCATATGAGAAACCCATTTTATCTTTGCTTCCAAACTGTCCTTTCTGCAGGATAGGGGCTCCAGGATTAGGATTGTTGATGACACCCATGAAGATTGGTATTTGAGTTACGTCATCCATAAGCACAAAAAAGAAGGGCTTAGTGAGGTGGAAAACTGGAATTGCTGCCCGTGAGATAACTATGTTGGTGGCTGCAGCAGCTTCTGCACCATCCTCATTTATTTCCATGCTTGACTTGTGCATCACACTGGACACCAGCAGGGGGCCGTCTGCAATATCAGCCAAGTTAGGATTCAGGAACATCTCCCCGAGGCCTGAAAAATATAAAAAATAAAAATTACATTTTGAGGCTCAGTTAAGAAAATAACAGTGGTTTTCCCAAATTTTTACTTAAAATTGACATTTATTAAAATGTATCTGCAACATTAATAAAACATCTAAAACTTTACCTAGTTTGGTAAGAACCTCCTGTAACTCTTGAGAATACTCCAGTTTGAATTTTGGAACTTTGACCTGAACGGCCGTCTCTTTGGGCAGGCGTTCGTATAAGTCAGAGATATTTAGCTTTGCACACAATGCAGACACATTAACTTGTCCAGACTCAGGCATGACCACCAACAAACTCATCAGCTTCGTGAATGGGAACCTTGCAACCTGCACAAGAAGACATCATGTAGCAGTGAAACGGGTGGGTTGGAATCACAGCTGCGGAACAAGAACTTACTAAACAAATGAGGGAGGTTAAAACTACTTCACCACCACAAGGTTGCATAAATAGATATTTATATTATATTTTTACATTCCTAAAGGCTCTGGTTAAGTCTGGAAGGCTTGATTAGAACGTTTGTACGAATCTCACAATAAAACAGGTCAGTAATGATTCACTAATCATTAAAGGTGTAGAACACTTGTTTAATCTATGCATTTGCAGCGGTCTCTAGTAAAAATGAAAGCCATGTAAGTCTTACTCAGAGGGGGAAAATACACCAGTGAACCATTTACAGGACCTAGAAGGGAGCCGCATCACAGCTGAGCTTCAGACAACAAGATTTAGAGTCTTACTTCCTGATATTTGGACATCTGAACTCAGATTGGCTAACAGCAAGTACCACAGACTCTGTTTGCTTTGCAACTTGGATGTTTCATCTCCACAAATAACACAAGCCTAAACCAACAACAACCTTCCCCATCGCGAGTCAAGATGGGCGAGTCTACGAATGTCAAGTGACAGTGTGACGTTGATCTGTCAGGCTTTTCTAACCCTAGAGTCTAACTGTTTATTTTCTAGCAGAAGCTAATGCAGGAAATAGGTGTAGGAGACTATTTTCATGTTCAGCCTGCACGAAAAACTCAGAGTGACCAACTAAAATCGGAAATAAGATTAAAAATGATTTTTTCCAGTGTTCCACATCTTTAATAAATGCTGGCAAGTAAATAAATAAATAAATAAATAAAACAATATGGGGCTAAAATTACAAAATAAACACAAATCTAAATAAATGGCTATTTAAAAAAATTTGACTGATTTGGGGTGTTCTTTCGGAAATTATAGCAAACAAACCTCTAATATCAATAAATTTAATAAATCTAATTTCCTGAATTTGCAAGAAGGAATATTTTACCAGAACACTATTATTTCTAATACCTGGGCTTCAAGTTCATTATCAGCAAAACAGCTTAGCTGATGTTTGGCATCTTCCATCACATCAACATCCACCATGTGCAAGTCATCCAGGTAAAACACACCTCTGGAGGTAAAGTTTGGGTCGAATCGAGCTTTCCATTCTCCTGCAAAGAAACAAAGAAAAATCTTCTCATTTCAGTTACATAAAGTCACAACAATGACTGTTTATCTGAACTCAAGGAAATAGTTTTTTTATGTGGATATTCCTAGAATGACTCTGTAAGATTCCTTTCAGTCACCTTTAAAGTGGACAGCATTGATGAGCATGAGGAGCAGATTGGGTGGTAAAGTAAACAGGAAGTCCGTCATCCTTCCATTTGTTGCGTTCTCTACCCATTCATTAATCTGCTGAAGGCTCTCCAAGACTGCTGGTTCTGAGCCGTAAAATAGCTGAGATTCACTCACAAATTTGTGCTTTGCTTCAAACCCTGAAACACAAAGGTACACAAAGGTACACACAGCGTACCGCGTACAGCGTTGAGGGTCAAGTCTAGATTCTCATGAAGAAAAGCATCCATCCATCCATCCATCCATCCATTTTCATCCACTTATCCCGGGTCAGTCGCGGGGAAGCAGCCTAAGCAGAGAGGCCCAGACTTCCCTTTCCCCAGCCACTTGGGCCAGCTCCTCCAGGGCAATCCCAAGGCATTCCCTGGCCAACTGAGAGACATAGTCCCTCCAGCGTGTCCTGGGTCTTTTTTAGGTCTCCTCCTGGTTGGACGTGCCTGGAAAACCTCACCAGGAAGGTGCCCAGGAGGCATCCTAACTAGATGCCCGAGCCACCTCAACTGGCTTCTCTTGATGTGGAGAAGCAGTGGGTCTACTCCGAGCCTCTCCCAGATGACCAAGCTTCTCACCCTATCTCTAAGGGAGAACCCAGACACCCTGCGGAGAAAGCTAATTTCGGCTGCTTGTATCTGTGATCTTGTTCTTTCAGTCACTACCCAAGCCCGTGACCATAAGTGAGGGTAGGAACGTAGAGCAACCAGTAAATCAAGAGCGTCGCCTTCCGACTCAGCTCTCTCTTCACCACGGCAGACCGGTACAACGTCACTGCAGACGCAGCACCAATCCGCTTATCGATCTAGTGCGCTCTTTCCCTCACTCGTGAACAAGACCCGAAACACTTAAACTCCTCCAATTTATCAGTGCAGTTATAAATCAATGAAATTAGGCAAAACATTTCTTAGGAAGTAACCTTGACGCAGAAATATGCGGGTGGCAATTTGCAGGTCTCTCTTTTTAAGCTGTGCTAAAACATCACGCAGAGACCGATGGTAACAAGGAACAGCGTTCTCGTGGAGGTGATGCATCAGCAGCTCTTCAGTCTCATTTTTTGCACCTTTGAAAAGACAAAAATAAAGCAGCAGGAATCATTTCATGAGGAAAATGGCAATATCAGTTTTAAAAATGCAAAGAATGATAAATTGTTAATAAAATCAAATGAATATTGTGTAAATGAAGGCCTCTGTAGTGAGTGCATACCTAAAGCCAGTTGAGAGAGGGCTAGAGATATGCTTAAAGGAGATATGATGATGTTTGGGTGTTCTGGTGTGGTCTCCAGGTTTTGTAGCAGCTGAACACCCAGGTTCTGAACAGCAGCGGCGATGGCCTGTTGGGATTTGGGGCTCTGGCTGGCAGACTGACAATCACCGGTTTCGTTTACGTCTAGCGACGTTTTGTTCGAGGTAAGTATGGCTGCCAGTTCTTTGGTTGCTACATCTGTGGAAGCTAAAGGTTCTGACGTAGAACTTTCTCCTTCCTGCAGCAAGGATTAGAACAATCTAAATCCAAAACCCAAATACTATAAGAGGAAAAAGAAAATAGTGTCATTTTGACCCCTACTTCTATGGGTTGACTGGGAATCAAAGGGACGAGAGGGGTTGACTGATCTTCTGTCACCTCAGCTTTCTGTTGATCACAAGATTGTAATAAAACACCATTAAAGTACTTTACATTCAGCAAATACTCCAGTGATTTAGCCTTATTACGTAAAGGTAACTCATTGTTTTACAGTGGCTCCTTGGCTGCAGAGACAAATCAACAGGAGTGTCAGGCAGAGGTCCATGTCCTTTATACGTCACTAGAAGACAAAATTAGGCATAATGATAATTATTCTAAGCAAGACATCTTCTCACTTTGGTACATTTTATAGAAAATTTTACTTTCACAAAAGCAAAAGTATTCGCCTCCTGTTGGTGTTCAGGAGGGGAACGGATAATTTACTTCAATTTTGCCAGCTGATCTTCCAAAACCCACTTTCCAAAGCAGGAATTCTGACTAGAATAACGTAATTACGTCAAAAGTGCATTAAAGCTTGTTATAGAACCATAACCTGTTAAACAGACTTCACACAACCACGAAAAAAAGCTCATTATTTCAATTCTTAACAAAATTCCAAACATTTCCAGAGAATTTATTCAAAAATATACAGACTTACCTTTTATTTGAACTACAAAAATCTTGCTGCCGTGTCCAAAAAAGGAGAACCTACTGTACTGTGAATGGCTGAATTCCTGAGAGTAAAAGATTGGCATTTGCTCAGCAAACAGTTAAATATCAACTTGCATTGATCGACGCCTCATTTTGACCACTATGTGTTTGTAAATGCAGCTACTCAGACTCCTCCAGAGTTAAATAGGCTATTTTGACACACGTAGTATGTCAGTGAGATGGGAACATCATTAGAAAAACTTAATCTCTGACAGGAACAATGATAACTTGCTTACAAGAGTTTGATTAATCCAACCACAAACAAAAGCAACTTGGTGACTCGAGATTGAGAAACAAACTCCCACGCTTCTCAGAAAACCGGAATTAGGACATGTCGGCTGGACAAAAAGGCAAATAGTTAAATATTGTGTCCCAAGATGATCTCAAGTTGAATTTGCAACTAAAACCAATTGATCAACGCTTAAAAGAAATATTTAAAAGTCCACTAATTAGATTACTTTCTCAACACAAAGATAAACTTGTATCTTGGAAATATCACATGACTGCAATCTGCAAACACAAAGGGGACTTTGTACAATCTGAACCCAAGTGATTAAGCCAACATTAGGAGGCTAAATGGAGTCACAGCGTATCACATGAAACAACACACAGAAAAGACGGAAGCAACTTTTATTAAACATGTTAATAATTTAAAGTCTTTGCCCATTTCTCTTCAAGTGTTTGCCATTTTATGCTCCAATTTGGACTTCAAGTTCACCAAAAATGAGAAAATAAAAATTCTAAACATTCTTTTATCACATTTATTTGAACTTTAGGCTAATTATTAGAAAAAAGCCCAACTTTGAAAAACGCCATACAAAAAAGCTGAGCTTCCAAAGTTAGATGTTAAGGTTTAAAAACTGGAATTGATTTAAGAAACAAAACTTCTGCTGTTTATTTTATTTACATTACACAAAGAAGCATATATATTTCCTCTATAGACATAGTTTTCCTAATATTCCTACGTGGTTACACATAAATGTTAAAATACAAACGTTGTTTCACTTGGCATCGACTGTTCAGTTTTTGGAGGTAAACTAAAAGCTGCTGTGAAACAAACAAGATTAAATGATGAGTTGACCTAAAGATGGTCCTGATGAAGGTTTCAAGTCATTTATTTGGGGGGGTGGGGGAGAGAAACAAATATTCAGTATTTTAAATCTGAGCGTTACAATTCAGACTTTTCTTTGTGCAGTTGATTAAAGGTTGTGCATTTGTACTCTTTGTTTGGCGTGGCAGCTCTAGGCGAACTACCATCACAACAAGTTTATCGTTGAGCACAATCAAACATCTCGCTGTAGACATGGAGTAACGATTACAGAAATGGTTTGGTGTACAAATACTGCATAGTTTCCTCAGTGCACTTGATTAACATTTACTCATCATTATGAAGGGACAATGGAAGGCGAGCTTGATGTGTTTTTGGTTTCATTAAGCAACTACCGGTATTTGAAAAAGTGAAAAGACTAGCTAAAACCTTCCTGAGCGTATCTTCTGGTTTTGATCGGAATAGCTGAACTAGGCAGAACAATAAATGTATAGACAAGAGTTTTCCCATTATGTCATTCACGTATAAAGGCGCAGGATTTTAATTCCAGTGTGCATGAAACGTCTACAGAGTGGGGCATACTTCCTGTCCATTGGGTATTGTGCAAGCAGCCAGAATGGAATGAGTCTGTGGACACTAAGCTTCTATGATGCTGTTAATTGTGCTGCTTTGTTAAAAACAATGACAACCTGCCCTTCAAGTACAAAAAGGACTACTATTAATTCATGAAAAGACACAAAAGTTCAGTGGAAAGTGTGTTTGGTGTTGCTGGGAGCTACCGTTTTAAGCTAATAGCCGGATGGCGCCATTCTCAGAGCCCAGAAGGAGAAGCCTCTTAGTGGGCAGAACTGCTAGGCTGGTCAGGGTGCCGCGGAAGTTCTCCGAGCTCAACTTTGTACTGCTGATGGGACTCAGGGAGATATCGGCCATGGAGTACACCCCGATCTTATTAGCCACTGTTCCAGATACAATCTGAGAACCGTAAAGGTCCAAGGCGTGGATGTGATCAGACTGTGACTTATACTGGCGAAGAGGCTTGTTCTCAAGATCTTTCCACACGGCCAACGTGTAGTCGGTGGAAGAGCTGATCACCAGGTTTCCCTCTGCAGCCTGAAAACAAAACAAAAATAGGAAGAACAATCTTTGATTGGGTCACTCCAAGTAAAACACTGCCTAAAGTTCATAGTTTTTGTTATAGTCTGGTTAAACAAAGGGGTTTGAATGAACTTTGGTTTCCTGAAGACATTTCGCTACTCAGACAAGGAGCTTTGTCAAGAGAAAATCATTCTACTTCAGGTTTACCAAATTCTGAATTGACAAAGCTTAGGGGTGGGAATCGAAAACCGGTTCTTGTTGAGAAACCAGTTCCCACTGTTTCGATCCCGTGCCTTTGCCGTCACCACACACGTTGCGTAGCTTACACATTTATACAGCAGGAAACGTGGCGCCTAAGCGGCACAAACGCTCAAAAGTTTGGTTATTCTTTACGAGAAAGGATGACAACAGGGCAACTTGCAACACCTGGAAAGTAGATACTTCCTCAAAAAGAAGACACGCTACGGATGCGCAGAAGCATTTGTGCACTAAATACGCGATAACTTCAAGTGAATGTCGTGTTTTTGACCCACTCCAGATTAGAGAATTTCAACGCAACAGCAGTGGTGACGTTCGCACATCCTTTCCTGTTAATACTGCAGGTAACTAACTAATCAACCAACACTGCCTCTCATGTTAGCGTCACTTGCCTTACACACACACACACACACCTCCACACTAGCAGACTGCAGCGACTAAAGTCCGAGCTGTGGTAAGATGTTTCTCGTCTTGCAAAAGCTACAGCAACACTACAGCATACAAGAAAAGGACTGCCTTCCCAAGAAGCATAAAAGAGAACATTTGAAAAGATCTTTCCGAACAATACCAGGTACAATTGATGATTAATTATTAATAAACTTATGGTTAAAATGCAAGAGAATGTGTGCCATTTACTTTTTTTGACACCTATTTAACTATTTGGGAATTGAAAAGAAATTTGGTTTGATAGACAAAATTGACGATATGGATAAAAACATATCAGCTCCCACCCTTAAAGCTCCTCGGATGAGAAGCAAAACGTCTTCAAGAAACTAAAGAAGTCCAGTTGCCTTCTTTCAATCCCCTTTGGGTTACCATGACCTGGACGACTGAAAACTTTCACTAGCTCCTTTTCTGCTTATTATTGCAAAATGGAGGATTAATTTTATTAATTATATATTTTATATGTATAAAACAAAATGATAAACAACTCATTAAAACCTATTTAAGACTTAATGTCATAAAACCACCTAATTTATGGCTATAATAAAAAAACATTTTACAATTAAAAAATAATGCATCTTTCATAATTAGACAACTACTGTAGCCATCGACTTACACCTCTAATTTTATTTGATTATTTTGTTGTTTATTGCATAGTTAAGACACATAAACATATGGGAGGAACCTAAGTAGCCTTTCTAATGAGTAACCTGTGTCTATATTTGCCTAAACCTGTGCCTTCAGAACTAGAGACACAATCCTTGACCTAAATTGGGGTTAAATAAAGTTTGTGCTTTGTTGACAGCAGTTTTACTGGGTACAACTTTCATCATCTCCTACACACTGTGGAAAGATCCAAATAAAAGCCACTAGATTTATTATTTTCTTATAATAACACGAGTAAAAAAAAAGTACAACCCCATGGTTTATGGTCAGGTTTGTGAAGATTCAGTTTTTGATACATCTCACATGATATTAAACATGTGAAACCTTTGTGAAACTTAGGTTCATCTCAGAGAAAGAGTTAACTCGAGCTACGTTCTAATGAGCTAGCGATGTGTTGTGATCATCCGAAGGTTTCGGTGTTTACCAAAAGGTCTGATTTTGAGTTTGTTCCGCCCACGTATTTGGTTAATGTTTTAAAGCGTACAAACTGACAAACAGGAAGGCCAGTTCTGGTGAAACGTATAATGATTGAGGGAACTAATGAAAGATGATATAATAATTATCAACCCACCCAAAAAAATGTCTTCTCTTGCAGTCAGTATGGATTTAGATCTGGTAGATCAACATCACCGGCTTTATTAGACTCAATAGATTAAAAAATACTAAGCTGTGGGGATAATTCTAGATTTAAATAAACCATTTGATAGAGTAGATCATGAAAGATTGTTAATAAAACTGGAACATCATGGCGTTTGGGGGGCTGTTTTAAATTGGGGGGCAAGTAACATAATAACGGGCAATGGTTTTTGAAAACCAACAACAATCCTTGTGTCTGGACATTGATTGTGGGGTCCCACAGCAAGACGGTAAACTACACTGGAGGCATATTACTGTAATAAATGTAGTAAGTGATTCAATTCAATTCAATTCAAAGATTCTTTATTAATCCCAGAGGGAAATTAGAGTTTCAGTACACACAATTCTGAGATCAGGACAAGAATTGGTGATTGTGGTCATTCGCAACCCGAGTCGCGCTCCCTTAATCTCTACAGTAGGGTTGTCACGATACTAAAATTTCAAACTCGATTCGATAATGGAAAAAAAACTCGATACTCGATTTTGATACTATTTAAAAACATCTATTTATTGAACAAGTTTATTCAAAAAATAACATTCCTCAATTTATATAGCAAAAATTAAATGTTAAGAATTAAGTGTATTAAGTGCTTAAACCTTTCAAGTATCAGCATTTTTTAAAACGTGCATACAAAAACTGGCGAAAGTTAACACTTTAAATCATGAATTGTCTCACTATATATACACTATTTGCAGAGTGATGTTTTGCTGCTTAAACTCTGTTTAAGGTGCATTTTTGTCATAAGATGTAACGCCATACGTTTTGTTCTGTACTTTTGAACAACTCTGTTGGTCAATAAAGGGAGAAAATGAATTTCTCCACAGTAGGACAAAGGTACATCTACCGGTAATCTTAATAAAAACAGATTGGCGCACGGCAGTGACGTCATTAAAAGCGCCGGTTAGATTAGCCGCAGCTAGTCTGTTCATGCCTAGAAATCCCAGACTCACTCCAAACGAACAGGGGAATCACGTTAATGATTCCTAACAAAACCTTTCGACATTGAGATGTTTTGGTGCAGATAATGTCTTATTTCGAGGCTGCACCATGGGTGCCCGTCCGCACCCGTTATATGGATATACACTGATGGCGATTCGCCGATGGATCTAAATACCCCGGGGAATCCAAGTAGCACCAAAGTTGTCAGTGTGAGTAAACAAATGTACTGCATGCTAGAAATTAAGTCCGGGTTGCAATAAACGGGAGTTTCCTTTTAGCACATAAGCGTGAATATGCAACTACGTGTCGGACTTGGTATGCTAATTAAGTTGGGCTGTTGAAGCGCCTCCCAAATTCGCTGTTTATGTTTTTGTTTATTTATTTGGCAGACAAAACTTGGATCGGAGACAACTCGCGTGGGAAATTGCAATGCAGCCATGCAGCATCTTCTTCTTCTGTTTGTCTGGGAGGCGGAGGCTGCTTTACGGCATCTTGCTGTCGTGCGTGTCGGTGTACTTGAAGAAGGCTGTGTATAATAGTCCATAATATCAATACCACAGGGATGGAATATCTTATTTAGATACCACTTTTAGTATCGATTTATATCTAGGTATCGATTTTTTTGACAACACTACTCTACAGTAAAACTGTTGAGTGCTAGCACCAGATATGACAAAGTATTTATTTACTTATCAACTGAGAACTCTGACTGACTCGTCTTTACTTGTTATCTAGAATCTTCTGGTGTTGATCCATAATTGGCAACAGCCATGAAACTCGTGGAACAGGAGCAAGAGTGTGACTGCAGTAACCAAATTTAACCACAGGATGTCATTTTACTTCAGTCCTACATAATGCACCTTTAAAAGCTGTAATTATCTTGTACTAATAGAAAGAGATTTTGTGTTTCTGTGAGTAGGGTGAAGCTATGAAATAGTTTCATGATGGAGAAAGATGAATAGAATACTTGATTTGTATTATATTTTCATTTGTGCATTTGCAAGTATCATGTTCAGTTTGTTAAATGTTTGACCACGAGACACAGACATAATAACGCAGTAGCGCTTTGAGCGAGAGTTGTAATATGTCGATATTAGTTGGATAAGTCGTGATCTGTGGAAAAGCTGTGGGAGTTCATCAGTATGCACTTCTTCCCACTCCTTTCTGAGCATGTGGCTGATTAGTAGAACACCCTGATTTAGTTGTTTATTGTTGATTTTCTTTGTTGTCCTTTTCATCCAGAGCTGCATGTTCCAAATGAAAGTAATACAAGAGAAACTTGTATTTTCCAGCTGAATGAAATGCAATGTTTGAATCTATTGGTAGTCACGTGTCGCCCACTAGCCTAACTAGTCTTTTAAGCACAACAGTTGAGTACTGAAATGAATTGGGTGCAACAAAGCTCCAAGTTACCGTTGGAAGAAACGCAATCAACATTATTAAGGTTAGTTCTAAATGTGCCCATTGTTAATATTTATGCTCACGTTTATAATTTATAATCCAATAAAACTTGTTTTTTCTTTCTCTCTACTGAAGGGCACCTGTAATTTTCTTGTTACCTATGCAGTGACAATAAAGTTGTGACTTTTTGATGCTAACTGCGTTGCAAATATCCGAATTACACACACAAACAATACCTTCATCTGGAGGATATCTCCCTCATGAGCTGGCCAGCCCTTAAGCAACAGTCCTGTGCGTGCGTCTAGCAGAACAATGAATCCAGATGAGAAACCAGCAGCCACCGTGCGCCCCGAGGGGCTCACTGCCAGGTAGCGGATGAGCCCGGCGCTAACGCTGTTGTATGCCAGACGAAACTCGTGCTGCAGACGTGGGGGAAGATTTGTCACTTTCAAGAACACAATACCAAATTCCTGGTGGAATGTAAAATGGGCCACTCTTTCAAAAGACAGGAGTACTGATTAATAGCTAGTGGGTGGTAAATGCCTTGGGTTTCAAGAGAGTGAGCCTTCCGTGTGAAATTGCTACCTGCAATCCAGGTTTCCGAGGATCAATGAAGCGAAGAACAGAATCTGCGCTGCCAAACACAATGCTGCAGTGAGGAGCTGGCATGGTGGTGATGGCTGTAATTGGATTCTTCCCATCCACGGCTTCATACAAGCGAACGTGCTTGCCTGAGGACAATAAAGAAATGTAGCTACATGAGAAAATATGCTAATTCAACTAAAGGATTCTAATCATAGCTCATCAGCCACACCTGTATACTGGTCCCACACGTGGATGGTGCCATCACAGCTGACCACTTCCTGTGAAGTTTCGAGTTGTCCCACGTAGAAGACTGACTTCCTATGTTCATTATACGTCAGCCTGGGCTCCACTTCCTGCGTCCCATCACCGTGGTTGTAAAGAGGCCACAGTCTCACGGTCTTGTCTTTACTCCCAGAAAGGAAGAAATCCTCCCCCGCCAGCGGCGCTAAACACTTTACAGTGCCTGAATGACCCAGGAAACTCTGTAGTCTTATCTGGTGAAAGTGGAAATGTGAATCCTGTTGGTTTAGACCAATTTCATACTGCCAATAGGCCAACCAGTTGCCCTGGAGGGAGCGGCTGCTACGAGGGAGCTCCTGCTTCAGGGCACTGTCCTCTGGGGAAGAGCCCGTTATCCAGGAGGAGAAATTGGTTGCACCTGATGATGGCGTAGCAAAAGTAGAGGCAGCAGTGATCATGGATGTTCCATTACTGGAACGTCCCCAAGAGCTGGCCAAGCCATGATTGCTGTTTCCATCATATTCAGAGTCACGGGACACTTGAATTCGGTTTCCCACCAGGTGGCTTCCAAATGTGCCGGATTCAGGAATGGACTCTTCCTGTGATGAGGAGCAACTCGAAGAGGCGGGGACCGGACTGCAGGTCACATGTCTGCTAAAACCAGAAGATGAAGGAGGCTCCAACCTGGAGGCTGAGGTTAGTTCTGTTTCTGCACCCCCTCGACTCACACTCTGATGGTAGGACTGGACCAGCTGCCAGACTAGCTCATGATTCGGAACCAGCTTCCGAATTGCTGCATCGCCTGCAAACATCACAACAGAACACTGGTTTACACTACCAGGGAGCAGAATGTACTTATTTATGAGGTTTTTTTTGGCAAAAGGCATGCTTCTTTGTGATCCTTCCCACTAAAGAACATGTTTTCAACAACATTCAAAGAGGTATTCCTACCTATAAGGCAGTAGAAAGGGATGTACGAAGCATGCGCCATCTCAGGATTAAAAACAGTCTGTAACTCCTCCAAGACCCCCAACTCAAACGTCACACTGGACTCTTCAGGTATGCAAACATCCACCAATGTCACTTCTCCCACAACTCTTCGAGGAGCATCATTCAGCTACAGTGAAGAGACACAAACATTTCAGTTAGATTCATGAATTAAACCTTAAAATGTTTTGATGAAACAAACAAACAAAAAAACACAACTTGTTCTGTACGTCAGCCTTGTCGTCTTTATTTCAAGTTTCTCACATTTTTTCATGAGCTATTAGGGGTTGTAGGAACTAGTCGACTTCATGGCTCTGTATTGACTTTTTATGCCTGTCATCGACTAGTCGCTGTCACGTGATAATGACTGACAAGATGCAGTCCTCCAGCAGGTGATGAGCCCCTGCGTCGGGAGGCGGAGGCAACGCGCTGTGCCAGAGCGTCGACACAGGCGGTAAAACGGACATTTAACCAAACTGTGACCTTTTCCCTCTTGCAATTTTACCTTCCCCTCACCCCCATCCTAATCTTAACCAGTTTGTGCATGCAAAACTCTGATCGTTGATGCACTCCAGACATCTGCGTCCTGAGCACCGCCAAATCAGGTGTCACCACCCCAAAAACAAATTAAACACGCGATCGTTCATGTCGGCTCATTTCCTTTAATGTTTTCCGTCTTTAATTTGTGCCTGATGCGTTTCGCTGCTGCGGAGCGAGGCACATCACCTGTTTTGTTCACCGGTGATGCACCCCCAAAATTCCACTATCTCCGCTCCGCTCCGGCACTAACTCCGCAGCAAAAACGATCCCGTTGTTGTCGGCTGGCGAGCAGCGGCACTCCACTGTTTTTGTGGTCGGTAGATCTTTTAGAACTGCAGTTCAAAGGTAACTTATAAGGTGAATATAAATGAACCCAGGTAGCAGTTTCTCTTTAGGATTGAGAGGAGATGCAGGAAGATAATAAACAGGCAGGGCAGAAAAATAGTCAAATAAAAACAAGTTAGTTTTTGTACCTGGTGGTCGCAACAAACAGACACCGTTGAAGGTAATCAGAAGTGAGGAACAGAAAATGAAATAATTATTTTAATGTTTAGAGCAGCAGGAACACTGAGAGGCTGCAGGCGCATCAGTTTGCTGCTGCTGCGCAGGGGGAGGGGGGAGGACTGAAGCAGGATGCATAAACTACCGTTGTTAAAAGAGATGTGTTAAAATTGCGCCCACATTTTCTAAGTTAATTGTCAAAAACTCCAGCGAACCCCCCCCCCCCCCCCAGGTGTATGACGTCATCAACGACTAGTCGAAGTCGACTCGATTTTCACTTGACTGTCGACTTTAAAAAAAATTAAGTCATGCAACCCCTAGTAGCTATACTTCTAAAGGTGTTATGACGGGAGTATTTGCGCACACTTAACTCTGTGAGAACTGAACTTACACGCTGCAGCTAACAAAATCTTTTTGATTAATTACAGTTATTCTAAATGGAGGATCTGTGCATGTGTCAGAGTGAATGCATACTTGTAATTGCAGAGTATGAAGCAGAGAGAAGACAGCAAAGAACCGACGCAGAGTGTCGGCCATGTGCTGCTGCACCATCTCCCTCCCGATGCGCAGACAGATGAGAGCTACTAGGCTCAGTGTCTTGAGACAAACAGCTGTGCGTGTCTGCACTCCACTGGGGAACCTACACATCAAACCACAAAAAGGAAATTAGGTAACAAGATGACCGGCTGATCTGCTGTGGCATGCTTCCATGTAGTTTGTGTTACGTACCCCATTCGTGGGGTAGTTAGCAGGTCTAAAAGTGGAAGGAGGACATCCTGGTTGAGCTTCATGAGCATGTCCATTAGAGTGGTGTCAGAGAGAAAGACGACGATCTTCTGTGTAAGTGCAACAGCTCCGAGCAGACTTGCTTCCTTACGAGTGTTCAGACGCTGTGAAGATGGCGGAGACACCTGACGGACAGGGACATTAGTCAATTAAAAGCTCCATTTTCCAAACTATAAAATATCATTTGGCTAAAGCATTTGTCTGTGAAATAGATTGTCTCATAATACAAGTTCACAGAGCCCCAGAGGGGAAAAAACTATATTTTTGGGGATTTCACTTGTTTTGCAAGATTATTTCCCTTTTATTCTTGAGAGCTTCTGCTTCTCTCAGCCATGCTGAACAAATCAACAGAGGTGATGGCAAATATTATGAATGAACAAGTCATTTGAATCAGTTCTGATTAATGAAATATCAGTTAAAGATTTTCTGGACAGTTTCACAGGCTCTTTTGATCCATCTCGTTTTACATGGTTATATTTTAGCATTGTTTCATTATTTAATATTATTATTTTACTGTCTATACGATTTTATTTGTTACTTATTTTCTTACTTTTGTCATCTATATTAGCTCTTATTTTTCATATATTTACTCATTTTAATCCAGTTTTCTCTGAAGGGGGCCTCTGCCCCAGGGGCGGTGGTCGACTGTTGCTTCCTGGGTGCTCTACATGTAGAGTTTAAGTGGAGGTGGGGAGTCTAGCTCCCCCTCCTCTGAGCGCCCTGACTCATGCTGATTCATGCGTCTGCGTCAGTGCGGAGACATGCAACACCATTATCCGTCCTTGTGGGCCTGCTGGAGAGGTCCACAAGGACGGACGGAGTCGAGCTCTCGTTTCTAAACATCCGTCCGTCGAGACGGACAATGCAAGCTTGTGATTGGTCAGGACGCCGCTGTCATCTACACCGCCGCCATTGCGCCCTCAAAAACATAAAGAGAGTCGAGGATAACAAGCGGCAGACATGGAGCAGCTTGAAGAATACCTCGCGAAAAAACTAAAAATATGAACGTTTAATTCCTGGAGGAGTGAAAAGATGCGCAGCAAGCATTTTATTTGTGGACGGAAATGACAGGAAACGAGGGTTTAGAGGTGGCGAGCGCATGAAGAGGTGGAGGAGAATGAGAGACAAATTTGTCTGTGTTAAAAAGTCTCTTATATACAAAAAACACAATATAAACACACTATCTTGGACTGATACATGACAGGATGCCACAGAACAGTGCTACGCCCTCTGTTGTCCTGGTGGGGAATTGCTTTGCAACACTCTCCAGGAGACGGAGAAGTATGAGAGCAAAACATCTCCGTTCGTGTGTGCGTGTCTCTCCCTTTTTGGAGCTGACGGAGAAGCATGAATCAGGCTTTAGTGTGGAAGACCTGATGCTGCCGGGGCAGATGGCTCCTCTGATGGTGTTTCCTTGCCATACCTTACTTGGCTCATCTGGACTCAGCCGAATATACATTTTTACTGATGTGTGTGTGTGTGTGTGTGTGTGTGTGTGTGTGTGTGTGTGTGTGTGCGTGTGAGTGTGCATATGTCTGTTAATGTTTTTACATTTTTTTTAAACTGTTATGGGAATTTGGGGTCATTTTGTAAAGCACTTTGCTTGAAAAGCGCTTTATATATAAAATCTGATTGATTGATTGATCCGCACAGCTGAGAAGCAGACGCTAACGGCCTGTGGAGCTCTCAGTCAGCCAGTTGCTGTGACAACTAGAGTGTGTGTTTGGTGTGTGTGTGTGTGTGTGTGTGTGTGTGTGTGTGTGTGTGTGTGTGTGTGTGTGTGTGTGTTACTAGTGGGGATAAAGTGGTTAAAAAATACAAGGGGATTTTAGTTGGTTAAGCATCTGTTGTTCAGAAAAACTCTGAATCTCGCTAAACAAAGATAGGATCTCACAAAAAAAACTTTGAATCTTGCTAATCAAAATCAGGGCATCGCAAAAAAAAAAAAAAATTCAATAACTCAGTATGTCCCAAAACTAAGAGACCTCAGAAAATTCTGAATTTGCAAAAAAAATCTCATGAACTTGCAAAACAAATACAGGAATTGCTAAATAGAGTCACTATCTCAAAAAGAAAGGTGGAATCTGACAAAAAAAAAACCTCTGCATCTTGCAAATTAAAATCAGGATAACACAAAAAAATCTCAGTGTGTCACTAAACTAAGATCTTGCAAAAAAATTCTGGATTTGCAAAAAAAAAAAAAAAACTCATGATCTTGCTAAACAAAACTCAGGATATCAGCTAAGTAAAGATCTTGCAAAAAATTTATTTAATATGTCGCTAAACTACCATACCATACCAACTTTATTTATAAAGCACATTTAAAAACGGCATGGCAGCCGACCAAAATGCTGTACAGAATAAACTAGTAGAGATCTAAAAAAAAAACAAAAAAAAAAACACTGATTTAAGCCGGGCGTACACTGTGCGACTTTTTCACTTTTTTGAGCCGATTTTCCACTCGTGCGAGAATCCACGAGATCGGGGCGAGTTTTGCGCTGAGCGTTGTGTAGTGTACAGGGGGTTACGAGAGGCGATTAACACCACGTGACCAGCTACCGTGAGCTCGCACAAACTTCTGGCGTGTTTAATATTTTGCTCGTCCCTCGTGACGGTATTGCACTGTTGAAGCGGCGCTGCGAGCAGCTGCGACCCAAAAAGTATCAGAACCGCTCACGGCGCATGCGCAATCATGCATCAACACCGCTCGCCCGCTATTTCCCTAATAACACATGTTTGTTTTTGTTTCTACACACTTTTTTACTCACGATTGTCAAGAAAGCGTGTTTGTCGTGTTCATGTCAAATTAAACTGATCACAAAACACAGATTTACTTTCTTTATTTCGTTTTCCTCCTCCAACCCCCATAAATCCCTGTGTGTCCTCCTGCAGCGCCCCCAAAGGACAACAGGCAAAACAAGACAAAAAAGTCTGACGTGTTGAGTAAAAACTGCTATTTTTAGCATATTTTTAGGTCCGACGTGTTGCTACCAGACGTACAGTGTGAGCAGTCAGGTCGCATCCGAGAACTGGGTCGTGCAGTGTGAGCGTATGACTCGTGAGATCTGCTCCGCGAGGAAGTCGTACAGTTTGAGCTGAAGCTGAGTGCTACGAGTGAAAAAGTCGCACAGTGTACGCCCGGCTTAAGTAGGAATCTCGCTAAAAAAGTTTGGATCCTGAAAAACAACGACAGGATATCACAAAAAAATAAATACTCAGGATGTAGCTAAACTAACTTCAGATCTCACATAGAAACACAAACTTGCTAAATAAAGTTGGGATCTAGAAAATAAATTTGGGATCTGGGAAAAAAATGCCCATGTGCCCTCTAGGGCCGAGTACAGTTTGGAATATCTATTCGTGTTTTTTGACTTACCAGATATCCTATGTAAGGCAAGTACTGGTAGGTGAGCACAGGCTCTCCATAAAGCTGAGCTATATAGATGAGACAGTCTAAAACAGGTCCTGCTGTCTGATCACCAACCACAGGTTTCTTCTCATAGACGTTGCCCATTCCCACAGTCTCCAGGCGGCTCTCCTCTGAAGGCGAGGCCACAAACTGGTGGTTTACGGGTCCTTTAAGAGAAAAAATAAGTGACTGCCTCTGCATGTAATAAAATACTACAGTGATTTTCTAAATCCACACACCAATGTAACAGTTTGTAAGCAACCGCAGCAAATTTCTGGCCACATATCGAGACGTCACTGTGGGTCCGAGTTTCGCTGAAAGCCAGCGAACCATTTTGCAAACTGTATCTGAGAACGGAAACACATTTAAGTCGTTACAAACTGCAGGTGAAACAAATCACAGCAGCCTCCATCACAAACTCACCTAAGAGAATTTTTTGCTCCTTTTCCTCAGACTCATCTGACGAATCGCGGCCATCCTCCCCCTCTTGTTCTTCTACGGTGTCTTTCTCAGCCTCCTCTAGAGCCAGTCCGTTCAAGACCTCGTCTTCTAGAGTCCCAACTGTTGCTCCTGATTCCGTGAACTCAATGTTCAAGAAAGCTGGTTCATCTGAACCCTCTTTGTCATTGATCACGTCTTCTTCCTCCAACTCGCCTCCTTCCTCTCCCTCGCTGGTATGTTTCAGGTCTTGGCTGCTGTCCGCTGACTTCAGACTTGCTCGATCCCGCGCCGAATCATCACCCAGAGAGAGTTCACTTGTGCTGCTTTTGTCGCTCAGCTTCCCCACACTTAAAGATTCCTGGTCTTGATCTTTGGAAGCCGAGTTCTGTCTCTGCTGCTGTCCAGAAGCCATTCCTGCTTCACTGTTGACATAGAACTCATTCTGAAAGTCCTCTGCCTCTGAAAGAAACACTTGGTCACTGAGACTAATACCTGAGGAGTAGTCAACCAGCCCAGCGTCTCCAGCCAGTCCAACTCCTCCACTCACCCCGCTGCCGCCACCTATATTCCCAGAAATGGGCCCGGATGATGGCTGTACTTTGCCACACTGAAAGTCCTCATCCTCCTCCTCCCCTATATTGCACATGCCAGTTCTCAGCCCTTTAAAAGCTTCCCCACCCGAGCCCGAGATACAGCTTTCAAAGCCGGTGATAACCTGCAGAACATGCGGGAGTAAGTTTGAGAGAAAAGCCTGCAGGCCGAGCCTCACAATCAGCTGAAGAATGAAACAGTCGGTGTAGAGATAAAAACGTCCTCGGAGGCAGTGAGGGTTCTCATAAACGTTGATCAGTGGCTTTAGCAAGTACTTGTTTGCATTTCTGGGACCCAGTACTGTAGCAATAGGCTCAAACAGGTACCAAGCAGCATAAACAGCAGTGGTCTCCTCGAGCATGAGGGTGAGAATGAAGGGCAGAAGAATCTCAAGACCCTCTGCGGTGATTTTATTACGCAGCAGTGCTTCAAGCTGCTGCCACAAATGAAAGACGACGTCTCTTCCCTGGAGGCTACACACGTTGCCCATCTTGGCGTGGTAGGAAAAGATAAATGTATGAAGTGCAACAAAATAAGAAGGAAAAGGAAAAGGTGTGACAATGGCGTTCAATAACTGGTGAGGGTTTGGAGGCGGGAGACCATCACAAATGGGATCGTATTTGAACAGAAGAGGACCTGGACAGTCTTGTTCTTCCCTGTGGGACATTCCAGAGTGTTTCTTGATCAGCAACAGTGTCTCAAGGGCATGGTGCAGAGACAGTGGCACATCACGAAGGTGTGCAGAGCACAGCTTCATGACCGCTTGGAAACGCCGTCTGAGGGGAGTTTCTGGTTTCAGTCCTCTCAGTTTGGAGGAGTAAAATATCTCAGCGATGAGAACACCGAAGGCTTGCATGTCCCTTTGGTAAAGTTGTGTAAGAGAGGGTCGAGATTCAATCGTTGGGTCCTCTCTGGCGGAGTCCTTAAATGTTGCAGGATGCCACACTTCCGCATGAAGACTCTTCACTAAGAAGTTATTCAGCTTCTCTAGCTCTTCTAAAGGCTGTAACGGGTTCAGGCCTTCAGGAAGTATGACCTTAACTTCGTCTGCGTTGGCGCTAGCGACAGTTTCCCCCTGCTTTTTGTTCACTGGTCCGCCTCTTTGTAACACAGCACCACGTAAACCCGGATTTAAGCCACTTGTGACATCACCAGGGAATGAACTCGGGGACTGAGACACAACAAGAGGTGTGTGCTCTCCACCTATTTTACCTCCTCCTGCACTGATCGCTGGCAGCGGGACAGAACAAGACACAGATGTGGACGAGCCAGCGGACGCCAACGAGTCAAGAGCCTCTGTACCTTGTTCAAGCTCTTCATCTCGATCTACCATAGTCCATCCACTGGACTCGCACCCCGTGGACTCTGGTACCATTCCATCCACAGTGTCAGTCACTGTGTTCACCGGAGGAGTGTGTAGAGAAGGCACATTAAGGGCAGCAAGACCTAGAAGAGGAGGTTCTGCTGGGGCGTACTGGCAAGGAGATAAGCGGGGCGGGTGGGGCTGGTCGAACAGCTGAACCACACCATATGACGTGAGATTAGTGTGATTGTCCACCAGGTGGAGACACACATTCTTGGCCTTAACAGCGTCTTTACCTGACAGCTTATAGCCAAATGTGAGGTCTATCCAGTGATGCAAATGCTGAGACACTTCCCTGCTCTCCAGAAGGTGCCGATGGACCTCAATAAATTCTTCATTTGACTTGCACCAAGAGGGCACATCCAGGTCTGGCATATCTGGGTGGATTGAGCAGAAGATCAAAGGATCTGTGTAGAACTCTGGAATGCACTCATCAGGAGTCCAGCTCTGCATGCGCTCCATCGTGGCTGGGTACTCGTTGGGCTCCCACTGGGACCTAACATGACTGCACAACACTGATTTGGGTGTCTGTCGGGCTTTGTAGACATAATAGGTAATGTCTGACAGTACGTCCGATATGTGATGAGGTACATGAAGGTGCTCAGACTGCACTGCACCTACAGGCCCCAAGCAGCTGACGTCTCCGCCTACACCTAAGCCCATCCCATTTCCCCCTGCAGCAGCTAAAGCCTCTTTGGTCATCTCATATGTAAAATCCAGCTGCTTGTCCCCCTTATTCAGCCTGAACTTTGACCTCCTCAGGTCCCTGAATTTCCCAAACGGCACAGTAAAATCCACAACCCAAGGCAGCACTGGGTGATAATTTGGGTCTCCTTCTCGCCGTCCTGCTAATCTGTTGAGCTCCATCAAGTAATGGAAGTTACTGACTCGTCCATGGACCCAGTCCAGAACCAGCGTCTTCAGCTCATGAAAGCAATCTATGCAAAATCTTTTGCTCTCTTGGCTTACGCGTTTCATTTCTTTTGGCAGGGCACTTTTTGGATCTAGTCTTGCACAAATATCACCGGCGCTCTCCTTTTCTGTTCCCAGATCCTCATAATGAGAAAGGTTGAGTTTGAGGTGGGTGCAGAGTTGCTCATCTACTGCTACATCCTGAAGAGACAGCTCTCCACAAGACAGACCGACTGCATGGCATGCCTGCAGAGCTTTCAGTACCTGATAGATGATGAACAAGACTTTGGCATGGCTATTGGCAAGCTTGGCAGGGCTAAAGGACACAATATCGTGAAGCGAATACTGAGTATACGGTAGAATCACGTACAACATCTCTGCTGTCTCCAGGAGACATTCGGCTGGCAGGACATTAGGACAAAGATTGTCTGACTGGGACTTGGAAAAGCAAAAGGAACCACATGGCAAGAAGTTGTCTTTGTCTTTCTCTCTGGCCGGAGACAGGGATGGTGATACTTTATCAGGTGAGACAAAGGACAAACTGAAGAGCTTCTCTAAGGCATGACGTACTGCATCCACAGCTGCGATGTGCATCTGCTCACTTGGTCCTGTATATGTTTGCACAAGATGGTAATGAGCTTCTCGCCACAGATTCCTGAAAAGAGGAGGGAAGGAAATAGAAAAGCAATTTATTACCATCTTGCACAACTTTTACTTAATAACAAAATGTTATTTATAATATTACTTTTAAACTCACTTCCGTCAAAAGGCAGATTTCCTTCAATTTTACAGAGTTTAAATCATTTATTGCTTTATTTTAACCCTCTCAGGCTCAAAATAAGTTTGATAGAAGGACGAACAACTGAGTCCTTCAGGGGAACTTCTGAGTTAAAAAATGCTCATGACACATGTATGTGGAGTAACCAGATAGGTAGGTTTTAACGTAGCAAATCTGCAACGCCTGCCTCCAGAGGGTTAATATATTTGGAGTTAGGGCTGCACGATATTAGGAAAACCTGCGATATTCGATAACAATGATTTATATTGCGATGACGATATTACTTGCGATAAATAAAAACTTAACTCAGGAACTAAAATAATCAAAAACAAAAAAATTAAAAAATCATAAAAATGAGAAAAGCAAAAGATGTGAGGAAAGGGAAAAATAAAATGAACAAGAAAAGGCAATCCGTGGATCCCGGGAAAAGCAGAATCAGCAAAAAGAGCTAACAAAGCTAACTCAGGTGTTAGCTAATCATCTAAATGAAGTGCCGTCTGCCTTGGGGGTGGGCATCTAACCTATGAGAACCCACCCGATTGGCCAAATGGGTGAAGAGCTTTATTTGATTTGTTAAAAAACATCATGCTTCCGTTTGATGGACAGAATGCATTATGTGTAGCAAGCATTTGAGCTGACCATTCATTGCGATATTTATCTGTTCTTTGCGATACGCATATTGTGCATGCTGATATCGCGATAACGATATATTTGCGATATATTGGGCAGCCCTATTTGGAGTTATTAGAAAACTGAACACACACATTGAAGAAGGGATGATGAAAACAGACCCCTTTTAGAAGTCAAAGCTGGCACTTTACCTGACGTTGTGCTGTGAAACACACTGCATGGTCCTGACATAAGAATCCTGGGATGGCATTTCCATTTGATGATGGCATGGGTCTCGGATCAGTCTATAGTTCAACTTGCTTTTCCTCAGACCCTGAATGCACACTCGTGTCCAGCCGGGTGGCAACTTTACTTGAGAAGAGCGGAGGTATGTGCAAATCTCCTCAGTGCTGACGCTTTCAAAGCGAGCGTAGCGTGTGAGCTTCCTCTCTCTAAGCCCCATCACCCAGCGCACAGGAACAAGAGCTACAACCTCTTGAGGGCGAGGTCCTGGGCCTAGCTGCCGCCGGTCCACTCCCAAGTCTTTCTCAACTGCATGCATCAGCCAATCCATGGTTGGTCTTCCAAAGCTTGAGTTGAGTCTCACACTTCTCAGCTACCTTCACCCCAAAGTATACCTGCTGGGATAAAATTCAGAAATCCATGGAAAAAGTTAGGAGAAGATCCAATCTCCTCTTTTGACCATGCCTCTGCTGAAATACCTGAAAAGCCACAATAGATAACAGATGAGCAATTACTTAAATTACATTTTTGTCTTATATTTGCAATCAAAAATGTTTATTTAGACATTAAGTTATTTTGAAGGAGTGATGTGATTTCTGCATGACCCAGGAATTTGAGCATCTCTCACGTGACAGAGATGACTCCACATAGTAAAACACCCCTGTAGCAGTTTTACTGATTATTTAAGAGATCTAAAACATACTTTTGCACAATTAAGACGCTACCATCGGCACCTGACCTATTCATCCTAAATTACCCAAGTTCATTTAGTAGTTTGGCTGCGATAAATCAAGTAAATGTGCAGCGACCTTTAAACACGTACCACAAATGTTGTTCATTTGAGGGGACATTTTCGAAAATACTTCAAATAAGCGAGCAGCGAAGGCAAACTGGAGGGTTTCAGTCAGAAGACCTTTTAGGGAAGTGAAGAAAGCTAACACTTAGCTTAACATAGATGCTAACGTCAAAACACAGCAAAGAGGAGCAAAAATAAAGCATTATTAAGTTATTTACTCGCATCACAGACGCCGTCAGTTTAGTGTAACTCCGCTGTAATAACAACACAACAGACTGGTCAGTTTCAAGCAGCGCTCACCTCTCTCGCCACTTGTAGCAGCTGGCAGCTAGTTGGCGTTAAGCTAACGGTGGGACCCCCGCTTCGCGCATGATGGCTTTATGTCACTTTATGAAACTGAGGCAAACTGCGGGCTGAAAACCAGCTGATCCATTCTCTGGAGTTTACAGATGCGTGTCGGCGGACAGACGACAGGCAGTCAGCCGATTGTGTATTTCTCTGAGCTACATGGAGCCATATTTTACCAGCAGCGTGTCACGTGACCCAGCACCAGCCGCGTCTCATGTGATAAACTGGAGCGCTTCCTCAAGTTATCCGGAAAACACAAGATAAACGTGTTGGAGGGTGGAATGAACTGACTGTTCACTGACTGTAAACAACACAGAACAAAATCAGAAATATCTGGAATGAAATATGTCATAGATATGATCAGTCTGAGAGCCCTATGTACTGTAAAATCTTATATTTTTGTCTAATTTACACTAAAGTGTGTATTTGTCGCACTGATAAAAGCTTCAACCCTCGATTCCAACTGATATTTGCCACAAATGGGTAGAAAATTCGGACAAACAATAAATATTTATCTAAAAACAACCCATGATTTATTTGGTGTTTGATGCCAGGACGTGCCCATTTAAGCTCTTATTGGTTAACTGGAAACAGTTAATTTACACAAATAGTTTTCAGTTCAGTTCAGTTCATTTTTATTTCAAACATTTCACACATATATCATTACAAAATATCATTCCATTATTTGTTTGAAACGGAGTAGGCAGAAGTATTTACTTATTTGTCCCTAGCCCCAATCTTTACCTCTTATTCGTTTCATTTTCTTTCAGCCTTAAATTAAACAAACAACATATGAGAAAAAATATATTAAAAAAATTAATAAAAAAACAACATATGAAAAACAGAGAATTTGTAAATTTGCAGATTCACCAGTTATGGAAACAAAGAAAAACAAAGCACAACAGCATAACCAGCCACATTATCATCCTGGGTTAACCCTGTTTTCTTCATTCTTATACTTATTTAAAATTAGGTTTTTATATTTTACTTTAAACTGGTTTATGTTTTTACTTTCTTTTATTTCTTCTGTTAGACTATTCCATAATTTAACTCCTGCAATTGCGACTGACATATAGTTTTTAAAGTTGTTCTAGCACTTTATATTTTTAAATTCCATTTCCCTCTTAAGTTATACCCACCTCTTCTTTCTTTGAACAATATACAGATTTCTTTAGTAAGCAGTTTATTTCTTACTTTATACATTATTTGCGCTGTTTTGAGCTTCACCAAGTCTTGGAATTTAATAGCTTGCATTTCGACAAAGAGTGCTTTTGTATGGTCCCTCTACGCCACATTATTAATTATTCTAATGGCCTTTTTCTGTATTATATTATCGTTTGTATGTTACTTTTGTCTGCGTTTCCCCAGACCTCTACACAGTAACTCATATATGGCAGTAGTAAAGCACAGTATAATATGTGCAGTGCTTTCTGATCCAGCAGATCATTGCTTTCCCCAGGATGGCAACGACCCGTGCCAATTTCCCCCAAACGTAAGTAATGTGTGGCTTCCAACAGAGCTTGTGGTCAATGATCACACCAAGAAATTTTATTTCATTTACTCTTTCTAAATATACATTATCCACACATATTTCTATTTTGATGTTTTTCTTTTGGTTTCCAAATAACATTAATCTGGTTTTATCTCAATTCAATGATAATTTATTTATATCAAGCCACTTTTTTAATATCACCAATTCCTGTGTGATCTACTCCAAAACCTGTGGCAATTCCACATCTGAACACAGTTTATTTGTGTCATCTGCAAATATTACAAACTTTAAAATTTTTGATACTCTGCAAATATCATTTAAGTACATAATAAACAATTTAGGGCCCAGTACTGAACCTTGAGGTACTCCACAAGCTATATCCATCAAATAAAATTTATATTCATTTATTTGTACATATTGTTTCCTATTCCCTAAATAGATTTTTAACCAGTCCCCAACAATTCCCCTGAACCTGTACCTTTCCATTTTTTATAGAATTTCATGATTAACAGTATCAAACGCCTTTTTTAGATCTAAAAAAACTCAGATTGCATACCTCTTATTATCCATACAGTCTGTTATCTTTTCCATTACATCTATCAGTGCCAAAGCTGTTGATTTGTTGCTTCTGAACCCAAATTGGCTATCTGTCCGTAATTCATAGTTTTCCACAAAACTGTCAAATCTTTTATGAAAACTTTTTCCAGTTTCTTAGAGAACTGGGAGAGTATCGACACTGGTCTATAGTTTGTAAAATGTTGCCTTTCACGGGTTTTGTAAATGGGAATAACTTTAACAACTTTCATATCTTGTGGAAAATCCCCTTTTTGAAATGACAAGTTGAATATATATTTTCAGGGTTTTACAATACCATCAATAACTGTCTTTACTGTTACCATATCAATATCATTCCAATCTGTACTGTTTTTTTTCTTAAGTCCTCTATGTCATAGATCTCTTTCTCTTCCACTTCTCTCAAAAACATTGAGCTTCTATTCCTTTCAATATTTTCACCAGTGTCCCTTTCTAGTTTAAAAATAGAAGTTTGAAATAGAAAAGGTTGACTATAGTGGTTTTAGTTAAATTAAGATTTTGTTGCACTAAAACACGTCTGTGGCTCAGATACACCCTGAAAATGAATCACTGAATATTGGTAATCACTGTGGGGACAAAAACTATTTAGAAATTACAAACACTGCTATCTCTGGGCCTGAAGCATATGAAATTGTACTTTTGTCGCCTGAAAAAAATCACATTGTGCAGATTGATTAGCAAAAGGTGACTCAACCCTTCTGACAGAATCTTGGCTTTCAACTCACACTGAATATGACAAGTTATTACATTAATTATATATAATTCAAATTTTTTTCTTTACCTTTATTTGTTTTTGTACTGTAATAATGATAAAGTATTCGGGAGGGACTCGGAGTAGAACCGCTGCTCCTCCGGATCGAAAGGAGTCAGTTGAGGTGGTTTGGGCATTTGGTCAGGATGCCTCCTGGACGCCTCCCTGGGGAGGTGTTTCGGGCATGTCCTGCCGGCAGGAGGCCCCCGGGTCGACCTAGGACACGTTGGAGAGGTTACATCTCCAATCTGGTCCGGGAACGCCTTGGGGTCCTGCTGGAGGAGCTGGTGGAGAAGGCCGGGGAGGGGACGGTCTGGAGCTCCCTAGCTGGGATGCTGCCCCTGCGACCCGGATAAGTGGAGGAAGACGACGACGATAAAGTATTAAATAAATAAATAAACAAATGACACTAAAGCAGCTCTAATGCTGAAAAAATGCACAGGATTTTAAGTAACATTGCACTAAATAATGTATTTGCTGTAAAATTGTGTGATATGCTGTGTTGATTAAATGTAAAGGAATATGTGAATAAGTTATTTTTAAATCAAGACACTGTGTGGGCTGCTGTCTGTATTTTGTCCACAAGAGGGCAGTATGAGTTTATTCTGTAATCACGATCCATCCTCTTCAGTTTCAGTTAGCATTTTCTACGTAATTGAAAGGTTTATAGACTCATTAAGATAATTTTACATCTTATACATTCATTAAAAACTACATCTTAAAATCTTTATTATTTGTGAAGATCAAATGATGATTTGTTTTTAATTGTATAACAGCAGACTTTATAGTTTTATTGTGGTTCAGTAAAACTTTGCAAAATTGAAAACAGCCGCGAACACCTGCAGTGTTGAACAAATATGTTAAAATAGAATAAATAGACTATTTAGACACACATATATCCTTTGGTACACGAGGACATATCAGCTTTAAAACTAAATAATTTGAATTGAATAAAACAACAACAACAACAACAGTCAAATTTGCTACATTCTGTGAATTTTTTTCCCTTGAATATATCAGACTCTTAATAAAATATACTCATCTATGCTGCCCAAACAGTCCTGCCTCAAGTGGAGGAGTTGAAGCATCTCGGGGTCTTGTTCATGAATTAGGAAAAGATGGAGCGCGAGATCGACAGATTGGTGATGTGTCTGTAGTGATGCGGGTGTTGAACCGATCTGTTGTGGTGAGGAGAGGTCTGAGCCAGTAGGCAAACCTCTCGATCTACCGGTTGATCTACGTTCAACCTCATACGGTTTTGAACATGAGATCACGGATACAAGCAGTCAGAATAAATTTTCTCTGCAGGGTGTCTGGGCTCTCCTTTAGAGATCATCTGGTGATCCGGGAGGGGTCTGGAGTAGATCCGCTGCTCCTACATCAAAAGGAGCCAGTTGAGGTGGCTAAGGCTCTGGTTAAGATGCGTCCTTGATGCCTCCATGGTGAGGTTTCCCACTCATGTCCGACTGGGAGAAGACCCAAAGGAAGACCCAGGACACGCTGGAGGGACTACGACTCTTGGCTGGCCAGAGAATGCCTTGAGATTCCCCCAGAGGCCCAAGTGGCTGGGGAGAGGGACGTCTGGGCCTCCCTGCTGGCTGCTGCCCCCATGACCCGACCCCAGATAGGCAGATGAAAATGGATGGATGGATCAGGGGCAGTTCCACTAGATTGGTAGAGCAGGGTGATGGTCCCCCATTTAAAAAGGGGGACCACATGTGTGTTTCAACTACAGGGGGATCACACTCCTGAGCCTCCCTGGTAAAGTCTATTCAGGGGTTCTGGAGAAGAGGGACTGTCGGATAGTTGAACTTTGGATTCAGGAGGAGCAACGTGTTTTTTTCCTGGCCGTGGAACACTGGTCCAGCTCTATTCCCTAAGGGGGGTCCTGAAGGGTGCGTAGAATTCACTCAACCAATATACTTGGGTTTGGAGAAGGCATTCGACCATGTCCCTTGGTAGGCCCTGCCAGGGTACTTCGGGGTACCAGGCCCTCTCATTCAGGCGGTTAGGTCTAGGCCTCTCTACTTATAGGCCCTTGCGACCCCACCTTGGATAAGCAGAGGAAAATGGGTGGATGGGATTTATAGACAAAGAGAGTTCTTGTGAACTTGAGATTAAATGACCACTTCTAAGATTACCTCATCAGAGGCTGTTTCTGATCATTAATTATACATCTGTGAGGGAAATGCTTTCTGAATCAACAACAACACAGGCAGTAACACAATCACTTTTATCCTCAGCTCCCGTAATTTTGTTAAATCCCACATGCCATTTATTTGCATATGGGGCCTGCAAATATAAATAAATAAATAAATAAATAAATAAATAAATAAATAAATAAATAAATAAATAAATAAATAAATAAGAACATGAAGCAGTGTGAAATGCAGACGACGGGTAAAGGCAGGGCACCATTTTCGATAATCAGCTAATTTTTGTTTTCACCTCGATACTTTGTTGGGTTTAATGTCTTTTTGCATCTTTTAAAATAAAAAATTAGTTGACAATTTTAAACCTACAATAATAGTTAAGGTTCAAGGTGCTTTATTTGCCATTTTTACAAGAAAATTGGACATTTCAAGGCAAGGCAGCTTTATAAAGCACATTTCAAACACAGAGGCAATTCAGTGTGCTTTACAATAATCAGGACGTAATATGAAAACAACAGAAAAACACAAAATAAAATACACATAAATAGAATTATAGTTTAGAGCAAAAGGAGAAGACAAAGTTAAAGCACAGATTACAGTGGAGAAGATGAAGCATACAGTAAGAAACAATTTATTTAAAGGCTGATGAGTACATTAGGGTCTTTAGTTTTATTTTAAACAATGCTAGGGTTGGGGCAGATCTGAGGTCATGGGGAAGCTGATTCCATGTGAGCAGCATAGTAACTAAATACATCTCCACCATGTTTTGTTCTGATCTGAGGTTCTACCAGCTGATTGTTTCCTAAGGATCTCAGAGCCCTATTGGGTGTATATACAGGAATGAGATCCGTCATGTATTTTGGTCCCATGCCATTGAGTGATTTATAAACTAGTAGAAGCACTTTGAAATCTATTCTGTAGTTTACTGCAGTAACCAGTGTAGAGATCTAAGAACAGGAGTGATGTGCTCCGTTCTCTTAGTTCTTGTTAAGACTCGAGCAGCAACATTCAGAACAAGCTGCAGTTGCTTCACAGCTTTTTTTGGGAAGACCAATTAGGAGACAATTGTCCAACAGGCTAGAAATAAATGCATGAATACGTTTCTCTTAGTCTGGTCTGGACATGAGACCTCTGACTCTTGATATTTGATGGTGATAAAACACCAAGATTGTCTTTATTCTGCTGGAGTCTAACTGAGCAACAACATCCATCCTAATCTTCTTGTTGCCAAAGACAATAACTTCAGTCTTGTCCTTGTTTAGTTGAAGGAAGTTTGACTGCATCCAGTTGTTCACTTGTTCTAGGCAGTGAGTCCAGTGTTCAGGCAATTTTAAAATAGTTCACAAAAGGTCACCTGACCATTAACATAATCTAAACACTACACCCCCAGCAGGCCCCTGAGGTCCAGTGATCAAAGCCTACTGGTTGTGCAGCACCAGGCTAAAGACCAAAGGTGACAGATCATTTGCTGTGGTGGCCCCCAGACTCTGGAACTCTCTCCCCCGAGCCTGAGATCAGTGGACTCAGTGGTCTCCTTTAAAAAGCAGCTGAAGACTCACTTGTTCAAGCTGATTTTGTATGACCTTCTTCACCACTCTCTGTTTATTCTGCTCTCCCCGCCTATTCCACCTTCCTCAGGATCCACTGATTTCCCTCTTTCCCCTTCACTCTCTCTCTTTCTTAACATTGTTTTAATCTCAATTGTCTATTTTTGCTCATTTTAAATATATTTTTAACCACTTTCTAAATTCTTTTTTTGTATTTTTACATTTTTTGTTTTTGTGAAGCACCTCGTGATTTTTATCTTGAGAGGCGCTATAGAAATGATATTTTCTTCTTCTTCTTCTAAATAGAAAATGAGTAAATAAAAAAGCATGATTAAAAATAGATTCAAAAGAATATTAAGAAGCAAAGATAGAGAAAACATTAGAATATATAAAGTTATGGTAAATAAAACTACAAGCCTGATATGAGACATGGTTTAAAATCAATGCAAAATCCAGGCTGAATTACCTGCAGTTGTTATCTTTTCACAGCATAAGAGGGGTGTCAGCATAGTTCCAGTTAGTATTTTAATTATTGGATTTATTTGATCAACTGGCAATTTAGATAAATGTTTTAGGAAGTGACTTCAAATGTAATCAAATGAATGAAAGTGACAGAAATAAAAGATCAACCAGGATTGATTTTTAACTAAATCCTCTGAAACGAAGCAGGCCCTGTCTGAACATGCGTATTACGTAAGAGCTGTTGTTATCAGCCTGAACAAACTGATAAACACTTTTGAGCTTCCGTTCCTTTATTGATGCAATTCTCAGGACAAATAAACAATAAGAACATGAAACAGTGGAACGTTTCTGCGCTGATTAAGCAGCCTAACTTTAGTTTTAAGAGAGAATCAGTGCGCTCTGCTCTGACTCCCTCTCCTCCCTCCCTCCTCCCCTTCCCCGTCTCCTCTGCGCTTCATAATCGGGAGCCATGGTCTCGCGCCTCCTTTTCTCCGTTTTCCTCCAGGATGGGATTCATCAGACATCTGCGCTCCGTAAAGAACGAGCTCATCCTCTTCTTAAGTCCATGCGTCATTCTTCCTCTCCCTTTGGTGATCGGGACTTCGGTACGTAGAGGGTTCGTCGGATAACAGTTGAAAAAGAAGAAAATTGCGAATTTAAGATATTTGGGAAACAGCTTCTCTTTTTAATCTATTAAATTCAGTGTGCTAACTTGATTGATTATTTAACACTTAATGCTACACAATATTAACTGTCTATGCTTTTTTCCGGTCTTAAACGGACTCCCTGCTCGCCTTTTGCACCTGTTGAGGCCAAAGTGGCTCCAGAGCGCAGCAGCAGCGCGCGCGGAGCGCATGGGAACCTTCCACTTTTGGCTCCTGTTGTTTTAGCTCCTGTTTTCTGTTAACATGAAGTATGAAGTCCAGCGTGGGAAACACAGTCACAGATCCGTGTCTGTCCACATCGTTACCTCTACATGTGACACAGAAACGCGAAGGCTGCAATCATGTTATGATAGGGATAGACTGCGCTGCAAAGCAAACCGTAGACAAGACCACAGATTAGAGGTATGTCTCCGTTTGACATGTGCATCAGCCTGCAAGCGATTCCAGCAGCTCTGTTCTGTCTTGGAAAACGGTTTTCAAACTTAAAAAGCATCGTTACAGCTCATGATTTTAAGGAAAAATCACTTTTCTGCTCTGGTTTTTGAGCACATGCATCAGAACAAATGAATGAACCACGCAGATGGAGAAATATGGTGGAAGTTTTACTAAAGGATTTTAGTGACTCTTTTATTCCTCCTAACAGGAAGCAGAATGTGCCTATGTGATCATCCTGATGGCCGTGTACTGGTGCACAGAGGTTCTGCCACTTGCTGTCACAGCACTTCTTCCTGCTGTCCTTTTCCCCCTTTTTGGCATAATGCAATCCAAAGACGTGAGTAAAATCAATCCCATGGTGTAATTTTGGTTTGTTTTTGGTGAGAAGCAGTTTCTAACCATTATTCCACTCCTGTGGTTTCAGGTGGGCATGCAGTACCTAAAGGACACAAACCTGTTGTTTGTGGGAGGGCTGATGGTTGCTGTGGCCGTGGAGCACTGGAACCTGCACAAGCGCATTGCTTTGAGAGTGCTGCTTTTTGTCGGTGTACGTCCTGCCCTGTAAGTTTAGGACCTCTGTTTCCAAAGGGTATCTTATCAGCTAAGAAAAGAGCCAGCAAAGATAAAGGTTGTGCGTTCAAGGTTTCTGTGGCATTATAAAAGTGTGTTTGTCTCCTTTAGTTATAAACCCGCCACCGTCTTATCTTCCAACCTAAGGACACTATAACTGATGTTTTTTTTAATGTTTTTGACAGTTTGATGCTGGGTTTTATGGGTGTCACCGCCTTCTTGTCCATGTGGATAAGTAACACGGCTACAACAGCCATGATGGTGCCGATTGTCCAAGCGGTGCTGGATCAGCTCAACAACAGCGAGCGAGAAGTCCCTCAGATCCTCAGCTCAGAGGAACATGTCCAGACGTCAGAGATGGACAGCAAACCTAAGCAGGGAGAGAAAGACAACGAGGGACGTGGTTAGTCAACGTGAACTGAATTGTCTGAAGCTAAACTCTTGAAGAAGTTACTGAAGCTGTGCTCTTTGTTTAAAGGCCCAGTGGTGGTGACTTTCTTGGATGCTTCAGTAGAGGTTGCCAGGCAGAAGGAGGCAGCAGAACGGATGAGAATGTGTAAAGGGATGACCTTGTGTATTTGTTACGCTGCCAGCATTGGAGGCACGGCCACTCTGACAGGAACTGGTCCCAATCTGGTTCTCAAGGGCCAGATGAATCAGTGAGGCTGCTCTTATCATTTATGAGTATTTTTTCAGTTCCATTCAGGGATTTTATCTTATTTTTTGTTGTTATTTTTGTTTAGGTTGTTTCCTGAAAATGAGGATGTGATCAACTTTGCTTCCTGGTTTGGTTTTGCGTTCCCAAACATGATCCTCATGCTGACAGCCGCCTGGCTTTGGCTGCAGTTCGTCTTCATGGGGTTCAAGTAAGTTTCCTTTTTTTCCCCCTTCTAAATCCCATCTAGAAACCCAAAAATGTTAATCTTCGCTTAAATCCTCCAGTTTCAGGAAGACATGGGGCTGTGGAGCAGTGAAGACAGAAAAGGAAATAGCTGCCTATAATGTTATCCGTGAGCAGCATCGTCTGCTTGGATCCATGTCATTCGGAGAGATAAGCGTCCTGGGTCTCTTCGTTTTGCTGGTGGTCTTGTGGTTCACGAGAGATCCGGGTTTTGTCCCCGGCTGGGCGACACATCTCTTCAACTCCAAAGCAGAGTTCGTACACTAATCTTTTTTATTCTAACTCTAAAAATAAAGAAAATGAGGTCACGCATGACTTTTGTTCTAAAAAACCGTGAATAACTGCCTTCTAGGTATGTGACAGATGCTACAGTAGCCATCTTTGTGGCCATCCTTCTGTTTGTTCTACCCTCTGAACCTCCACGCTTCTGTTCACGGAGATCTCAAAGTTTTGACACAAGTAAGTCAACATTTCAGAAGAGTATACTTCTCTGTGTTTTGCGTGGAGCGTTTCATAATTCTGATCTGCAGTTCTGCATCAGCCCTCCGGCTCAACGCCTCGTCTCCTCACCTGGAAAATTGCACATAAGAAGACACCCTGGGGGATTGTGCTTCTGCTTGGAGGAGGGTTTGCGCTTGCAAAAGGAAGTGAAGTAAGTCATGAGAACCATAAAGCTGCAATGACAAATTTGGTAAACAAGTTAGCCTAAAATGTATTTTTTTTCATGCCTATTAAAATCCTTCTAACATATTTTGTGGAGATTAAAATAAGGTTAAAAAAATAACAAATTGGTTCTCTCGCGTTTGTCTTAAACCCTCAGCCAATAGCACGGCTTGGTTGTCAGTCTCACCAAACCGCCGCACCTCCCTGGGTCCGCCACTCACAATGCACTCACGCGTTCAGCAACAGAACACCCCTGGTGTGAGAAGTTCTCCATTCAATATATCAGAAAATGGGAGAAACAGCCGGCTGCTACCACTTCAACTTTAAGACAAGCTACCAGAGTCCCAAAAAGAAAAACACCATTTGAAGTTACATACAACAAAATACATTTGGACCTAGAATACAGCGACTGGTGTTTAGCGCTCTCACGTTTCCTCTGCCAGTGCGGGTTTCTGTGTTCCACTCAACTCTAATGCATGCAGTGAAAGTACCCGGGTGTCCTAAGGGTTTGGCTTAACAGCTTTAAAGCTAAGTTGAGTTATGTGTCGGGGCGACGGTGGCACAGGAGTTAAGAGCCCCGTAATCGGAAGGTTGCAGGTTCGAGCCCCGCTCAGTCTGTCGCTGTCGTTGTGTCCTTGGGCAAGACACTTAACCCACGTTGCCTGCTGGTGGTGGTCGGAGGGACCGGTGGCACCAGTGCTCGGCAGCCTCGCCTCTGTCAGTGCGCCCCAGGGCAGCTGCGGCTACATTGTGGCTCATCCCCACCAGTGTGTGAATGTGTGTGTGAATGGGTGAATGACTGATTGTGTTATAAAGCGCCTTGAGGGGTTCTATGACTCTAGAAGGTGCTGTATCAAATACAGGCCATTTACCATTATGTAGTATGTGACATAAAATCATGTTTTGATGCATTACCATGTTTTACAGTATTTTGCCTAATTTTACATATGTTGTGTAATTTCTTTACATTTGATGTGTCACTTCCTTCTTACATTACACACCTTTAGTAATGTTGCATTATGCTATATTAAAGGTGTCCTAGAAATCAAAACCACATTTACTTCGTTAAGTGGAGGCAACTTGGGGCTTCTAAAGCACTAAACAAAAAAGTCAGGGCTGTCTCCAACCTGCTTCCCTAAATTAGCAATGATGTCATGGCAACAATGCAATGGTTTGTTCAGAGAAAAGCTAACATGTCATACTCAAAGACATACACCCTTAAACTTGAATGTTCCAACCCATTTGAATGTCAGCAATAACTCCTGTGAATAGGTGTGTGCATGGATGGTGTCGTAAAGCCATTCACCATACAGAGGCTCAGAGAACAGTTTCAAAGTGTAAAATAAGTCATTCTAGGTCCCCTTTACACGGCATCATGCCACTTTTTCCCAATCTTGTTTTTTGTTTTCATTCCATTCTACCATGTTACATTACATTTGGTTGATCTATCAAATTGCACTGCTACATTGTTATGTTGCATTATGTTGTGTCCTTGGGGATGACACTTCTCCCTCCTTACCTGCTGGTTGTGGTTGGCGGAACTAGTTGTGCCTGCGTAAGGCAGCCTCACCTCTGTGGCCATATTGTGGCTCATCACCACCCTCATGTGAATGTGTGTGTGTGAATGGATGAATAATTCACTTTAGTGTAAAGCACTTTGGAGTCCTCTGACTCAGAAAGCGCTATACAAGTGCACGTCATTGATCATTTATCATTCACAGGTTTAGTTTCATTCTATAGTTTCATGTGATAGTACGTTCCATTGTTCTTTGTTCCATCACTCTATTATGTTAAGTTTGTCACATTGGATTTTGCTCTGTGTGTGTGTGTGTGTGTGTGTGTGTGTGTGTGTGTATTTGTAGGTATCAGGACTCTCTAAGTGGATAGGAGACCAGATGACTCCTCTGCATAACATCCCTCCCTGGGCAATTGCTGTCGTTTTATGCCTGCTGATTGCTACCTTTACTGAGTGCACCAGTAACGTAGCCACTGCTACTCTCTTCCTGCCTGTTTTAGCCTCAATGGTAAGCACATCTTTCCAAAGTTACACGTTTTGATTGGGGAAAAAAGAAGAGAGTGTAGCAAGATTTTTGTTGTTGTTGTAGTGACTCACTTAACAATGTTAGCCACTGCAAACTGATTTTCCAGTTAAAGTCCAACGTTGACACTGCTCCCAGTGAGAGCTGGCCTATTTTTCCTTGTCTGGCAAGCCCTTTAGTTGGTCATTCAGGCAGAATATGTTCAGTTCTCCTCTCTGGGCCCCTCCTCCCTTTAACAATCTGCCAAAAACACCAATTCAGCCCAGCGCCGTATCCCACTGCCTGCCTCTTAGCTGCTGAAGAATGACATTACTGTGCCTACTTGTAAAGAATGGCACAGAATGCCAGATTTGGTTTACAAAGACAGTTCCTGGTAGGGATACTCAGATATTTAGTAATTCAAATGTGTGGTTCACACACATTGTTGTCATTGCGGTGACCTGATATAGAGGTTAGAGTTGAAAGTAGCCTAAGTATAAAGTTTACTTTCTTCCAATCTCTGTTTATTTTGAGCAGCAGAATTGACGGTGCACTTGTTTAAGCTGCTGTGCCACAATATATGTAATTCAGAAGTAAATTCTACACAGTAATGTTCCCCGGCTGGTAGTAGTCTGCCATTATGTAGTGCTGCTCCTGTTTTAGCTCTCATGACTCAGCTGCAAGCTTGCAGGAATCGCATCTTAATTATACCCACCTAATGAGGGTTTTCACTTCACACACAATCACACACATTTCATTCAGAGTTACGAGTCGGTGATTACAGCTGCAGCAAAATAGCCAGATGAGGGAGGGGAGGATTTTCTGATGAAGATGGTTCTTCTTTGCTTTTGACTTTAAAAAAAAAAACCTCCTGTGTGATTATTGCAGTCTCAGTCCATTGGAATCAATCCACTCTACGTCATGGTGCCTTGTACTCTGAGTGCCTCATTCGCCTTCATGCTGCCTGTTGCCACTCCACCAAATGCAATAGTCTTCTCCTATGGATACCTGAAGGTTTCTGATATGGTGAGTATAGAAGTGGGGTTTATAATGCTAAATAAATAACATTTGTCCAGAAGTTCAAGGTTTAACCCTCCCACTGTCCTAATGGGTGACCCTGCGAGGAAAGTTGACCATTGAGCGGGATTGATGGTTTATCCCTTGAGGTCCACGTGGCAGAGGTGAGGAGGCACTCACTCCTCACCCCTGCCACATGGACCTCAAGAGATAAACCATCAATCCCGCTCAATGGTCAACTTTCCTCGCAGGGTCACCCATTAGGACAGTGGGAGATTTAAGAAAAGTAAGACCCCCCGCCTTACCCGGATGCACAGAGAGACAATAGGGGTTACTGGATCTTAGTGGCGACAGCCCAAGCAAAGATCTTGACACCTCACTCTTCTTGGCTACCTTGTAGCTCATTGAAAGGAACTCCAAGGTATTCCATAGAACATCTATGAAATATGGGACGTCTGAAACACCTCCTCCCCTGACACGCACCATAAACACACCACAGAACACAATGAAGGACTTGGATAAATGCCCTCAGCAACACAACTAAACAAATAAAGACTGGTTGGGTAAACTCCCGGTGTTGCATTCACATGCCAACTAGAGAACATCCAGAGGCTAAGAATTTGTGTCCATCTTATCCACGCTTGGAGAATTTCTACCTTTATGTTATTTAACTCTCTCAGTGACCTCCGCTCAGAGATGTGACCAAGTCACTGCTTTGTAAGTCACAAGTCTTTCCAGTCAAGTCTCGAGTCAAGTCCAAGTCAAAGATAACCAAGTCCAAGTTGAGTCCAAAGTCAATGATGTAGAAGTCCAAGTCAAGTCCAAGTCCTTAACTTTGAATTTTCAAGTCATAATCAAGTCATCTGTCTAACTTCAATTTAATGTCAAAGATAATAAATAAATTATAGAATTAAAGCTTCTTAAAGCTTCATTCATTGGCTCAACCAGCAGAAACTGAAACTGATTCTAAACAAAGTGCTGCTGCATTTAGCAGAACAAGATCAAACCCAGAACAAAGAATGATTTATGATTTTTGTCCATGTCGGGACACTTTTGTGCTAAAATGTCAAATGTGCTCAAGTCATCATCAAGTCAACAGATGCAAGTTGATTCAAGTTTCAAGTCATTGGCGTTCAAGCCCAACTTAAGTTGTAAGTCTTTATAGATTTTATCAAGTCAAGTCAGAAGTCATTAAAATAATGACTCGAGTCTGACTCGAGTCCAAGTCATGTGACTCGAGTCCACACCTCTGCCTCCGCTCTAGTGAATCTTCATCAGGCCCACCAGCTTCTGCTCCCATAATGGAAGGCGTGTCAGTCAGGTTGAGGAGAACCTCAAAGTATTCCTTCCACTGCCTGACTATAGACTTGGTTGAGCACAGAAACACTTTGTCTCCACTTTAAACAGTTTTGACGATGCAGCTTCCTTTGCCTGAGGCGCCTGAAAGTTTGCCAGAACCGCTTTGAGGCTGACCAAAAGTTCTGCTCTTTATCCCCACCAAACCTTTCCCACACCTATGGGTTTGCCTTTGCAGCCATCAAAGCCACACATTGCATAGCTTGCTTACCTGTCAGCTGCTTCCACAGGCCCACTAGCTAACCATAAACTCTGGTGTGCACTAACAGGACTGGGTGGGAACCAACCACCATGTGCCTGCAAATTCAAGCAGTTGCATCAGCAATGAATTACCCATTTAAATTCAATGTCCCCTGCCTCCTTGGGAACCTGGAACGGCACTAAAAGAAGTTTCAGTTGAAGAACTCCCAGACTGGGGTGTCTTCCAGCAGTGGTGGATTGGGACTATAATTCAGCCCTGGAATATCTCTGTGTGTCCGGCCAGATGCATTAGCGCGGGGGTTGAGGGTGGGGGTTCCTGTCCCCCAGACATCCCCACAACATGTTGGTGGTGGTGAGACATTCTCCAATCTGCTCTGTGTCTACTGCTAGATGTCTTCAGTACTCTTTTTATTTAAATATGTTTTGAGAGGGGGGTGGCATTGTTTAAAGGAAATGGCATCCTGACCAACCACAAGATCCTCTGTCGCTTTTGACAGACCGTTAAATTCGGCATGTCTCTGTCAACATCTGCGGCCCTGCGGCAGAGCTCTTACATCGACGCATCATGACGTCGCATGACTCCATAGCCGTACAGATGGAGTAAGAATAAATCAGGCATGAGACAAAATTGATTCTGGGGTCCTTGGGGTGCAGACTCAAAGACCCCAGAACTAGTCCTAGGCTAGAACCTAAAATCCAGTTATTTTACCATTATATAAACTCCTCCCACAAAACATTGATCATGTTTGATCTTTTTTATTCAGTCAGAGGCTACTTTGTCAATTTTAGACAAAACAATGCACCAAAGGGTGTGAAGACACAAGTTACATTAATAAGCCGGACCAGCTGCTGTTAGTCACTTATTGTTGTGATTTTGTAATTTACAGACACACACAAGCTGCTCCTCAACATACACAGGGTCAACTTAAAACCCATGAGTAGGGTCTTACAAGGCATCTTATCACTCAACAAAAAACCAAAACCTTTGATAAAATCAGCACAGTGGTACAGGCAGGATGTCTTTGTTTAGCCATCTGTATGACTTTATGGATATGTTTATTAAACCAATGCTTCATCTTCCCCTCCCACAGGCCAAGACAGGCATAGTTATGAATATCATCGGCATCCTTTGCATTACATTAGCCATCAACACCTGGGGCAAAGCCATGTTTCACCTGAACACTTTCCCTGCCTGGGCCAATGTGACAGGCGTGTGAGTCCGCTGCTGAAACGAGACACGATCTACGCACGCCTCCCCAAATGCAGGTGCCACACAAAGACCTATGGTTAGAGTGGAAGCTCAGAACCAAACAGTAGGCTCAGTGTGTGGGACGGCTGTGCTCTCATTGACGTGAGCTGAAATGAATATGAGACGACGAGTATAAATGGCAGGTTTTTTCATGTGTACGATGAAAGTTTAGACTTTGAAGCCCCTGCAATGTCTAAAATAACCTGATGTATGTTTCCTTAAATACAAATATTCTGTAGCAGGTTATACAGTAACAACTTCTTACTTAAAGGTCAACTTCACTGAAATAAAATGTTTTCACTAATATTTCTGATTATAATCGGTCACACTGAGCTTGTCATTCAGGCTGAACATGAAATAGTCTCCTAAACCTGTCTCCTGCATTAGCTTCTGATAGAAAACAGACTATAAACTCCAGGATTTTAAAGCCTGGCAGATCTACGTCACTCTGTCACTTAACATTCATAGACTCACCCATCTTGACTCACGAAGGGGAAGGCTGTTGTTGGTTTAGCATCCAGTAGAGAGCAGAGAACGTCTCGATTACTAGAAGCTAACCGTTAGCATTGGCAACTCCACACATAACAGTACGTCTCCAGGCTTTTGATATTTGTGGAGTTAAACTTAAATGCTGTAAAGCAAACAGAGTCAGTGGTAGAGGTGTGTTGTTGTTAGCCAATCAGAGGCGAGATGTCCAAATATCAGGAAATAAGATTCCTAATTCAAGTCGTCTGCAGCTCAACTCTGATCTGACTCACTTCTAGTTCCTGAAACGGGCGCACCAGAGCTTTTTTTGCCCCAAGTATGACTTACAAGGCATTTATTCCTAAGTGGAGATCACTGCAAATGCATTCAAATATGGGTTAAGTTGACCTTTAACAAAGAAATTGTGAAGAAAAGATGTAAATATTTTCTAAGTTCTGGTGTAGTTTTTTCACATGTATGTCTCCAAAAAGTTTTTTTTTAAAATAATCTTTCTTTTGTATTAGAAAATGTAACAAAAAAGTTTTTTTTATTAAAGGTATAACTTTTACGGGACTTCTGTTTGACTGTACAGAACACATTGTCCTTTTTCTATCATTTTCGCTTGAAATTAGGATTTCACTCAGAAATTCTAATCTATTTTATGCAATGTGAAACATTTATGCAGCTTATTTGAATTTGACTTCATCACCAAATGCAATAATACATTTCTAATTAAATGTGAATGCATTAGGAATATCAGAATACTGAGACAGGACCGGTTCAGCGACCTAATGAGCACTTTAACTACTGATACTTTTATCTGCTATATTATGTATTTTATTGCATTAAAACCTTAAATAAAATATTGCTTAGGTACTTGATTTTATTACAATAGCCGTGTTTCTACCACCGAACTTCTGGGAAATTTATGAGAGGGGGGAAATTGACTGGGAGATGCGATCTCTCGGTACTCTCAGCTGTTTTGTCTTCATATAAATTTAGCCCTTTCAGGACTTTGATGTCATCTTATTGCGACTGCTTTGCCAGGGGGTGGTATCACTAATCAGTGCCAAAAGGCATCCATGGACATAAATAACAATTAAAGTTTTATTCTGTCAAAGCACACCATGATTTCATCCATTTGGGGGACCAGAAGAGCAGCTGTGTGAAATGAAAAGGGTATTTTTTTTTTATGGTGCTCGGAGTCCACAAAGGGCCGTGAATTATGGCATTGTGGAGGGATTTCCACCGCAGTTTTCCATGTTAAGACTTTAGAAACAACAATTTTAAAACTGTCGTTTCTTTCCATTCTGCTCCACCAATTAACAGTTTTGGCAAAGTTAAATCCAATCAGCATGAGTTAACCAGAAGTCAGCGACTCTACCGGGACATTTCTGAGTACATACTCCAGTTCAAGTACTCCACTGGTCCCTGTAATGGCCCGGAAAATCGTTCTCTCATGCAGGCTTGCTGAAATAGAGACACACGCATGCCGCGAAGGTCCGAGAAAATTATCCGGAGGTTTTTCTTTTGCTCAAATAAAAACAAGAATTTTTGCACAACTTGGAGTTTGAAATGTTCAAGCAAAGCTTCCATATCAGCAGTCCTCACTGACATTTTCTCTTCATGGAAATATGAAATATATATTTGAGTTGTATTCAATAATCAATGTATTTATGTGATTTTTGCACATGTCAAAAGAAAAATAAAAACACCTTTTTTCACGCACTTGTCCTGTTTCTATTGTGGTAAACATAACGTGTTCTTAAATTCTTTAAAACCGCTTTTCTCAAACTCAAATCCTCTGATTTTACAGTCAGCTATCGAATGTGTTGGTACCTGTTTGCTGGGTTTTAAACAATGATGAGGCTTAAAATGTGCAGGTGCAAAGAAAAGTCACCGACATTCAAAACAATATGATCTCACTTTTATCATCACCTCCTCTTTCCCAACTCCTCACGACCATTGTCTTTGCTTTAAAGAGCCTCTTGGTCTCTGCCTCTTGCTGACTGACCACTCATCTCAATTGCAAATCTGATATGATCCTATAAGCACGGTGCAGAAAGCCACAAAAATCCTGGACTGAAAGGACACACCTAATATATGCAGGCAGGAGCTGTGTGTCATTGTTCTTTTGCAAGACATCATTAAACCCAGCGGTTACAGTCTGGCATTGTTTTACGTCACGAACATTATAAGCTCAATGGTGACATTTCACCTGTCTGCATTTTAAACCCCAGATCACTTTATTATAACCCTACTGGGTCTTAATGAGAGTCTGTCATCATGAAGGGATTTGAGTTCAAACAACATGGCAACAAAACACCATCAGCTGCAAAATTTGAGAGAAAACCAGCACAAAACCAAGTCAGGTACACACCGTTTGCATGCTAAAGTAAAAAAGAAGGGGCGGAAATAAGAAGGTTCTGACCTCGTTTCGGTTGGTGGTTTACGAGCGGTTGGGTGCATGGAGCCTTTTGGATTGCTGAGATCTTGAATCCTTGTGGAGGGAAAACGTTTATGTAATTACAGTGCCCTTTTCCCCCTCTTTACTGCTATCGTGCCTCTGCCACCCACTCATTATCCAATTGAAACACGTTCTTATGCATCATAGTCTTCTTTATTGGCTATTTATACTTGCATGTAGTGTTGCAGAAAAAACAAAAACATGCCAGCTGTTCTCTTGGACGGGACTTGACGCAGCTGACTGTAAGGGAACAACCTCTTGCACCCAAAAGCTGTTTAACGTTAACTTTTTGTTGAGTGAGCAAGCAAAAAGATTAATAAATGACTTCCATGCAAATACAAAGAGCTGATAGAAGTCAGGATCATGAGAGTTCAGAAACGAGGTTTTTCTTTCATCCACCTGTCGTATTTAGGAGTACGTAGTCCCAGAGATGGCCTCTTAAAACCACACTGGCCTTCCACCTCGTCTGTATCAGTTACACACAAGGACAATATGCTGCCTGTTTGATGCCATCAGTCCCCCCGGACGAATGAAGACATGGTTTCAGTTTGCAACGGGGGAGGCCAATTAAGTTATGGAAATGAGGTGGGAAATATAAGCTAAGAGATCTGTCAGAAGACAGAAGCTCTTTCTTTTTACTCTCTGGGGACCAAAGTACATTGATATACACCGTGACAACTGATGGAGACATTTTTAATCATTTCCCTGGTGGGATTCTTAGTGAACCATTACACTTGTATAATCTTAAAGTCATGAAATGATCACTTTTGCATTATAAAATAATAGAGACAAAGATTAATGTTTGGAAAAGAAAAGAAAAATACTAAATGTTTCATTTTTTATTCATACGGCGAGCCTAATCCAGTCTTTTTCAAATCATTAAACACTTTGTGTTCTTTCTATTTCATAAAGTACATCAATCTTTACTGGGTTTTCTGTTCTCTGAGCTTCCGTCTCTCTTTTCCTCTCTCCCTCTCTGACAGCGTGGGGCTGTCTTATACACTACCTAGTATGTATCATTCCTAAGCATCTGCTTTCAACTTCATTTAACTCCAAAAGGAATTGAACGTGTTCATTTGTTCATATTTTGTGCTTTGTCACTTATGTGTGCTTGTGTAACTGGAATACAGAGAAAGCTCTATAATCCTAAGTTATCACAAAGCCAAAATCCAATTCGGGACAACCTTTTAGATTTGTTTATTTGGCATGTTTAAAAGTAAATGTATTTAATTTTCAGAATGCACAAGTTGCAAGGAAGATGAAATGTCAGCTAGACAAACATTTGAGGACTTTTAGCCTCTTTGGATCATTTTTGTAAACAATGACGCCATTAGCCATAACTGAAATACTCATTTTTAAAGGGGACATATTATGAATTTTTCTATGTTCTATAAAAACATGTTCATGAAGTTCTTTGCACAAAATCCCTCTTGCTTAAATTGACTTTAGCAGTTTCATTCTTGACAATTACCTTCCAGAATGGGACATTTCAGGGCTCTGTCACTTTAAGAAAACAAGCTGGTGCTGGCCATGTGACGACACCTCCGCTCGGGCTGCTATAAGCTGAGAAGCTCTGGTATCTGGGAGGGACTCTGAATAAAGCTGCTACCCCTCCAGCAGCAGCAAGTCTCTTCTCCAGGTGAGATGGGCTTCTATGCAAATTTTTGAAACAGCTTGTTCTTTTTTAGGCACAAAATTCCCAAAAACAAACACTGACAAAAAATGTTTTTTTTTCCCAAGTGATGAGTGATTTTAGAGGCAGTAGGGACCCACAAGGCGGCACAAAAAGATGCAAAATGTGAGTTTTGCACAATATTTGTACAAATAATATTTTCAAATTTCTTTGAGGAGTTAAATTGAAACTATGGTTATTTCTTTAACACATGACAAACAAAAAATGCAGTTGCTCAAAAATTCTTTAACATTTACCAGAGATTATGAACTTCTAAGCATTTTATTTATCTAGGCTTTCACTGAACCATTTGGTAGATGTAATTTTAAATAAAATACGTTTGTATACTAAAGACTCATCACATTTGAAGGATTCAGCAAGATTAACTATACTTAGCTTCAGAAAATACACACAGGGAACTCAAGCAAGTCTCAGTGCCCATACCACCCATGTGTTTTTAAAAAGAAAAGCAAAGCACAACTCAATGTATGACCACAGTTCTTTGCACCATTTCACTCACAAAAAAGGTCATTTTTAGGTGTAATAAGAGGTTGAGACTCAGCAAACCTACTATTGTGTTTCTAGCGCTTCGTAGACGGTTTGACTGAAATTGCAACTAAACCCCCACTCGGACATTTGTAGGCTGGACGACTTTTTTGGACATCATGGGCATGTCCAACATAGGTGCAAGAAGTTGTATAAAATATTGATGCTGGGCTATTTAACATATTTTATACTGCCAGTATGAAATAGAAATAAAACATGATTAATAATTTGAATAAACTGAAGTATTTTATGCAGAGTTTTCATCTATCTATTGATCTATCCCTCCATCCATCCATCCTTCCGTCTATCTTGGTGCAGGCAGCAGTCACTGTTCACATACTTGCTGCTGCATGGCACTTGTACTGCATGTAGTGCTGGATTGTTGCACTAGACGGCACAATAGAGAGCTGGCTTTGTGGGTACAACCAAAACAAAAGATGGCATCAATAAAATAGATCAGTAACTGGTTCATTTTGACATGACAGCAGAAAAAAAGACAGCAGCATCATAGATAGCATGAAAGACCTCTAAACCAGAGAGGAGTCACCATGGTGAATGTCTCCTCCTACTGGTAACTCGTATATTATAGCGTTCGGATACGTCACAAACGATGAATCAAATCAAAGCTAACTACCCGTGGCAGCCATTTTAAACATGCATCATTAAACAGTAAATATATTCCAGCCCTCAGACTACTGATTCACACTTCCAGTGGAATGAACCTCACATTTTTTGACAACTGCCTTACAATTTCAAATCTCTAATAAGTCAATCTAAATAAGGATATAATCATCTAAATCTGCTGTGTTGGTAGACCTCTTTGCATAGCGAAAAACGTCCGCTACGCTAACGTTAGCATGTCCCATGTGGCTAATTATTATTGATGCATTATTACATCTCATATATTGTATAGCATGTGCAAACACACAGGTGATTATTAAATAATAATCAACTGTATCTTTATTTCAATGTTTCAGATTTAATGTTGACTTAGGGATATGACAACAGGTTGTGTTGATATTTCCATTAACTTCTCTTTTTGTACTTGAGCAGATGGAACGAGGAAATAGCTTACAACATGGCTGCAGAGGGCTGCAGAGGTGAAGCCTCTCAAGAATAAGTTACTAATAATAAATTAAGAAAATGATTATCAAGTTTGTGAGTGTGTGTGGTAAATAAAAAGCATTACAAATAATAGGTGGACTTGATTTATTTGTGTAGCATGTTATGTGTAGCTGTAGTTTCGGCAAGCCAGGTGTTCATAAACCTGACTAGAATTAACATAAATGTTACTTAAAATTTATATCTATTAGCATAGCAAAAATGACCTGAAGATGGCGTTGCTGCAACGTTTCTGGGGGACGTGAGGACGTCCACGACGACCTCACGTGGACCAAAATTAGCCCATATCTGAATGTCCTAATGACACCATTCAGGGATGTGCGGGAGATTTATGAAAAAGACGTTATCTGGCATCACAGTCTGCACTGAAAGGGGACTGTCATGGATTTTATCAATAACCCAATTACTGTAGCGAAGAGAGAAGGAGACAATGAACAACAAGTCAGTTATAACTGTGGCAAGATGCTCGAAGCATAATGCACCGAACATCCGGTCACAGAGTTTATTTATAGAGGGAGACATTGTGTGTGTGTGTGTGTGTGTGTGTGTGTGTATGGGGGGGGGGGGGGGGTCTTGTGTGAGTGTGTCTGAATGAGTGAGCATACAGAGAGGCATAGAGCAATACATTAACATTCAGTTGATTGAGTCCATGATCAAGAATTAATAAACATAAGTTTTTCCATAACATTATCCAAACAGGCTAACCAAACAAAGGGAAGCAACAAAACAAACCAAAACCAAATAAGGAAAACAAAATAAGTAAAGTAATAAGGAATATTATCCACTTCCATAACTTGTCACCACTATGAAAGCTACATCTATCACAAATCAAGTACCAATAGAAAAGGGGTAAACCAGGAAAGGTGATCATCTCAGTAGTCATAAGGGCCAATAGGTTACAAATCAATTAACTCAAGACAAAAATTATAAGCATCAAAACAAGAAAAATAATCAGTAAAGTAATGAACACTGTGATTAGATATAAAAGGGTCAGAATCAACAAGATAAGGCAAACACAGCAGGAGGTGCTGCAATCATTTGTCTGTTGCGGATCGTGATCCCAATCCTGTTAACTTGTCTAAACAATCATTCCATACAAAGTTCAATACAAAAATCAGCAAAATAATAAGAACAAAGAAGGTAATAAACACGATAAGGCAAACACAACTGACACTAATATCTTACAGCAGTTCACAGAGACAGAATGGAAACAGCTAAATCAACATAATTATTACCTTAAGGAGAGCTATTTCATATATATATTGAAATGAATTTACTGGGATGCACAATTCTACAACTTGTGGCAGTTCCTGTAAGGAGATTGGGAAGGATTAGCAAAACCACATAATACACAGAAAACATCAGTTCTGTGTATTGAAACATCAGGTGAATTTAGTTTAAAGCTCCAAGGAGCAGACGAATCTTCAGTGAAGGAGGAAAAATGAAGGTGTAATATTAATTTATGCAGCTCTAACTACGGCAGAGCTGAGGCAAACCAGGCGTTCTTCATCAAAGGGCTTGTCCATGGACTGAGAGTCCCGGTTGGAGAATAGAGTTGAAAGTCAGAGTCCTCTTCCATTGATCCGGATGGTTCCAGTCTTACGTTGATGAGCATCTGAAGTCCAGGTCCAGAGCGTAATAACGTAGGTCGGAACATGAAGCGCAAAGTTCTACTTCTCAATAGGAAGACTTCAGGGTCCTTCCGTGGTGTGTCGAGGCGGTTGTCCAATTGTCAGGGAGCTGATCTTGTCCCTGAAAGGTCCTACAGGTCCTTGACCATGAAACCAGTCTGGAGATTTGTTTGGAGTCTGTTTTTCCATAACAGGGACCAAAACTAGATGTGCAGAAATGACCTGGAAAAGATGTTGATGTGATGTGTCTTTGCACGGTGGGATTTATCAAAATAGTTAAACAGAAATCAAATGTACCAAGTGCAAAACTAAAATAAGCATGTTTAGTTAAACCTACAAAAAAAAATCCCATTTTTAGAGTATTTAAAGAAATTGCCAGGGGCAGTACATCCCCAGTGTTTCATTTACACTTTATTTGGACTGAAGAAGGAAACTTAAACACTTAAAAGTGGATCTTTCATTGATTTATGTAAAAAAAATTACATGGAAAATTTAATTAAATTACACACATATTTGGCTGACCATTTCTTTCTGTGTACATATTCTCCAGTGCTCCAGTGCTTAGATATAATAAGTGACCACCGTCTCAACGTCTTTAAACTCCAAACAATTGAACTAGCATTTTACATATTCTGTAAAACACAGTGATCTTGTTCTATTTTGTTGTACAAACATGAACTGTGATATTAGTCAAAAGTGGAAGTGGTCATTTACCAAGGGTCTGGTGCCCTCTGCTGGTCTGGCAGAGAAACACCAGAGCTGGATGTAATTGATAACTGAGGGGCAGTAAACACAGCTTTATAAATATAATTAACATTATAAATATATAAATGTGACAAATGAAAAGAATAGTAAGACTGCACAGTAAAGGAACTGAACTCAATTGGAATGTTTTACTCTGTGACAACTCTTGTCGTGATTTGGCGTTATACCAATAAATTGAATTGAATAATTACAGAAAAAGCAAAACATTTTAATAAAAATGATGGCAAGGAAAAGGAAAATAGATGTTACAATGATAAGTAGATCTAATTCCAGTTTTGGTGAAGAGCACATCTTCATTGCTAATTTAAAGATTGTTTAAATGTTTATTCAGATCAGGGGCGTGTCCAGGGAGTGGCCTGGGGTAGCACATGCCACCCTTAGAATCTGATTGGCCACCCCAGATGCCACCCCACTAAGTTCCAGTTTAAATTGACTTTACATTGTATACAAAAGGCTTGGGTTGTAAACTCCACAATAGTGTGTGTTTGCATGCACATTTCACCATGTTTTCTAGCCCAGGCATGTAGTATTAATATTATTTAATATTTTTTCATATTCACATACATAGTGTTTAGAGTCCCAAACAACTCCAGTTGGTGGCATTAATGCAACAAGAAGTGACTTGCTAACCACCACAAAAGTAGAAGATGAATCGGAAAAAAAAATGGTGATTGTGCAACGTGAAACTCAAAAATTCACTAGAAAGTAAATAAATAAACGATTTGTGTAAATAAATAAATAAATAAGCATAACCATTGGTGCCGCCCATGAATAAACAAGTGTCTCACATGGGCCACCCCATTTTAAAAGTCCTGGACATGACTCTGATTCAGATGTGGTTGTGCTGGAACTAAGGCTAAGGTAAAAACAATAAAACTTAATTTATAATCTACACTCACTAGTTTTTTCATACAAATTGAGTTTAAAGGTAGTCAGACTTCACCAGGGTTACGCCACTGAAGATTACAGTATTACATCATCTGCTCCTTACGAGGATACAGCTAACCCAGATCATGTGTAACAGAGCGATAGAAGTTCATCTGAGAGGCAGCCCGGACTGCACGTGGCTCAAGCTGCTTCCTGGAAAGCACATTCTCACTCCTGGAACAGAGGCGAGGACCACCTACTCCAAAAGCTTCCACCAATCATCCGCACTCCTGTATAAAGCTGAGAGTGGAGTGTAATATTTTTTTCTTGTGACGATCAGTGAGAATTGGGTCGCAGGAACCATGGACAGCACACCGAGATCACCTTTTTCCTCATGGAAGGAATGTTTTGTGGTGAAGCGGATTCGCATGTTGGTTCCCGTGGGCTTCAAGGAAGAAATAAAAGACTTGTCAGAACTGTCAGGACCTGTGGTGAGTGACCGTGAAAGTGCTGTCCAGCCAGGATATATAATATTAAAACAACTTTAACAGACATTTCATGAATTTATTAATTATTAATAATTAATAACATCACCATTAGCCGTTGGCAATAGGCTCGTAACTACTTGAATTTTGACTTTCAGTTCATGGCACAGCTCATGAGCTTTGCTGTGAGTTTTGTCAGCACTGTTTTCTGTGGTCATCTGGGGAAGACGGAGCTGGCTGGAGTAGCTTTGGCCACGGCAGTAAGTCTAGTCATGTTCTAAAATCCGCACTGGCCAGTTAGACCAGTAAAACATATTAAATCACCCGTTTATGTTGTTACATCTTTAGGTCATTAATGTTACGGGGGTTTCTATTGGATCTGGTTTGGCCTCAGCGTGCGATACTCTGATATCTCAGGTTTGACCCCATCTTTTCCTGTTTCAGTTGGACTCTGTGAGGAGTCTGGCGGGATTATGGATGATGTTTGATGTATTTTCAGACCTACGGGAGCGGGAACCTCCTGAGAATAGGGGTCATCCTGCAGAGGGCCATTCTCATTCTGTTACTGGCTTGTTTCCCCTGCTGGGCGGTCCTGATCAACTCAGAGCCCATTCTGTTGGCTTTTAAGCAGGAGCCAGAAGTAGCCCGGTCAGTCAGCTGTCTTATGGTTCCTTCTCTAAAACGTGATGTAAGATTCAATCATTGCTGATTCTGATGAGATACATCTCTCTGTAGGTTGGTTCAGATATATGTAAAAATCTTCATGGCAGCACTTCCTGTGAGTATTGGACAAACTTAAATAACTGGTCACACTTTCCAAAAAGACTGCTATACATATATAATGGAGTAGTTTGAAAAAAAAGTACAAATCATAACCTTCAAAAGCTTTTTCAGGGTCTCTGAAAAAAATAAAAGACAAAAAAATTGTAATATTTTCCAAGTCACTATAATCCAATGGCATTCTTCAGTGCTGCCATGTGGGGTTGTACTGGCTCCATAATACAAATGTGGCTAAAATATCAAACAATCTGTTTTCTGTCAGTTGTGGTTTTAGGAATTATGTGACTTAAATGAGCCAAAAAAATGTCCCCACATGTGATGTCACAAAAATGAGCATAAAACCATCTTTCACATGAACAAAAAAAGCTGCTGTTGGAGTAACAGCACCACTACTCCGAAGTTTTCCTCGATGTCAGAGCCTCTCGGCTTATAGCAATCTGAGCAGGGGCTGTGTGGTCTTCAAGTGACAAAGCCCTGAAATGGCTCATTCTGGAAGGTACTGAAAATTTTAACAATACAATTGCAGAAATCCCTTTATGTGTGTGAAATTTGGAGCAAAAAACTTCATGAACATGTTTTCTGTCGACCACAGAACTATTATAACTTAGGAAAAAGTTATAATGTCCCCTTTAAAGCATTGCTAGCTCTGTTTTGAAAAGTGTTTTTCAATTACTATATTAATAATTGCATTATTTACTATTTTCTAGATGTGTAAAATTATTCTTATCCATAAAAATTTAAGATTAATAGGACCTCATGAGGGTAAGTAAAAACACATCTGACAACCGCCTTTAACAATTTGAAGTTTGAAGCAGTTTTTTTTTCAAATTATTCAATTCAATTCAAGTTTCTTTATATAGCGTCAAGTCACGACAAGTTGTCTCAAGGCACTTAACATAGTAAACATTCCAATACAGGTCAGTTCATTAAGCCAATCAGTAAAAAGTTTCCTATATAAGGAACCCAGCAAATTACTTTACAGCAATCCTCATTCTAAGCAAGCATTTAGCGACAGTGGAAAGGAAAACTCCCTTTTAACAGGAAGAAACCTCCAGAGAATCCTGGCTCAGTATAAGCATCCATCCACCACGACTCACTGGGGATCGAGAAGACAGAGCAGACACACGCATACACCAACACCAGCCCACCCACCCACCCACACACACACACACACACACACACACACACACACACACACACACACAACATATATACCAAGTAATGTTTCTATAGTTACGTTGTGATTGCTCAGTAAATATTTGGTGAGGGATAAACTTTATTGTATTTATCCTAGTGAATCTATAATTAAACGGGTAAACTAGTAGTAGCACATTCAATGTCAGAGAAAGTAAAATGTTATTATCAGGAGAGAGAGAATGTTTAAGTGGTTAGCAGCAGTGTTCAAGCTGATGGTCACCACCATGAGGGCACCACAGCTCAGCAGAACATCATTGTGGCTTCTTCTGGGTAGAAAAACACTCAGAGAAAAATAAAGTTAATGGCTGACATAGCAGGAAATAATAGTTAAAAAGCAAATTGTAGGAGAAAGTAGTAGCGTTTGGAAAGTGGTCAGTGTATCCTCCAGCAGTCTAAGCTCATAGCAGCATAACTGCAGAGATAACTCCAGATAACCTAGCCTTTTAGATGGAGGCATGTTGGAGGCAGGGAAAGGGAGAGCTGTCTTTACCGACTGTACACTCCACCTCCCTCTACTCCCCCACTTGTCCAGATCTAGGCTAACATCAGATTTTAACCATAGGCCCTATCAAATAAAAATGTTTTAAGCCTATTCTTAAAAGTAGACAAAGTGTCTGCCTCATGGACTAAAGCTGGGAGTTGGTTCCACAGGAGAGGAGCCTGATAGCTAAAAGATCTGCCTCCCATCCTATTTTTAGATATTCTGGGAACCACCAGTAAACCTGCAGTCTGAGAGCGAAGTGCTTGGTTAGGAACGTATGGAACAATCAGGTAACTGATGTATGATGGAGCTTGATTATTAAGAGCTTTATATGTGAGAAGAAGGATCTTAAAATCTATTCTGAATTTAACAGGTAGCCAATGTAGGGAAGCTAAGACAGGAGAGATATGACCTCTCTTTAATTCTCATCAGAACTCTAGCTGCATCATTTTGGACAAGCTGAAGACTTTTAACTACATTCTGTGGACTTCCTGAGAGTAGTGAATTACAGGCTGTGTCTCAATTCAGGGTCTGCATCCTTCGAAGGACCCAGCCCACCCGGCCGACGTGGGCTGCGTCCTCCGTCGGCCGGGTAGACCGGATGTTAACGGCTGTGAATTTGGACAGGCCTAGCCTTCATGAACTCCCTCGGCGAACGTTCCGTCGCCTAGCAACCGTGGAACCGCTGGGCAGAAGGGAGAAGGAACCTTAAACGATGTAGCTCGACGTTTTATTTAGCTTTTTAACCCCCAGAAACCCAAATTTAGAAAACAACTGCAAAATCTTTTTTTAACCTTTCACATGTTGTTCTAGGAGGCCAGATAAACGGGCCTATTTACACATTTTAACAGCCAATAGTGTTGCAGAACTGAACAATAGGACCTATTAGCAATGTAAATGTGGTTTTAAAAAGAAAAAAAAATGGGGAAGGTTTATTTTTGTAGACTTAAATCTGATGTTTTAATATTACAACCGTGGGTCTCTGGGGGTTAATCATTTCCTTGACTGTTGGAGAGCTAATTCAGAGAAAATACTTTAGACAAGCTGAGCCTGAGAAAAGATGTGATAATAGTTTTTAATACTTTCTAAGGGTCTTAATTTGACCAAAACCGATTTATCACCTTTTAAGACTTTTCAAGACCCAGCGGATACCCTCTAGTAAACAATTCTCATTTGTAAACAAAAATAAAATTCAAGAGTTTAATGCAGAACTGATTTTATTTAGATATTTCTTTTATATGTACATGTTTAATCTTCCTTAACCATTTTTTCTAGCAAAGTAAAAAGCTGTCAAAGTTCTTCCTTCTCTCCTGTGTCCTCTGCTGCTCTGCCTCCCTCTGCAGCCTCATGTCCTCCCAGATCAGCTCCAGGAGCTGGTCATCGCTGGCACCTTCCCCTGGATGCCCCTTTTCTCCAGAATAGTCAACAAACATGTAAGAAAAAAACAGAGAAAAGAGGACAACGGGTTATTCCTTTCATGTTTTCGCAGAAAAAAAAACAAACGAGTTTTTTAAAATATGAGATGTTATTGTACCTCCATGCCACAGCCGCCGAATACTTTGCTCCGGTGATCATGTGGTCCATCTCCGCCCTAAGCTTAATAAATTCCCTGGTTTTCTCTTTTGTTCCTAAAATACAAACTTCTATTAAAATCAGGGGGAAACGTAGCGAGAGAAGTACGACACCGAGCGGCCGAACATACGAGCCGAAACCGCAATACAAGCACTTTTACTGTTACATTTCTAACTAAAATAACGTTCATGTATCACAGAAAGTCCTTAACCTAACAGTTTTCAAGTTTATACTGACATTTATATGCGCAATCCTCTCCGACAGCTCCCGCTTCACTGTCCGCCATTGTTTTTAAGTTTTTCATCCGGCCGGCCCGCAAGGCATCTTGGGAAATGCTACCTATTGAAGGATACACCCGACCCATCCTTCATTCAGGCGAAAAGAAGGCCGCATTCGTCGACCGCATTTGAAGGAGTTTTCGAATTGGGACGGGCCTAGTCGCGGCGCTGTGACGTAACCAGCCGACGAATCCGGCCGACATAGGATGCAGACCCTGAATTGAGACACAGCCACAGTAATCCAGTCTTGATGTAATAAATGCATGAACTAGTTTTTCAGCATCACTCCTGGAAAGGATGTATCATACCAGAAATACAATAAAACCAGAAACAAGACCGCAAAGCACCCAATCTGCAGAATCACCCATGACAGGATGCATCTAGTCTTAGCAATATTCCGAAGGTGGATAAAGGAAATACTACAAACCTGTTTATCGTGGGATTTGAATGACACGTCCTGGGCAAAGATAACACCAGTGTTCCTGACTTTGTTCTCGGAGATTAATGTAATGCCATTCAGGTCAGGTGATTGACTAAGCAATTTCATTTTCTGAATTTCAGGTCTAAAGAAGAGAACTTCAGTCTTGTCTTGATTTAAAAGTAGAAAGTTTTGAGTCATGTTAAATGGAATCAAGTTAATGGATAGATATAACTTAGTATCGTCTGCATAGCAGTGGAAGTTTATCCCATGCTGTCTAATGATTTTACCAGTTGGAAGCATATATATAGTAAAAATATTTTTTCCAAGCACTGAACCCTGTGGTACTCCACAAGTTACCCTGGAGTATGAAGATTTGTCATGTACGTTTACAAAATGAATTCTATCAGTCAGGTAGGATTTAAACCAGCCTAGCACTGTTCCTTTGATCCCTACAACATGTTCAAGCATTTCTAAAAGAACATTGTGATCAACTGTGTCAAAGGCAGCACTGAAATCTAACAAGACTTGAATAGACACAAGATTCTTATCTGAGGCCATGAGAATATCATTTGTAATGTTCACTAATGCAGTTTCAGTGCTGTGATACTCTAAAACCAGACTGAAATTCCTCAAACAGATCATCCATCCATCCATCCATTTTCATCCGCTTATCCAGAGTCAGGTCGCGGGGGCAGTAGCCTAAGGCAAGAGGCCCAGACTTCCCTCTCCCCAGCCACTTGGGCCAGCTCCTCCGGGGGAATCCCAAGTCATTCCCTGGCCATGTGAGAGACATAGTCCCTCCACCGTGTCCTGGGTCTACCTTTAGGTCTCCTCCTGGTTGGACGTGCCCGGAAAACCTCACCAGGGAGGCGTCCAGGAGGCATCCTGATCAGATGCCCGAGCCACCTCAACTGGCTCCTCTCGATGTGGAGGAGCAGTGGGTCTGCTCCGAGCACCTCCCGAATGACCGAGCTTCTCACCCTATCTCTAAGGGAGAGCCCAGCCACTCTTCGGAGGAAACTCATTTCGGCCGCTTGTATTCGCGATCTCGTTCTTTCGGTCACTACCCAAAGCTCGTGGCCATAGGTGAGGGTAGGAACGTGGATCGACCGGTAAATCGAGAGCTTCGCCTTCTGACTCAGCTCTCTCTTCACCACGACAGACCGGTACAACGCCCGCATCACTGCAGATGCAGCACCAATCCGCCTATCGATCTCACGCTCCAGTTTTCCCTCACTTGTGAACAAGACCCTGAGATACTCATACTCCTCCACTTGGGGCAGGACCTCATCCCTGACCCGGAGAAGGCATTCTACCCTTTTCTGAATCAAGAGCATGGCTCAAACAGATCATTAGTGTTTAAATGCTCACTTAATTGAATGGCCACTGTTGTAAATAAGAACAACTGATTACAGCTGAACAAAATAAAATATTACAGCAAGTGTTTTACTTTAGATTATTTTATATCTTATTAAATTATTTATATGGTTTTATTTAGTTTAAAAACTCACAAGTTGGCTGTGACAAAAGAAATTCTGCCATAATTACAAAGAAACATTTTATTAACAAAAAAATAACGTCATGATATTCAGACATTTGTGAATATATTTACTTTGTATTGATCTTTTACAGGCTACCTTCATGTATTCATTAGAATCCAGATATCTACAAAGTCAGGTGGGTCTTTTAATCTTCTGTTGGTTAAATCAGATTGACAGATTAAAAATATTTGCTGTTTAATAAATAAAACAAGTATGTGTACAATAATAAAATAAAAATTATATATGTTTGTATGCCTGCATAGAGTCAATGTTCTAATTTATTCATCATTTCTTTTCTAAATTGACACTTGGCCCAAAATGGAAAAAAAAGTAATTTATATTTCATTTGTGAGTCTAATGTGGATATTTTATTTCAGGGAATTATTTGGCCGCAGGTGATCACAGGCTTTGCAGTAAATCTTCTTAACGCCCTCATTAACTACATTGTTCTATATGTACTTAAGCTGGGAGTCGAGTGAGTGTGCCTTTTATGATGACCTCAGCTTCATGTTTATGGCTGACATTATGTAATGGGTGTTAAACAGCGGGATTCTCCTTACAGAGGTTCTGCTATTGCCAACACCTTCTCCCAGTTTTCCATGGCTGGCCTTCTCTACTGGTACATCATGTGGAAAGGTCTCCACAAGGCCACATGGGGCGGTGAGTGTTTGTGTTACTTATCAACTAAGCTACGCCACATTTCCCTCTATCAGCATGAGATGTGATACTCTTTATTCATTAGAGACCTTGGTGATTAAATTATTATCTATTGACAAAGACATGAGCTGAAAAAATGACTTTTACTTTCATAATTCAGAAAAGTATTGGATTTGGAGAGCAGATGAACGCACAAAAAGACGATGTTCTAACAGGATTTTTATTTACTTATGAAAACAGACAAACCCCATGAATAATCAGCTAAGAGTCTGAAGGTCAGAAAAATATAAAAACTAGATTGGAAAGAAGCAATAAAACAGGTTATAGGGTATAAAAGGTGTGTGTGTGCGTTTGTGTGTGTGTTTTATCTCTGTATATATATATATATATATATATATACATATATATATATATATATATATATATCTTTGTATGTTTATATTGTAAATACTTATAGATTATCTTTTGTTAACTAATGTCATGTGGTTTAATTCAACCAATGAGATCGCTGTCAGTGACGCATAAAAGATGACGTGACAGAATAAACCAGGTGTTCTCTGATTGAGAAGCTAAGCAGTGATGTGGCTGTATTATTTCCTCCGTCAGCACGATTGATGACTCTGCTAACAGTGTGCGTGTGTGTGTGTGTGTGTTTGAGCTCACAGCCTGCAAAGTGAATTTGCAGTCTTCCAGATTTATTAGCAAATCTTAGTCACTGGAACACTTCTCTCACTCTCGCACACGCACACACGCACGCACGCACGCACGCACGCACGCACGCACGCACACACACACACACACGCACACACACACACACACACACACACACACACACACACACACACACACACACACAATCAGTTTTATTGTGTGATCTCCTATCTGGAATCCCAAACAGAAACAGGAGAGTCTCTCAGATCGTGAAGCAGCACGGTGATGAGTTCTCTTCTAACAGATTTTCTTTAGTTTGATTTCTTTTTATCGACCACATTTGCAGCTTCCTTCAGGAATCTGAAGCTGCACATTGAGGAGTTTGTTTATGTTTAACAGGCTGGTCTATAGAATGCCTTCAGGACTGGGGCTCTTTTATCCGTTTGGCCATCCCTGGCATGGTCATGATGTGTGTTGAGTGGTGGACGTTTGAAATAGGAAGTTTTCTAGCAGGTAAGCTTGCAAACCACATGCTTCTGGAGCCTTCATGCTTTAAAATACATAACACCTTTGTGGCTTTGGAAGGTCTGATAAGTGAAGTGGAACTCGGAGCTCAGTCTGTTGTCTATGAACTGGCAAACATTGCATACATGGTGAGTTTGCAAATTTATTTTGTTACTTTGTTAGACTGTGTTGATAATCAGGTTTTGCATGCTTTTCAGCCTTTTTCTGTCCTGTTTTCTCTCTCTGTTTGGTTCAGTTTCCAGTGGGTTTTAGTATAGCGGGCAGTGTGAGAGTTGGGAATGCTTTGGGAGCCGGAGAAACAGAGCAGGCCAAGCTGTCTGCAAAAACCACAATGTTTTGTGCAGGTTGGTGCATTCCTAAATCCTGAATCATCATTTTCACCTAATATTTTTTACAAGCATCAACTCTATTGTTTACCCTGTCCTTCTATAGGTAACTGTGCAGAGGAGTACCTAAAAGAGCTTCTAATTTTCTTGGATTATAAAAGTTGCATTTTCCTAAATTGAAGGTTCCCGTGTGCAGAATGAGAACCTCATTTATGATCATTCTCCTCAGGAGGGAATTTGTAGTCACTTTTATTCTACTACTCAGTAAAATCTTGAATGTTTTGTCTCATTTAAATACAGGTTTAGTGTCCGTTTGCTTGGCAGTGCTCATCGGGAGCCTGAAGGATCACATCTCTTATGTCTTTACATACGATGAGTAAGTAGATGTTTAAGACTTGTGTAGGTGGGTTGAAGTCGCCGACAAAGTCACTCATTGGCCTCCGTTTAAAAAAAATTGTTTAATGTCAGAATTGTATCTGACTGCTACGTTAATCCGTGCACAAAGTCATCTTTGAACAGATTTCCTGTGGTATAAATGTTTGTTTCAAGTAAACTGTAACTGTACAGCGCTACTACGGTATTCCCAAAAACTATATGTATATATATTTTTTTATTTGCTGATTTCTCAAAGATAATAACATGATAAGCATGTTACATGTGACTACTTCTTGTTTCAGACAAATTAGAGAAAGAGTTGCTGAGGTTATGTCTCTTTATGCTCCGTTCATCCTCCTGGATGCAATGTCTGTAGGTACAATCATGTACTGGACAATGTTTTTATATATATTTATAGATAAATACTGTGTACCATCATCTTTAATCTCTGTGCACAGGCTGCCACTGGTGGCATCATTAGAGGGGCGGGTCAACAGAGAGTCGGGGCTATTTGCAACATCGTGGGATATTACGGCATCGGTTTTCCCATCGGAGTACCGCTGATGTTTGCAGCTAAATTAGGAATCAAAGGTGACAAATGTTCCTTTTGTGTTATTTAAAGAGCAAGTCACCCCCTACCAGAGCCTAACTCCACTCCTGCTTCCTGTTTAAAAAATGCAACAAACGCTGTTGCCTGGCAGACCGAGAGGATGGAGCCGCTAACAAATACACACACAGGCTCTCAACGACACAGTGACATCATAATGTACCAGTTAACATCATAGTGTACCTCTTAGCCAATAACGATGGCAGATGTACATTCAAATGCAGTGCAGAGTTTTTACCTGAAGAGGGCGCAACACTGACAGTTTCAGGCCAAATATTTAAATCTTAACTACGATGTACTAAAGTGCCAAATTATTGACTACAGCACGATTAGACATTAATTTATATAGTTTATAGTCAGCAAAAAAAAAAGTTTATTTGGGGGTGACTTGCTCTTTAAAGATTTAAGCCTTACAGGTGCTGGCCAGTAAATTAGAATATCATCAAAAGGTTGAAAATATTTCAGTAATTCCATTCAAAACGTGAAACTTGTACATTATATTCATGCAATGCACACAGACCAATGTATTTCCAATGTTCATTACATTTAAATTTGATATTCATAAGTGACAACTAATGAAAACTCCAAATTTGGTATCTCAAAAAATTAGAATATTCTGAAAAGGCTGAATATAGAAGACACCTGCTGCCACTCTAATCAGCTGATTTACTCAAAACACCTGCAAAGGCCTTTAAAAGGTCCCTCAGTCTTGTTTTGAAGGCACCACAATCATGGGGAAGACTTCTGACTTAACAGCTGTCCAAAAGACAATCATTGACACCTTGCACAAGGAGGGCAAGACACAAAAGGTGATTGCTAAAGAAGCTGGCTGTTCGCAGAGCTCTGTGTCCAAGCACATTAACAGACAGGCGAAGGGACGGAAAAAATGTGGTAGAAAAAAGTGTACAAGCTCTAGGGATAACCGCACCCTGCAGAGAATTGTGACGACAAACCCATTCAAAAATGTGGGGGAGATCCACAAAGAGTGGACTGCAGCTGGAGTCAGCGCTTCAAGAACCACCACGAGGAGACTCATGAAAGACATGGGATTCAGGTGTCGCATTCCGTGTGTCAAGCCACTCTTGAACAAGAAACAGCGCAAGAAGCGTCTCGCCTGGGCCAAGGACAAAAAGGACTGGACTGATGCTGAGTGGTCCAAAGTTATGTTTTCTGATGAAAGCAAGTTCTGCATTTCCTTTGGAAATCAAGGACCCAGAGTCTGGAGGAAGAGCGGAGAAGCACAGAATCCACGTTGCATGAGGTCCAGTGTAAAGTTTCCACCGTCAGTGATGGTGTGGGGTGCCATGTCATCTGCCGGTGTTGGCCCACTGTGTTTCCTGAGGTCCAGGGTCAATGCAGCCGTCTACCAGGAAGTTTTAGAGCACTTCATGCTTCCTGCTGCTGACCAACTTTATGGGGATGCAGACTTCACCTTTCAACAGGACTTGGCACCTGCACACAGTGCCAAAACCACCAGCACCTGGTTCAAGGACCATGGTATCCCTGTCCTTGATTGGCCAGCAAACTCGCCTGACCTTAACCCCATAGAAAATCTATGGGGTATTGTGAAGCGGAGGATGCAATACGCTAGACCCAACAATGCAGAGGAGCTGAAGACGACTATCAGAGCAACCTGGGCTCTCATAACACCTGAGCAGTGCCACAGACTGATCGAGTCCATGCCACGCCGCATTACTGCAGTTATTGAGGCAAAAGGAGCCCCGACTAAGTATTGAGTGCTATACATGCACATTCTTTTCATGTTCATTTTTTTCAGTTGGCCAACATTAGAGAAACAAACATTTTTTCATTGGCCTTTAGAATATTCTAATTTTCTGAGATACCAGATTTGATGTTTTCATTGGTTGTCACCTATAAATATCAAAATTAAACGTAATAAACATAGGAAATACATTGGTCTGTGTGCATTGCATGAATATAATGTACAAGTTTCACGTTTTGAATGGAATTACTGAAATATTTTCAACCTTTTGATGATATTCTAATTTACTGGCCAGCACCTGTATATCTGTTTTAGTTAAACATCTGATTTAATTTCCAGGCTTGTGGATCGGCTTGCTTACTTGTGGTTCATTGCAATGCACATTCTTGATTTTCTATTTGGTCAGAATGAACTGGAAGACAGTTACAACTGAGGTCAGTGTTAACACTTAAATGTTGCCAGTCTAAAAGAAAAAAACACTGCTTTGTCTTTATTTTTGAGGACTCACAATGTTTTTCTTCCAGGCTCAGATCAGAGCAGGGGTGCACGAGAGCTCCAGCAACACAAGTAAGACAGATTGTTCACAGAACTTCTTCACATATGTTTCAGTTTAAGAAATAAACTCATTCTTTGAACTTACATCTTTGCATATTAGACAGAACCAATAAAAAGGATCAAAAACTGAGGATTAAGACTGAAATCTGATTCACCCGGCAGACAGATCTTTATTTTAAACACGATTTAAAGATAAAGTGAGAAGATTTAAGCAGGGAGGCTTAAAGGACATCCATGAGAGAATTCCAAGGGAATAATCTCTACTGACCAAAGACAACACAAAGGTTTATCTCACATTTTCCCAACAACCTTCAATACTTTGTGGAAAACATTCTGTGAACAGACAAGACCAAAGGAAAAGTTTTTAGATGGTGTGTGTCTTGTTATGCATAGAAAAGATGAAACAGTCCAGTTGGTGGTGGTGGTAGTGTGATGGTACGGGACTGATTTTCTACTTCAGGTCCTGGCTGACTTTCTGTAGTTTATGAAACAATGCATTTTGTTCTACATCTGAAAATACTGAAGGAAAGTGAACTTTGACCAAATACCAGGCCAAAGTTTCTTTGCAGCGATGTGAGAAAATCATTATGTCACCAAGCATGTTGTAGCCAGTTATGAGGTTTAGGGGCAATTATTTTTCCCTTAATGAATGGAATCATCATTTGAAAAATACATTTTACTCACTTTATCTTTGTTTGGTAATGAAATGTGTTTGCTGATCTGAATCATTTAAGAGCTTAAAAATCAAAGACAAAATAAATGTGCCAGGTAACGTCTAGTTTTTCACAGTACTGTAGACCCACAAAATTGTCAAGACATGCAACGCCAGATATCCCTGACATGACAATATCTACATGCTTAAAGGGGACATATTGTGCAAAACCCACCTTTTGCATCCTATTTTGCTGCCACGTGGGTCTCGACTGCCTCTATAAACACTCCAAATAGGAAAACAATCCATCCATCTGTTTTCTGCCTGTGTTTGGTTTTAGGGACTATGTGCCACAAAAAAGCTGTTTCAAAAAGTCCTTGTTTGTGACATCACAAATGTTAAATGACCCTTTTGGGAGGAAGAGCGATTTTACTCTGATCCGCTTCCAGATATCTGAGCTTCTCAGCTTATAGCAGCCAGAGTGGCATGTTGCTCATTCAGGATAAGTGAAATGGTCAAGAATAAAACAGCTGAAATAGCGTTGTGAAAAAGGAATTTATGCAATGAACTTCCTGAACATGTTTTTATAGACCATAGAACTATTTTAACTTAAAGCTGTCATGTTCTGCGGGTGGAGATGGCAGACCATGTGTGGTGGTGGGTTTCAGGAGGCAGAAGAGCAGGCAACGGATGAAAAAATAAAAATGGTTTAATTGTAGACTGGGAGCGACAGGACAAACGAATATGCACAAAATGACAACAATGATCCGACAACGACAGGAACAAAGAGGGAGGTATAAATACACAGAACAATCAGGGAACACATGGGCAGGTTAACGAGGGCCAGGTGAGAACAATAAGGCCAATTACGGAAGGAGTGACACAGTCAGGGAGGCCGGGGCGAATCATGACAAAAGGACCTGTATCATGCTATTTTACACCTTCCAGAGCAACAGAAGGTGCATTATATGATAAAATATTACTGTTGGTACTATTGAGAAGTCATTTTCAAAAGCGGTAGGCTTTTTTAGCCAGCCAATCAGTCCGTAGTGTCACCTCAATCCCAGTCTGACCGCTGGGGAGGAGGGCTGAAAAAGGGTCGGGCTGGACAGGAAAATGCAGATTTGACGAAGATATGAACAAAAGTCACCCGTTCAGGTCTGATTCGTGCGGGCCCAGATGTGAAGGCGCCGAGAGAGACTGAGAGTCAGTGTTTAAAAGTCCAGGGGAGGACGGATCTGCACACGAGAGACTATCTGGATGGGGAGAAACAGGCTGTGATGATGCAACAACAACTCTATTCAACTGTATGCAGACAGCAGACAATTTGCAACTGAGACAGAAATGCATGCGTGAAGCCAAAAAACGCTTTGGGGGTATTTTTCATTCGGAAATAATGATAATAATGATATAACATGATGAAAATCTCCAAATAGTGTATTTCTTATGATATATTACCTTTAGGAAAAAGTGTTAATATTTTCCCTTTAAAATAATAAAACAGTTCAGCTCATTGTAGTGAGATTGAGATTGGGGGGTTAAATTATGACCAATAATATGTGATGATTCTATATAAATATAGAAAATCAAGCTGATTGATCTTTGAATGTTTAACCAGAAGAGTTTAGGATTCTTTGCTTATTCAAGGACCATAAACACACTTCGTATTAATTCAGACAGATTTAAGTATATAATTAAAAATCAACTTTATTTTCTAGACTAATTATAATACATGGCAAGCTATGAATAATGATATGTGATGATGGAATGGTGATGTGTGAAGTAGATGTAGATCAGAACCTTTGTATCTGAAAGAGATTGTGAATTCTGGGTGTAAAAGAATTTGGTCTGCTATAACTAGAGAGTTGATTATTAATAAAATATCATCAGACACCAGTATGCAGGTCTACGATATCCTTGAACGAGTTGCTCCCAGCGTTCCTGAGGTTTGCGGTCAGAGTGATGAGGTCACCGGACGTCGAGACCACGATCCTCAGAGATTAGTAGCCTCCTCTGAGTTGAGCTTCCGCGGCCGTGAGATACAACCCGGGTCTGCAGATTTGATGCCCAAGATGGACGTCTGAGTTGCAGTAGCTCTGGAAGGAGCTGTTGTGTCTGTAATCACTTGCAGCGTCGTGGCAAGGTTTTGCCTTAAGGTCAAAGGAGGTTGTTTCAAAAAGGCTTCTTTCCCGATTTGGCCGAATCGAGGTGTCAGCTGGAAAACTGAGTGACTCGGCAGTCACTCTAGTTTTAATAATCTAGAGTTTATCTTTTCCGCAAATCAGAATTTGACATGTTTGTCGGTGTCAGGGACTTGCACAAACCAGCCAGAGAAGAACTGCTCATGAGACTCAAAACACCATTTTATTTTTGGAGCGGCTTCAAAGTTAAAGGAACTTTAACCTAATCACAGCACAAGACACTCTCCAGAAAACAAAAGACATTTCAGACACACCAGGTTCAACTTAAATAGTGGCTGATCAGACCACTCTACATACAAGAGGGGAACAATTAACATACAATTAACACACGCATCCTCACACACACACAAACTAACCACTCTAATCAATTCAGGTAACTCAAATAACTAAATCATAATTACAAACTTCCTATCCATAACAGAAAACATCTACATTAAATTAAACACAAGCATAAACATGAATATCCCCTCCCTTGAGAGTTGGTAGATCCCAGGAGTGCCGACTAGGCTTCCTGGGGAGATGAGCTGCAGGTGTGAGACTCCATGGGAAACTCCAAGTCACTGGTAACTCAAATTGAAGTACAAAATTAACACATGCATTCATAAACAGAAGACTGATTGTGTGCACATCAACCAGTCATCCTGGGCAGAACACAGAAAACACTACCAGCAGACCATGTCCATGAGGTGACAGACACTGCTGTCACAGTCGGCATTACCAAACATCCCTCAGAAACCACACCTTCCAGATACAAAATGTTCTTGTTCTGTGGATAAAGAATCTTTAAACCTTTGTGATATGTGACCTTAACCGTAATTTACATCTTATGAACATTGTGTATGAGTGTAGATAATGATTAACTTGTTAAATCATACATTACTGATCATAACATAAAAATGTTTCATTGTAAGCAATAATATTCATTTCAAGTTCACTAAATTAGGCACAGATTATTCAAACATCATTATTATTATTCATATTACATCTGGTTCATTCAACCTCATGATTATTTATGATTATTTAATTAATGAGTTATAAAAGTTCACTTTTCATTCAGAGTGTGGAATCCTGCAGTCTTCTCAGAGGAAAGCTTTGTTTGGAGACATGGGCTGACAGTCTCGTCTTCATGGAATGTCAACAAGCACTGCAGAATCTTCTGGGCTTTAGAAGACAGAACAGAAAATCCCCCTAGATAGTGGACTTGTTCCTGTAGATGATGTAGGTCAATATATAGATGAAAATGGACCCTTTATGGACGTTACATCATGGTCCCTCATATCCATTTAAAACTATTTGGTTTAGTTTTTGTAACAATAATGCTAGAAATAAAGCTTCAGCAATAGTTTTTCAATTTTTATTCCAATTTCTGGAAATCATCTCAAGACCCCCTGCATAATTCTTGGCGATCCACAGCGAGGTCCTGATCCCAACTTTGGGAAGCGCTGTCGCTGATGTTTCCTGAATTTTTCTCGCTTGGAATCTTAAACAAGTGTTGTTATTTTTGCCACAGTCACAAAAATCACACAAGAGGGTCCATGTTTAAAAAAAAAAAAAGGTGATTCTTCATTTTAATTTCTTTAAAAGTGTCTTGTTTACATTTTAGGTACCCAAACAGAAGATGCAGAGGACTCCTTCAGCCAAACCGATGTCATTACCCTGACTGACACTGAGGAGACACCGGCTGTTAGAACACCTAAAGCTGAGCTCTCCCATCGGTCTCTGGTTCTCAGAAGAGGTCTGGCTCTGGCTGTCATGCTGTTCATATTGGCCACTGGAATTGTTATAAATGTTCTGATTACTTACTTGGTCACATGACAGCAAAGTCCATTAAAGTCAGAGAGTTGGTTCTTTTGCTACCAGTACTGAACATAAAATGGATGTTCACACTGCAGGATAAGCAAGACCCAAATAAGGGGCACATTGAAAAGAGCAGGAGCAGAAATTTATTTGGATTTTTTAAAATTTAATTCTTCCAGTGTGCAGTTGCACGGCTACAAAATGTCAACATTAGCTTCAACTCACTCTGACTCTTTACTCGGGACCAACTGAGTGGAGAAAATTGAATCAGGACTATATGTCACATTGATCCAGTCGCGGGTATAGTTGCTCTCTGCAGACTGAATCTCTGGTAGAGGGACGAGGAAGAGCACGGCTGCTCCAACGGCGAGGAGAGCAACGGCTGCAAACACCGTGAGTCCGCGCCTGATGATCAGCTGTGTGATGGAGAGACGGTTGTCCTTAAGCTGCCGGACCACATGTCCCCCTTCCCTCTCAGGGTTCCCATCATGGGCTTCTGTACTGACAGACACGTAGCCGTCCACTGGCTGTGAAAGCAGCACATAACTGTTTAGATCAAAGAGCAGAATGTTGGTTTATCGACTAAAGAATAAACCTTTTCCTGTCTACTTACTTTTTCACCGTGTGTTGACCGATCTGGGGTTCCCTCGGAATCCAGAGTGTTTAGTGATTTCTGTGCTCGTTTTACAGCCTGAATGAAAGCAGACAACATGCTGATGAAGGCTCTGAGTCATTCAGATCATGGTAATCCTAGTAGGGATGAAGGTAACTGGAGTTATTTGGTTCCTTGAAGTATTTCACATCTCTTCCAAGGAACTTGGTCAATAATTTAGTGATCTTCTGCAGCGGAACTTGCTCAAATTACATTTAATCACCCCCCACCCACATGCTGAGGGGTCTTTGACCTTGTTAGGCCCTATAGCTTTGTATTTTGAGGTGTATGGTAAATGGCCTGTATTTGTATAGCACCTTCTTAAGGTTCTACAACCCCCCCAAGGCACTTCACAACACAGTCATCCATCCAATCACACACACATGGTGATGATGAGCTACGAAGTAGCCACGGCTGCCAGGTTTTTGACAAATATTAGGGATGTGAATCTTAGAGCAACTCACGATTTGATTCGATTCCGATTCTAGGGGTGCCGATTCGATTCAGAATCGATTCTCCATTTAAATCGATTCACGATCAGTATTAACAAAGAGTGTCAGCTCCAGGATTAACTACTTTGTTGTACTGATTAGTTAAAGCTATGGGACATTTTTATCTGACTTTAAACTGGTCATGCTCCAAAAATACAAATTTACAATTTAAAATAAAGTGATTCTAAAACTGTAAACAGAAGCAATCTTTTGACCAAAAGGCAACATTTATTTTTGCTTACCTTGTAAAATATAACAAATCTGTAGTTACCTAACAGTAGCTTTGAAAGTAATACGGTCAAATACTTTTCAAGTATGTGTAGAAACAAGTTACATGAGTAATCCTGAGTACTCATTTATCAACTTACAAAATAAATATGAGAATATCTCAAATCTCTGAATATGGAAAAAAATACATTCAAGTGCCCTCTTATCAGCAGATTCAAACATAAATCATCTCAATTTATGAGACCACAAAAGTAAACGGAGTACTGACTCTCCTAACAAAGATCAAAAAAGTGCATCTCAAACCTGTAACATGACAAACATTTAAGTTCTTGGAATCGATTCTGAACCTTTGTGAATCGATTCAGAATCTTTATAAATAAGAATCCCGATTCAGACTTGAATCGATTTTTTTCAGCACCTCTAACAAATGTGCACCGACATAGCCATATTCTGTCACATCTTCACTGGCTCCCTGTCATTTTCAGAGTACAATTTAAGTTATTGACTTTTGCATTTAAAGCACTCAACGACCTGGCACCTCCCTATCTCTCTGACCTGCTCACTCCCTATGTACCCACGCGCACATTGAGGTCGGCTGACCTCCTGCTGCTTTGCATGACCCGGATGCGATAGAAATCGCGGGGTGAACGAGCATTTGTGCATGCTGCCCCAAAGCTGTGGAACTCGTTGACCATTGGAGTTCGGCAGGCTCCGTCACTGGCGGTTTTTAAATCTCGTTAAAGACCCACTTTTACAATTTGGCTTTTAGACATTGACTCGTTTCAGTGTTTTACTGCGTTATTGTTTTAATGTGTTCTTAGTATTCTTCATGTTTTATCTGCTCTTGATTGGTATTTTTATCTTCTGTTTTAGTTCCTTAGCTTGGTTGTGTTTTGTTTTAGCCTGTGCAGCACTTTGGGCAGCTCCCATGCGGCGTTTTAAACGTGCTATATAAATAAACTATGGCATGGTATGGGGACCTGGAGAGCACTGATGGAAATGGGACTGTTGAAGGCTGGCGCAACCGGTTCCTCTGACCACCACCAGCAGGTATGCTGGGTTATGTGTCTTGCCCAAGGACACAACAGTAGCATTCTCTGGTGGGAGCCAGGATCGAACCTACAGCCTTCCTGTTACAGGACAACCCATGCTACCTCCTGATTTACTGCTGCCACATTTGGATCAGAAGCATGAAGGTGTGAATTACACTGAAACTTTCTGGGGATTAGGTTCTGAGCTGCACTGTAAGCGTTAGACACGTGAAATCAAAAACCTCATCCTCTGTTTGATGTAGCCTTTTCACACTTGATACAGATGTCTTCCTTTTCGCCTCATTCACACTGAGTTCCGAGCAGATGCGGTGCGTTTCCGTATGAGTTCAGGATTGACTGCCCTTTACACTGACCGCAGATCATGTGCTGATTGTCTCCAGAATTTTGCTTCAGCGAGAGGACCAAATGATTAGAAATTTGACCCAATAGATTTAAAGATATACCTGTAAACATAAATGTGAACTGTCATACACTGTCAACTCATGTCTGCCACTGATAATAAAATAAAACAGAGGAAAAAAATGCTACACAGGTTTAATATTTGGAATGTAACAGCTGCACCTTGCTGGTACACATCTCACTTCCTGTCTGGCTCATGGGATTTATTTTTTTTACTTCATAGCAATCCAGAGAAAAGACAATGCAGAAACTTTACTGAGGTCTGCATCCAGATTTGCAATGCACTGGGTTTGATTTGGACTCAGTGGGCTTTATGGAAGCCGTATTTGGCTTAAATGAGACTTAACTCCTTTCTCAAACCAGTGGCACACCCAAGGTGAGTCGAAGGGGGGCCATGGCCACACCTGGAAATTTCTTGGCCACCCCACTGGCCCCCAAGGTAAGACTACCCCCGTTGATAAATTGCATTTACTGTATGTTCACACAAATCATACATTCATATGTTTTAATCATATGCATATTTGTTTGTCGCATGGTTATTTGTTTATTTTATTGTTACATGATTACATAACAATAACATTTGATCCAGTGACTGAAATAACTGCAAATTTTGTATTTTTTTCTGAAATGTTTGTGTTTCTCAATTTTGAGTTAAATGTGTTGATTTCATAGTTTTTTTTTAAATGAAAATTCATGAAGGAGCAATACACAGCTACAAGTTAAACTCTCACAGAATTACAACGGGGACCAATATGTGGTGCCACCCCAAAATTATCAAGGGCCCCCATGAAATTTTTCTGGGATCGTCTCTGTATAAACTAACAACATTGTCATCCTCAAAGGTGTTCTTGTCCTTGAGGTGCGAGTGGACTTCTGAGTGTCAACCTAAAGCACTCTACGCTCTAAACCTAATAAGGCAGCCTCTGTGTAATACACACCTGGGTGATTCAAATGTCGTTTCATTTTGTTAAGCAACAACAGCTCACTACAATATTTATGGTCCACTCTCCACATTTCCAGTTAGAATTGACAAAGTTTCTCGGATGAGATGTGAAACGTCTTCAAAAGAAGTCCAGTTGCCTTTATTCAAACCTACTGAGAAAGCAGATGACAAAAACTTTAAATTAGATCCTGTGTGAATCATCACTGCAGTCCAACTCTACAGAAAGTTCTTACAATGCAGTTAATGGCTACTCCATGAATTTGCAATCTTTACAATAATCAGAGCCATTTCTGCCACTAAATAAAATTTCACTTGGAGCTTCAAAAAGATGACAGCAATTTAAGAATTGTTAATTTCGTCCAACTACGCACCTTCCGCTCTAACCCCAAGCCAGTTACCCTGGAGTTCCTCAGGGCTCAGTCTTAGGTCCCATTCTCTTCATAATCTACTTACTCCCACTTGGCAATATCTTTAAGAAATTTAATATTCATTTTCACTGCTACGCCGATGACACCCAGCTCTACTTCTCTACCCAACTCAACCCCCCGCTCCCTTTATCCTCCCTTCTCAGCTGCCTCACCGAAGTCAAATCCTGGTTTTCTTCTAACTTTCTACAGCTCAACAACAATAAGACTGAGATCCTCCTCATTGGCACCAAGTCCTCTCTATCTAAGACCAGTTCATTCTCACTCAGCTTTGACAACACCACACTTCTCCCCACCACCAAAACTAAGAGCTTGGGTGTTAGACAACACCTTATCCGTCATTCCTCATATTAACAACACAATAAAAACAGCTTATTTTCATCTACGCAATATCAATCGGCTCCGCCCCTCCCTCAGTCAGTACTCCACCACTATTTTGGTCCACAGCCTGGTCACCAGTCGCATCAGTTACTGTAATGCCCTCCTCTCCGGTCTCCCTCTAAAATCACTCAACAAGCTACAGTTAGTCCAAAATTCATCTGCCCGGATAATCACTAAGACCTCCACTTTTGATCACATCACCCTCTCCTGCAACAACTTCACTGGCTCCCTGTCAAATACAGAATTGACTATAAGATACTTCTTCATGCCTTTAAAGCCATCCATAATCTCCTCCACATTGTCACTCCCACTCGCTCTCTCCGATCATCATCTTCACCTTCCCTGTCTGTTCCTCGCACTCGTTTCTGTACTATGGGAGCCAGAGCTTTCAGCCACTCAGCTCCAAAACTCTAGAACACTCTACCGCCTGACCTCCGCAATATAAACTCCTTCTCAACCTTCAAGTCTCAACTCAAAACTCACATGTTCCACCTGGCTTACTCGTTGTAACTGTCCTCCTTCCATCTACTCTTCTTAGTCTATTATCCATTGTACTACTCTTACTCTACCCATGGGAATTAATTTTAGCAGTTATTTCTTGTTGTTTGTATTGCTTGCTGTTCCTTATATTTTGTCTTGTACAGTGACCTTGAGAGCTTTGAAAGGCGCTTGAAATAAAATTATTATTATTATTATTATTATTATTATTATTATTATTATTATTATTAATTGCCTTTAAAAAAGAGGGAACTCTAATAGCATGTTTACACTTATCTACATTTGCAACAAGCCTATATACTGCTGAATTAAAAATGAATAACTGTCCCACTTTAAAGAGGTAATGCAGATTACTTGAATCCTATTCAACCATCTGACTGAAATTCTAAGAAAACAGAAACTTCATAGTTTATTTATTTATTTATTTTAGTAGTTTGCGTTATTTTATCTGTGCAAATCTGAACATTTTGTCCCTTCATCATTTCACTTAAAGAGCAAGTCACCCCCAAATCAACTATTTTTTTCTGATAAACTATATAAATGCGTGTCTAATCGTGCTGCAGAAACGTGTAGTCAATAGTTTTGCACTTTAGTGCATTTTAGTTCAAATTTAAATTTTCTGCCTGAAACTGTCAGTGTTGTGCCGTTGTCAGGTAAAAACTATTCACTGCATTTGAATTTAAATCTGCCACCGCTATTGGCTAAGAGGTATGCTATGATGTAAACTGGTACATTATGATGTCACAACGTCGTGAGTGTGTGTATTTGTTAGTGGCTCCACCCTCTCGGTCTGCTAGGCAGCAGCATTTGTTGCATTTTTCAAACATGAAGTGGGATTGAAGTACGCTTCTTGTAGGGGGTGACTTGCTCTTTAAAGAGCATGTGTTTCATTTTGCAAATATGAGGCACCCTGGTCCTCAGGGCACACTGGACTGCATGTTTTCCATGTTGCCCTTTTAAACACCAGTGTTTCCCTGCTGCCACACACCTGACTTAGCTGAATGAGTAATTAACAGGCATCTGCAGCCCTTGATGTCCTTCTGGGGAGCCAATATAAATCAGCTGTGCTGAAGCAGAGACATGGAAAACCTGCAGAACACCTTTCCCTCCTCTAGGTGGTGCCTTGCCCTGGATTTCTGCTTTTAATTCTATTGATTTTATGAAAGGGCCACTGGAGAAGGACCGAGGAGCCACGTGTGACCCCAGATCCCGAGCTGTATACCTCCTCTGTGACTTTTTCCCAGTTCAGCCTGAAGATTACAACGATGTAGAAGGAGGACTGCAAAACGACACAAACCAGCAGTCCCACCCAGAAACCTGTGCAGATATTAACAACTGTGAGTGCAAACTTCACTTAAAAAGTAATTGAAGGTCATTTCAAATAAAATAATTAGTTCTTAAGCACCTAAAACTCTCAGCTTTGCTGCAAACATTAGAGTCACGCTCAGTGTGAGCCCAACGCAGTAGTAACCAATGAAGTTAGCCACAGCTGGGATCTTCTGTTTTCCTGTTCCCAGAAAGATGCCTGTACACACACACTGGAGTGTAAAAACACACATCTGTCATTAGAAAAGGTACACTTTCTTTCAGCCACAAGGTGCTTCCCAAATATATTAACAGCTTCAAACTCTATTTCTTCACAACTTTGGAAACGAGACTCACCACAAGGCCGTCAAAGAACTGAAGGAAACAATAAGCATTCATCAGCTGTGAGACCAGACCAATGATCCTTCTGAAAACAGGGTTTTTGCATGAATGTAAATTGTTTTATTAAAATATTATTTTCTATAACTCAAATGCAGCTGTTGAACTCACTCGTCAGAGGTAAAGATGAGGCCAATCACTGTTTTCGAGGAACCAAGCACGAGACCTTCAGCAACCGCAAATGTAGCTGAAAACCAGAGGTGGGAAATGTGGTAAATAATAGCGATGCTGCAAATAATAAAATGTTAAATATATATCAGACTGACCTGCAAGACCGAGTGAAACCTTGCTGGTTAGAATCGCCCTGCTGCTGTCTCCAGCACCGAGAGCGTTCCCAACTCGAGCACACGCTGCAGCTTGAATACCAAGTGGAAACTAAGGAATCAGAATAATTGAATATAACATGAAAAGTACAGAGTATATATGTATATATGCCATAACTTAGTACCATGTAGGTGATATAAGCCACCATGATCACTGCATGCTGGGCTGCAAGCTCATCTTCACTCAGCATCCCTGATCAGAACAGACGAGCAGTCACAACTCTGTCTGTTATTAATACATAAAGATAGACGAAGAGTATCTGATCTACCTGCAAAAAACCCCCCAAACTCATAAACCCACCACTCAAAGCACTTCATTAATGCGCTGGGAAGAGCCAGCTTCATGTAGGAGCCCCACTCCTGCAGTGATTCCACAGACCAGCCTGCAGGGGGAGCCAGAGACCCGTTTGAAAAAAGAGCTCATTCGTTTTTGAGGTCATCGCATCATCAAACTGTCTCACTCTCACCTCCCCATGTTTTCACATGAAGCTTCTTCCAGCGAATGTAGGCAAACAGAAAAACACAAATGTAAATCTGAGACAGAGTGTTTGCTGCTGCAGATCCACTGAAAAGCACAAGAAGTACTTCAGTTCAGATCTAAAGGGGTCTTTTAAGATATATGAGCATGCATATACCCAACACCCAGGTCCAGCCAGTAAATTAAAATGTAGTTTGTTGCTCCACTTGCAAGATTTGCCAAAGCAGCAGCATACAACTGAGGCAGGATGATACCCTGGATGTCAGAATATGAAAAGGTGTCATCAGGATGGAAGAAATGCAATTAAAGCATGAAAAATATTTAATGTTTGTGTTTAACGAAACAAGATCAAAGTAAAGGTTCTTTCATCTAACTGAAGGTGCAAATTCACCTGATTCTGCAGGTAAGACACCTGAAGAGAATGTAGAAACATGGCCTGCAACAATATCATTATAAGATGTAAATAACTGAACAGAAAAGAATATTAACTGAAACAAAAACTTGGATTAATGCTAAAATAAAAGTCTGATTAAATGCGGGACTTACTGGTACTGCAGGCAGAAAGGCTGTAATATAGAGCTGGGCAATTCTAAAAAACAAACAAGGGTGTTTGCAAAATTTAAATAACATTTTAAGACATTTTAAATAATTATGATTACGTATATGAAGTAGAAGCAGTTGTTTTTTTAATAGACGATGTTTAGACAATTATGGATACATTTTTACTTTCCTGTAAAATAATAATATTAAAGCTCTCATTCATTCATTAATTTTTTTCCCAATAAATCTGCTGTGGTCTCCTGTATGAATGAACGCCTTGTTGTTCTTTGTGGGAAAAACGTTCTCATTTCAGGAAGTGCAAGGTGGCTAGAGGAGAAGGCAGCAGAAACATCAGGATTAGGACACTTTCACGTTATTATTCGTGATGAGATTCAGTTTATTTGAAAGGTTGATGTAAATAACTTGAGCCTAAAGAAGTTCTGCCATGTGGTGGAGTTGCTAACGCTAACGGTTAGCCTCTACTAGCCGAGACACATGGGCAGCGGCAGGTGATAGCTTGGAGTTGCTAAAGCTACGACTAAGAAAAACCCGTGCTTTCCAAAGGGGCCAACGAACACGGGAGGGACGTCGCCCCCCGGCAGTCCGCACCAACGGAGTACAGCAACCCCTAAACTCAAACCGCTGCTCCTGCTGAGTCATGCTCTGCTCTCTCCTGAACAAGCCAAAATGATTGAGTCCATGAATGTCAATTTACAGTGCGACGTCAACCTATACGGCTTTTTCCGACCCGAGCGCTTCCTCTTCTATATTTTTTCTTTTTGGCGGCTAATGCAGCAGATGGGGTAGAAGACGATTTTTATGTTCAGCCTGCATGTGAAACTCAGAGTGACGGTTTGTATTTCAAAAATAAGTAATATATGGTTTCACTTTATTGATCCCCTTTGAGAAATGATTTCTCTGCATTTGAATCATCCCTAAGGAGCAGTGGGCTGCCATTTTTATCGCGTCCAGGGTGCAACATTTGGCTTAAGAAACTCACTCGACAATACAAGTGGCTTGGCAGGCTCATGCTCTGATCAGTGGAAAACGGATCTTCCCCAGTGAGCCGCAGCCACCCACATGTGAAAATAAGCGAAATGTGTTAACCATTAAAGTTATAGTACCTGGAGACCTCAGGCTCCTGGCCTAGACATAACAGGATGGACTGAGCATTGATGAGGAGCCCCCAACAAGGTAAACAGAACAACATGAGGATGATGATGCTTCGCTGAAGAATCACCCCCACCTGCCGCAGGTTCTTGCCCCCAAACGTCTGCCAAACAGAAAAAAGATTTTAAGCACAATAACTTTTTTTCCCCTAAATAAGAAAGTCCATTTTGTACAAGTAAAAGCAAACTTCCAGACCTGAGAAACAAGAGTGTCACATGCCAACCCCAGGCCGTATCCTGTCGCTACCGTGGTAACGTTAATTGTCTGGAATTGAAAACACAAAAATCTTTGACTTGATTTTAACAACTAGAATAAATGATGATAAATCCTCCTCCAGTAATTGTGCCTGGACCATCTTGGTGAGCTGGGTAATGCATCGCCTCCTCTGAAATAACACTTCCATTTGTTTTCCTCCACGACTGCGTGAGTGAGCAGAAGTCAGGGCTGTCCACTTACAGCTGAAGCTAATCCATAGCCGGCCATCACGGCATTTCCCAGACGCCCACAGAACATTGTCACCACAAATGGGAGCAGATAATTGAGAATTCGAGACAGCAGCTGCAGAGACAAACATCAAGAAAGCAGGTCAAATGGCTACCGGCTGGCAGGTGATATTTCAGCAAACAAGCTTCGGTTAATTGTCTTTGTCACTTGCTTTGACAAACGACTTGAGACTCTTCCATTAGTTTAGCAGGCTGCAGATACAGCTCAGCTCAGCTTCGAAAACCTGCCAAACAATCTTTTAAGTCTATTGATTTCTGCTGGCAAGTCTTCAACCTTTTAAACTTTTCTCTGGCAAAGAACGATTCATCAATCTTCCCCTGAACGCAGCAGCTTGGGAAATTACAATCTCAAGTCAGTGCCAGTCTTTACCAGAGGCCCTGTCATCCTCAGGATGTGGTACAGTTCCTCTCTGTGGGCCACAGGAACCCTGTGGTGCACCCAGCTGCAGAAAAAAAGTTTGTTGCTGGTCACCTCCATGTCCAAAGCGCCCGTCCATCCACCGATTTGTCTCACCCGACTCTGACATGCTGATCGTTGTTGTTCTCTGGATGCTGCAGAGGATGGAAGCCTTGCTGTGGCCACGGCTTCCCTGGAAATGAGCCAGGCCCAGCTGAAACAACAGAGATTGTAAAAACAAAGACAAGAGAACACAACAAAGACAGAAATGCAGGACTTGAAAGAGAACATGTTCTGTTCTGGGTGATGAAACATGCAAAAGACAATGAACCAGCTCTATTTCTGGTCAGTGGAGGAAATTTTCCGACAATAATATGATTTCTATCTCTTCAAAGCTCTCCTGAAACATTTACAGAATGGCTTAGCATCATGTGGCCAGCGTCAAAGACAATAAGAGTTTAACCCTTTCAAGCCTCCACATTTAGAAAAGTCAAATGCAGAAACACAAGCTCATCGTTCAGGGTTATAATACAAAAGTATTTTTGACATTGAACAAAAACTTTGTTTTTGCTTTTCTTTCTTTGGTAAAAAATACAACGTTGATGTTTTAGCCCCACAAATAACTCAAGCCTGAATGTGTGCTGCCATGTTGAGGAGTTGCTAATGCTAATGGTTAGCTTTGACAAGCTGAGACATGCTCTGCTCTCTCCTGGCTGTGAAAATCAACAACAGCCTTCTGCGGTCACAAACCAAAGTGGGTGAGTTCATAAATGCTAATTTTACAATGTGATGTAGATCTGTGTGGCTGTATTTTATTTTCTGCAGCTGAGGCAGGAATTAGGGGTAGAAAAACCTTTTCAAAATTCTTAGTCTTTTTTTCCTGGTTAGATAAAGGTTAAAAAATGTTCAGCATTCATGTGAAACTCAGAGTGACCAATCATATTTCAAAAAGAACACGTGTCATGCGTTTTTTTGTGGTCCTCATTTTTAAGCCCCACCCATGACCCGAAACAAGCAGGAAGGAAAAGTATTACATACCAAATTATTTAATTCTACTCTTTTATTTTGTGAAATTAAAGAACATATTCACATTAAATCACAATCTGACTAATTGTCAACCAAGCTGATTGTCTACATGTAGAGAGGGCCTCCATGATGTGTTTTCATTCTGTTTCCTGTACATTTGGTGTTTCATGAGAATGTTGACTCTTTTATTGGACGGTGGACAAAAGTTGATGAGGAGCAAAGGTTGTATTGATCCAGCCCAGGGTTAAGTTGGCTTTTGCAGAGTCGACCTCTGGCAAAGGGACGAGGAGGTGGACTGCTGCTCCGACAGCGAGAAGAACAAGAGCTGCAAACAAGATGAGTCCTCGTCCGATGATCAGCTGCGTGGTGGAGAGACGGGAGGGCTTCTGCTGCTGAACCGCACGTCTGTCTTTTGTCTCACTGTCTTCATCATGCTGCTCAGTCTTCACAGACATGTAGCCTTCCACCGTCTAAAGAAAAATATATTATTTTTGTGGATTTAGATTCCTAAACAATCTAGAGAAAATATGTTTGAAGGATTTGATAGGCTACTTACATTTCCATTGCTTGATGCCATTCGATTTGTGATGCTACCCTCAGTGTCTAACGAGACATCTGTCCCTAAAAGTGTCTTATTAGTTCTTTTCTTGGCGCGTTTCACAGCCTGGGATTCAAACAAAACAAAACAACTGATGTTTTCCCACAGAACAAAGAGACACAACAAAAATATCCTAATTTGTCTCGGCAACGTGATGCTTAGAAGAGGTCCTTCACTCATATTTTAATACATTTGCATTTGTCTCTAGCAGAAATGAATGCCTTGGACGTTGTACTTTAAGGGAAAAAGCTCAGTTGTGCTTGTTTTAGCACAAGACATTCAGCCATGGGAGAAAGTAGCTTTACACGACAGGGTTTGAAATCTTATTTTGCTGATATTTGGACATCTCGCCTCTATTTGGCAACAGCAACGTTACACTACCTCTGACTCTATTTCCTCTGCAATTTCAATGTTTTATCTCCACAAATAACGCTTGAAGGAGTTCTGCTGTGTGGTGGATTTGCCAATGCTAATGGTTAGCTTCTACTAGTCGAGACATTCTCTGCTGTTTCCCGGACCAACAATCAGCCTTCCCCGTCGTGAGTCAAGATGGGTGAGTCCATGAATGTCGAGTGACAGTGTGACGTTGATCTGTCAGGCTTTTCTAACTCTCGAGTCTCACCGTCTATTTTCTATCAGAAGCTAATGCAGTAGACAGGTGTAGGAGACTATTTTCATGTTTAGCCTGCATGTTAAGCTCAGTGACTAATCATTTTCAAATATAATAAGAAAAAATGATTAAGTGAAGGACCGCTTTAAACATAAATCAACAAACACAAGCATGATGCAGATTTTCGAACTGGCCACTAGAATACCTCCTCTGTCATTTTAACCCAGTTCAGCCTGAAGATAACAATAATGTAGAAGGTGGATTGCAAAACGACACAAACAAGCAGCCCGAGCCAAAAGCCTACAGAGAAAAGACAAATGAATCTGTTAAAAAAGCACAGCAGGCCTTGTTTGTGACAACATTTACTTCCTGCTCAAAGACCTATTTGTCCTAGAAAAACTGAAAAATGCTTCCTTCACATAGTCACCTAAAATCCTCATTTTTGCGACAAATATCAAAGTCACACTCAGCGTGAGCCCAATGCAGTAGTATCCAATTAAATTGGCCACAGCTGGTATCTTCTGTTTGCCTGTTCCTAGGAAGATGCCTGTGCACACACACTAAGACGGAGGAGAAACACATATTCATCTTTTGGCGTCATACAGCAAATGTTTTTGTTGTGCACACAGAACAAGCTGGGCTCACCACAAGACCATCAAAGAGCTGAAGGAAACAGTAAGCGTTCATCAGGTCTGACACGATTCTTGCAATATTCCTGCAGAAACAAAAGGTTTGCATCTGCTTTTGTGGTATTATTCAACCCTGCACTTTTTCTGAGTCTTTATTTGGGTTTTGTGCCAGAAGACACACTTTCTCTGCATGTTTAATATTTACCTCTGTGCATGCAATGACTATAAACAATTGAAAAGCCTTTGAGGCATCACAAATGAGTGTTACTGATACTGAACACGTGAATCGGACTCACTCATCGGAGGTGAAGATGTAACCAATCGTTGTTTTAGTGGAACCAAGCACAACGCCCTCAACAACTGCAAAGGAGGCTGAAAAGAGCAAAGAGAGAGGTGATGAATTTGTCAAATAATAACATATTTTTAAAGGATATGCTCAACGTTTTATTTGGTTTGTTGTGAAAAATAAAAGAATTGAGACTTCTTTTTATTTTTGTTAAGCTCAAGAACTTGCAGTCCTTTAGTAGTGGCGTTAAAACTGAGGCCCACGGACCCATTTGTGGCCCTCAAAGTAATCTGTGCAGTCTTCATTGAATGAAATGTAGACTTTGACGGACTGCTGATGCAGACAGGCACTTTTCAAATATTCATGTTATGGATTTTACTCATTTGAAGTACATTACAATATTTTCGTCTTGTATTAAACATGTTTTAATTAGTTTCCTGGTAAACCATAAACCATCAACAACTTTTCATAAAATTTGACTTTTGAGCATCCTTCTTTAAACAGAAACATTAATTAGAAAAAGTGACCCAGATTCCATTCTTGCTGTAAATAATGGACTCAAATTTATATTAAAGGGAACTTTTGACTACTTTTATCAATTTATAATAGTTCTATGGTCGATACCAAACACGTTTTTGAAATCCGTTGCATAAAAACCATCTCACATAAAGTAATTTCAGCAGATTCATTCTTGGCATTGTCAGTACCTTCCAGAATGAGCTGTTTCGGGGCTTTGTCACTTTAAGAGAAGAAGCTGGAGCTGGCCACACCCACTCATCCCCCACTCAGGCTGTCATTAACTGAGAAGCTCCAATTTGTGGGAGTGACTTGGAGTAGACCCGCTGCTCCTCCACATCAGGAAGAGCCAGTTGAAGTGGCTCGGGCATCTGATTAGGATGCCTCCTGGTGAGGTTTTCCAGGTACGTCCAACCAGGAGGAGGCCTAAAGGGAGACCCAGGACACATTGGAGGGACTATGTCTCTCACCTGGCCAGGTCACGCCTTGGGATCGGAAGAGCTTGGAAGAGGCTGGGGAAAGGGAAGTCTGGCCCCCGCGACCTGACTCTGGATAAGCGGCTGAAAATGGATGGATCTACAAACCCCTTTTCACTCCTGTCTCAAAACATCTATCTTCTCTTTCCAAATATTAACATTACCCTCTTCAAAACAGTGTCCCTTTGGTGGGAGTGGACTCTAGAGTCTGGATCTAGCTCTCCTGTTCCACCCATCAAACACAACTCCACCTAAACGGTTCCTAACTAACCTGCAAGGGAAAGTGACATCTTGCTGGTGAGAAGCGCCCGGGCGGTGTCTCCTGCACCGAGCGCGTTCCCAACTCGAGCACAAGCTGCAGCTTGAATCCCAAGAGGAAACTGCAGATTGGAAAATTATCAACTTTTTAACAACTTCAATCGGAGACTTTCAGCTGAATGAAGAATGTTTTCACAGTTTTGACACGCAAAATACCATGTAAGTGATGAAAGCCACCATTATCACAGCATGCTGGGCCGCAAGCTCGTCCTCACTCAGCATTCCTGATTATAACAGACAAAATCGAACGTAAAGGAAGCTAAAATTGGTAGATTGGTTTGTATTATTTTTGAAGAGTAAAGCAAAACTGAAAATACCTGCAAAGAATCCCCCAAACTCATAAACCCACCACTCGAAACAAGTCATTAATGTACTGGGAACTGCCAGCTTCATGTAGGAGCCCCACTCCTGCAGCGATTCAACTGACCAGCCTGCAGGAGGAGCAAGTCACACATGTATACAGAATAAATAACACGAAGGCCAAATGGTCTTCAGAGTGAGAGATGCAAGACAAAAGCTGATTAAATCCATCACCTCCCCATGTTGTCGAATGAAGCTTCTTCCACCAAATGTACGCAAAAACAAACACACAGATGTAAATCTGAGAGAGAGTGTTTGCTGCGGCAGACCCACTGAAATCAAATCATAGACGGGATGAAAGCAACAAACCTTTGTACTGAGATTTGATCACGTTCTGCTGATTTAAATACCCAACACCGAGATCCAGCCAGTACAGGAAGGCGTAATTCGTCACCACATTAGCTACGTTCGCCAAAGCAGCGGCATACATTTGTGGTAAGATTATTCCCTGAGAACACAAACTCATTCGTATGAGTGCAATTAAAGTAATTTAAGCTAGACTTGTTTTACTCCCTGCCTCAAGAGAACAGAATACAATTAGCTCACCTGGTTCTGCAGATAAGACACCTGGAGATTATACAGAAACATCGCCTAAAAGACAAATGTTGTTTATATGTTGTTTATAAAAACGGTTCAAAATTTTACAAGAAAAAGAAAACTCACTGGTACAGCAGGAAGGAAGGCTGTGATGTACAGCTGGGCTATTCTAAAAATGAAAGAACATTGTTCAAGAAAGGTTTAAAAGTGAAAATCCCTGTTCTGCAACGCCCAGCATTTTGCACTCAATGAAAATTGCTTTAAATTGCAGTCTTGAATGATTTATGAAGGGTTGAGACTGACTTTAATCCTGAGATGTTGTGTTCTGCATCAATACAAGTTTGTTTGATTTCTTTTGGTTACCTGGCAACCTCAGGGTCCTGACCCAGACACAACAAGATGAGCTGAGCATTAATGAGGAGTCCCCAGCAAGGCAAACAGAACAACATGAGGATGATGATGCTCCGCTGCAGAATCACGCCCACCCGCAGCAGGTTCTTACCACCAAACGTCTGCAGAAACCAGAAACACGCAGAGTTAATCATTCAGTGCAAGTACAGTAACGAATAGTTGAGGGATAAAAGTGAGTTAAAGTGAAAAACATTGACAGAATTCAGAGAACTATGAAACGTCCAAACCTGAGACACCAAAGTATCACAAGCCAGACCCAGACCGCAACCCGTCGCTGTGGTGGTGATGTTAATGGCCTGAAAGGAATTCAATACACACTTCAATAGACACATAAACTCCCAATTAAATGGAATAAACAGTTCTGTGACTCATGAAAGTGTCTATATATTGATTGAAAAGTATTTTGTAACACTAGACTGGCAAGTTAATGGATGGAATGTTTAATTCCTTTTCTCCTGTGATGAAATTACTCACGATTCTCCTAAAGTGTTTAAAATATTTAGACAACAAGCTCTTACAGCAGACGCCAATCCGTAGCCGGCCATCACCTCATTTCCCAGGCGCCCACAGAAAATTGTAACCACAAATGGCAGCAGGTAATGGAGGATTCTGCAGAGCAGCTGAAAACAGGAACGTTTCTATTTATCCTTCTGCATTTAGTTTGAATGAGTTTTGTATGTGCACCTCGGTTGGAGCACACAATATTATTTTATGCATTTATCATAAAACTGAAATAGAAAGATGTTGACTCAGTCCATACCAGCGGTCCGGTCATCCTCAGGATGTGGTAAAGTTCATCTCTGAAAGTGGTGGGGATCTGGTCGCGTACCCACCGGCAGCAAAACAACTTGTTGCTGGACCCGTCCATGCCTGCAGCAGCAGATGCTGAAGCAGGTCTCTGATGTCGTGCAAAGACAGTTTTCTCTGTTTCACATCTTAAAAGGTTACTAATTAGTTGAAATGAGGTCAGTTTAACTCATCGCTTTCAGGTTTAAAGGACAAAAAAAGCACCTTTTGTAACATAGTATAGAGCAGGGTAATGGTCCGAGGACCACTCAACAAAATGAGTGTGTCAAATTGATGTTCCAGTCATGGTGTTTACATTTAAATTTGGAATTTAAAATTATATATATATATATATATATATATATATATATATATATATATATATATATATTTTAAATTTCACTGCAGCAGAGGCGGTTCTAAGGGAGTCCAAGGTGGTCTAGTTCCACCCTGGCATCAAGCTTACATCCCTCTATAGACCTCTGCTCAGGGCGGAGCCTAACCAGGGCTTCCACTGGATATGGAGTTCGTAAAGTAATAGACGAGTTTTACCTGCAAGCTAAGCAGTACATCTCTTCTCACGTTGAGAGATTCAGATGTGAAACAGCAGCAAAAATGGTCCACGAATTCACCAGAATTATAAGACCACACCTGATTTTGGCAGTTCACGTGATAACAAGCTAGGAGAAAGACCGCAACATGGATCCTAAGAGTTATTTTTTGTTCTTTTTCCCACGACCTCAAAGTCGTCACAGGTAATTACTTTTTTCTTTTTACTGGCCAAGCAACTGTAAATCTCTATGACACTTGTATTTTAAACGTTTCTGGATGTTTTACATCGCTCATGTGTTTGACTTCCTGTCTGGCCAGCTCTGAACTGCTGAGCTCGAAACATTCTGGATGCATAGTGCTTAAAAAATAGACGTGAAGCGATGCATCAGGATGCTTCTGGGATGCGCCCAAAAACGCGATGCTTTGTGGCTGATGGAAACAAACTAATCTACTGTATGTAACGTCCAGAAAAGGGCAATTTTGACCTTTATATTGACCTACATGGTGACCGGTCATCTACAGAACTAATTCCACTATCTAGGTGGATTTTCTATTCTGTCTTCTAACACCCAGAAGATTCTGCAGTGCTTGTTGACAGTCCACAAAGACAAGATTGTCAAACTTATCTCAGACTGCTGGATTCCACACCCTGAATGAAAAGTGAACTTTTACAACTCATAAATGAGCGCGCTTTTTCAGTTTGTGCACCGAAGTTCTGGAACCACTTGCCCAACCCGATCAGACTCTCTTCCTCTCTTTCCCTTTTTAAGTCTCGTTTAAAAACTCACTTTTACTCTCTGGCTTTTAATTCAGCCTAATTTATTCTCTTTTTCCCTTTCTTTTGTATCTGAATCACTCGATTTTAATGGATTTAGTTTTTGTTATGTTTAATTGTTTTTATATGTGTTTTTGTTCAAAACTTGTCATGGTCTGCGTCCTGCGTCTCCCTCATGTGTCTCCTTGTGTTCTCCATCCCTCTCAAGGTTTCCCTCATGTGTCTCCTTGTGTTCCTCATGTGTCTCCTTGTCTGCATCCCTCCTCAGGTGCCTCCTTGTGGTCCCCAGCCCCTTCCAGGTTTCCCTCCAGGTTTCCATCATGTTTCCCCAAGTCTTCTGTGCCCCCTTGTGTCCCCAGCTCTCTCCCGGTTTCCCTCAGGTCTGTCCTAGTCACCCCTCTGTAGTTTTTTATAGGTTCAGCTTTTCATTTTATTAGACTCCTTTTGTGTGCGTTTTCCTTCCCCACTTGTTAATTTGTCTCCCTCACTCCCCAGGTCATTAGTTATTTATCTTTGGTTCTCCTGTGCCCTTAGTCTTTCAGGTTTATTTATTTAGAGATTATTTAAAGATTCATAGGTTAATGAGCATCCCCTCTGCTTGGTTTTCCCTTCCCATTTATTTAATTAATCTCAGTCTCTCCTCACGCACCTGCTCCTTGTTCTCCCAATCACCCAGCCCCTGTGTATAAAACCCTGTCTGCGTCTCAGTATGTTGTTGGTCCATTGTTTGTCAGCGCTGTCTCGTCCCCTCTCTTGGTCTCTAGGAGTTTTGGAACTCTTTGTCTCGTGTGTTTTGGATATCTCCAGGTCAGCTCTTTAAGTGAGCTCTTTGTTCTCTAGGTCTCTTGGCTTTTCATACTTGGATTTATGGATTTTTGTTTTTGGCTTCCTGCCACTTTGGATTTACTTTGGACTATCTCTCCTGATACAGGATTTTACGCTTCCACTACTCCTGCCTTGTGTCATCCTGGGTCTGCATCTTGGGTCCTAACCTCCCCCAACTCACAGCGTAACAGCACTTTTGTCGGCTCTCATGCTGTGTTTAAATGTGTGCTATTTAAATAAACTTGCTATGGTATGGTATAAGTGAAATAATCATTTATAATCATATGGTTGAATGAACCAGATGTTATATGAAATGTCTGAGATAAGTTTGACAATCTTGTCTTTGTGGACTGTCAACAAGCACTGCAGAATCTTCTGGGTGTTAGAAGATAGAATAGAAAATTGAACTGGGTGTTTTCTGAAAATCCACCTAGATAGTGGAATTATGTCTGTAGATGACCGGTCACTATGTAAGTCAATATATAGGTCAAAATTGCCCTTTTCTGGACGTTACATGTAATAGAGGGTAATTGTTGCGTACTTAGGCGAAGATATTTTCAACGGCTTGGTTTGTCATCCACATGAAAATGAAGACGAATGGCACCAAAAAACATTCCAACCAAAGTGGAAATTTGCTAATTCCCCATTGTCAGGATTTGCTCAGGAACATAAAAAAACTGTTTTCAGTTTTGCAACATCACTACCCACAAAAAACAAAAACAAAAAACAAAACATGATTACACTCATTTGTTTTTACAAGCTCAGTTCCTGCTCTCTGGAGAAGGCCACAGGCGAAGAAGAACCATTAAGGATGGTTATTGCCTGCCACCTAGTAATTCCACATTTTACACAAAGATGCCGATGAACTAGTGCCACCTACAGGCTTGGCATGAATATGCACTTCACAAAGCACTGGAAGTTTTAGCTGAAAACGAGGTGGTGTGGACCAGAAACATGCGATGGGGGACATTTGATTTTACAAAAACTCGGCTACACGTGTACTTTGGACATCTCTGGTCTAGAACATTACCTGCATTGCAGTCACCACAAATAGTTGCCTCTGTTGGAGGAATACCAAGTAGCCACGACGTTCCCTCTCTATAGCGTTGTTGTCACAGATAATATGTGAACAGACAGAAGACGTCATGACTATTCATGTGAGACTTTTGAATTTTAATGACAACACCATCTTCTTTTGCACAAGGTGAATCATTCCAATGAATTTCCATCACTTCTGGCAGACACTTCCAATAAAGGGGTTGGGAATATAAAACATTGACGTGTCAGGTGGTTTCAGAGTCTCTCTGGAGAGTAGTGGCTCTAACCAGCCGGCTCTTTGGCAACATCATAAATGAGATACTACTCTCAATGAATGGTTATCAAGTGGGGATAAAATGTATAAATTCAAGCAGCCATCTGTGAGGGAGTGATATCATTGCACATGTGCCCCCTGTTGCACGGATGGGAAACATAATTTCACATAAAAGCTGTGCCACCTTAAAATACAGGGCTTTAATCTGTGCACACTATAAACTCATGAGATTTTCTGCAGATGTGTGCAACCTCAGACCACAGATTATAACATGTTAGTACAGAAACAAGATATTGGCTGTGTGCAATTAAAGGTTTAGGAACACTAATCATCCGTGGTTTCCATTAGAGAAAGCAGACAAGACGAATGATGTTCAATTTTATAAATTACAGAATCTTGCTTTGGCAAGTTTACATTAAACACCCAACAAAAACTGAGAACTTAAAAATTATTACTTAGCTGAATATTTCTGAAACTATGAATTAATTATTGAAGAGGATTAGCCTACATAGGAAGAGATAAGGAAGAAATAGTGTATTTCTGCATTCTGCATGTATAAATTAAGGCTTTCATTCTCAGTTTGATCGTGCAACAGCTCAAGACCCTTGGGATTTGTTCTGGCTGAATGAATCCAGCTGCTAGAATGAGACGCCATGCTAGTCATTTGTTTCTGTCACTTGTTATTTTCTCTTACACTGTATTTGTTGTGCCTGTTGGACTCTGCTTCCTTATTCCTGCAATTTTCTTTCTCATGAAACAAAAACTTTTTTCTTAAAGACGGGAAATAAAAGATTACCAGAACGTGATCTTAGTTTTCATACCTAAAATCCAGTGGTGTCTCAAACAAATTTTCATGGGGGGGGGGGGGGGGGGGGGGCACAAAATTGGTCCCTGTGGTAACTCTGGAAGGGTTTAGCCTGTAGCTGTGCATTTAACGCTCCTTTACAATTTATTTTATTTAAAAACAATAGACCAATGTGCACTCAATATCTTTATGTTGAATTTGGGAAACAGACATTTCAGGAAAAAAAAAACTAAATCAACTATTCTTTTGTCAAATGTTTTATCTTTGGAAATTTAAAATGCTTGAACTTGTCTGTTTGTCTGTCTGTCTGCCTGTCTGTCTGTCTGTCTGTCTATCATGCTAACTTTGCACCCCTTGAAGCACCAATGCTAAATTCATGATTTGATTAATCTATTAATAAAATATATATTTAAATAATGCACGTGTTGTTTTGTTAAAGAAGTTTGCACCAAATGTGGTCACATGTTTGTTGAAGTCTTGGTACTAATAAAGTAGCTTGTGAAAAATAAATGATGATGGATGTAACCAAATACATTAGATTTAGCCGTTTGGAAAAACAGAATTGGTTAATTTTCTTTGCAGATGACATGTTTAATTTAGAACAAAACAATTCTTTTAATTCTTTTTGCCATTTATAATTTGTTGGTTCATTTTTTTCAGTCAACATAAAGAAACTTTGTTTGTTTTGCTTAACTCATGTTTGTCTGCTAAGAAAATATATTGCCTGAGCAAAAAAAAAAAATAATTAAAAAAATAAAAATTCTGCCCTGGATATAACTAAGCATAAAGGTGGTAGCCTCCTATTGGATAATTACTGCATGGGTGATTATCTTT